GGTCTGCTAGCTGTCCGTTCTGTGTGTGTGTCGAAAACTAATCTGGTGTGTGTACACAGCCCTGTCTATATAAATGGCAAGCAAACAAAGTGGCTCAGACCAAGCCACATAACACTATTCCAGCCATGATGTGTGTGTCAGGTAATGTTAAATGACTTGCCACGGACATTCAGCTTACTGTCTAGTTTGCCAGGAGATGCTGTTGTTGGGATGTGAGCTATACTAGCAGGAGGGTTGTCAGTATCACTGTCTGTAGTCTCGTCCCCTCTGTTAGCTCTCTGTTAGTATTGCAGTATTGTCACAGTATCGCTCTCTCTGTTAGCTTTGCAGCAGCAACTGTGACGAAAGTTTGCTGACCCGCAACCTAGCTAACGTTAGTTACAGAATTGCATACCCCACCTTAAATAGACTAGTTGTTTGTTAAAAATCTGAGCAGCATCCTTCATTTAAATCATATACAGTTTTAAATCAAGGATGCTAGACAGGTTTTTTCAAAAAGCATTTTTGTTTTGTTAGTCTGATCCACTAAAAGTTTGTGTAGCCTATTGATTGGCCATATTTTCCAGATTTGTACAGCTTTCCACCCAGTTTGCCATCACTTGGCTGTGAGATTGTTGTTTCCAAGTATTGCAGTATTGTCACAGTGTGGTGAAGGGCTCAGTGTCCTCAGCTCCAAGCTGTCTGGCAGTGCTGACACAGGGAGATTTCACTGGATAATGAGTATTGCAACAAACTCCTCCGTCATCTCATTTTTGCAGAGCCAGTCGATGGATGGCACTCTGGAGACTTGATTGAACCTGACCTGCTGCCAGACAAGAGGTTGCTGTCCTGTCACCTATTGTGCTTGGAGAGGGGTGTTTTTTTGCATCTGGGTATGGATTCAAAACAGATCAATTACAAAGGACATTCATGCCTTCCGTGCATTTTTTTTATCTCCCATTACTCCCGCTCGACTCCTGAAATGAGAGTTTTGTTTGACTTTAATTAGCTGCGGGGGAAGTCTGCAAGAAGCTCATTAGAAAATCAAAGAGGGGCAGCAGCGGCAGCGTATGCAATATTATAAGCATGTTACCAAGTGAATGCCTAGGAAATAAACAGAGCGTGGGGAGAAGCTCAGTTCAGAGGTGAATATAGCATCAAAGCCACAACAGGCACTTTAATTACAAGCTGAACTTTAACCCACATCCCTTTCTCTCAGTCTGAGTCTGCCCGCAATTACCCACAAAACCGTCCCAAAACAGAGATGACTGCCTAATCATTTTTCTGTTTTGGCAAAGCGCTGCTTGGGGTTTTAACGGAGCTAGCCAAGCGCACAAGATGACTCATTATCCTCCACACAAGTCGAGGGATCATTACCAATAGCAGGGGGATACCCAAAGGAACTGGCAAATATTTGGTATTTCCTGTTGCCTTTAAGATAGCGTAAGGCCATCCGAGGAAGACGAGAATGTAAAATCTTTTTGAGTCCACAAGAAAGACACCCAGAGGTCTAAATCATGTGAAAAACAAGCCAGAGGTTGAGGACAGTCTCTCTCCCGCTGGTGGGAAAAACAAATCATGTGTGAAGCTTCCAACCTGGGTAACCATGACAGTGAAGGCAGCAAGTTGCCACCCCATGGCTGAGTATGGGATCCTCTCAAGTCCTCACTGTTCAGTCTGACTCGTTTACTCTGTATGTGTCTCTCGGAGGGATTCATTGTGTGCAGTAAAAATGAAGGAAAGGGAGTGTGTAAACCTGGCTAGGCATTGTCCCATTGGATTCTTGGCTTCTGTAGGGCGGCTTTGACCTTTAAAAAGCCATTGATCCAAATAAAAAAAGAATACTGTAGAGAACTGCAGCCCGGACTTTATTTCCCAGATGCACACCTGCTGTCGATGGCAGATGGTTTGCTGCAGGGCAATAAGATGAGTTTTGGGGGATTATAAAGTCTTTTGTTGATGTGATGAATGCAGATGTTTTGTCCTTTCCTGTTCCTGTCAACCTTCTGTGTCCTTTGCCAGCTGCTTACTATTACTGTCTTCAAAGGCTCAGGTTTTCATAATGATAGTTAATACAGGCGGAGAAAGAGGGAGAGAGAGGTAAGAAGAATAGAAAAAATAGAAAGGTTTGTTTTTCACAATACTCACATGGTTGTGGCTGCACTGCTTGCTAACAAGTGGGTGATAAAGTTCCTAGAGTGAAGTGCAGCATGCCTCAGTCTCATGATATCCACCTGACACCCTCCCTCCCTCCCCTCTCTATCTCTGCTTCCCAGCTCTCCCTTGGGTCAGTCTGGAGTTATTACCGTCCATGTCCTTGTGGGATTCTTTTAAACATCCATCACCGCACTTATGAATCTCTTACTGTAATTGGCCCGCTTTTGTTTCAGACTTAAATAGATGATAATCTATGCCGACTGTCTGGGACATATTGAGGACACGCATCATGAGTTTGCCATTTTGTCGAGCCTTGCAAGCGGTCAGTCACATGCACTTGCTGCTGGACCCGGTGGCTGGTTTGTGTTGTAACCTCAGCAAACTGTTATTTTCCTGGACTAGGTGGGGAAAAAACATGGAGGCAGTGTTTTTGCCAACTGTCACATTCCCCTCAGCTGGATGTCTGACTGAAGAGCTTGTTCTCTAATTAATACCTGAATCCTGGAGAGGAGGAGGAAGGAAGGAAGGGGTGGTATCATCACTGAAAGACAGGACTTGTTCAGAGTTCTCTAGAACAAAGCTATCTGACATTTTGTTTTCCATTGTTAGCCATTCTAGCAGCATGCCTGTAGAGATGGCAATGTCGGTTGGCCCACCACTTTGTTCCAGATGGAAATATCTCAAACATTGATTGATATGCATAGCCATGAAGTTTTGTTCCACACATTCATGTCCCCACAGGATAAATCCTAAGGACTGGTGTCCACTTGTGCTGTAAAATATCTCAACATGCACCAGATGGATGAGCACAAACTTTGGTACAGACATTCATGGTTCCAGAGGATGAATCACCGTGAGGTTGACATTTGTGGTTTTGAGTGAAATATATACATGTGCGTAGTGTTAATTTGCACGTTAGCGTGCTAACATGCTAAACTAGGGTTGTGAATATGGTAAACATTTGCCTAGAATTAGCATGCCTGTGTTGCCATTGCAAACATCTTAGTATGCCCATGTTAGCATTTAGCCCCAAGCACAGCTGTGTCAGAGTTCAGTCTCACAGAGCTGCTAGCATGGCTGTAGAAACTTAGTCTTGTTTTAGCCCCAGATGATCAAAAACGCTCAGCTGCAACAAAGGAAATGCCATGTAGTTAAAGAGTTGAGAGAAAGGAGTTGAGAGATTTTGCCGGCTGATTTAAGAGTGCAATGTGTTTTGACACCAGAGGGTCTAAACTGGGAAGAAACTGCTGATCCTTCCTCCTCTGTGACAGCGACTGGCCCCCAGCCTCAGGAATGCGACAGGGCGGAAAGGGAGGAGAAGGAAACAGGAAATACTTTTGTCTCCCCACAGCACTTCGGAATGGATGTCTCCTTTTTTTAGTCCTGTGTGGGCTTTTGTTTGATAAAAGGAAACTGTATATTTTAATGTGACACTTGTGGAAAAAAAGAAGAGTACAATGACCTGTTTTTTCTTCTGCTAGATCAAGGTTGAATAAAATGCATGTATTCCAGTTAGAATTACACAAAACATAATTACTGTAGGTAAATTGAGTTAAACCAAGACAGATTCAAATAGAATTATAATAGATTCACATGGGAACTGACATAGTAATGTTGTAGTGAATTAAACTTAACAATTCACTATTGTTCACAGATCAAGGTCAAGGTACAGCTAAAAACAGAGGCATCAAAGGAGCTCAAATGTACAGCTTCCAACACTGCTACTTATGTGGTTAGCTTCAGAACAAAAGAGTTTATATTCAGTTGAAAACTGTTGATATATCCTCTTGTTAACCTCTCTAAAATGCACTCTATTCGTTCAAGATAATCTATGTGTGTGTGTGTGTTTGGGAGAGCGAGGAGCTTAGCACCATGACTTCCTGTCCAGCTGTTCCTGCTGTCGCTGCTTATGAGCAGATGTCTGTATTTCCTCGTCTGCGACACACAGCCATGGCATTTGCTCCACAGACTTTACATACACACGCACATTATGAATTTGTAACAAACATCTCTTAAAACTCCTGTTAGCAGCAGAAAGCACGGCCCCCTGAGTAACATTAATATATTTATGCTTTACGCTGCTGAGCTCGTCCACATGCTAAAAAGCTCACCAAAATCTGTTGATGTGCAGTTGTGAATGGGTGATTCTCGTGTTTGCCTAGTTTGTGTGTGTCTGGGTGTATGTCATTTTAGTTTTATTGGATCAGATTTTGAAATATCTGCCCCTGAGATTTCGACTGCCACCCCAATACGATATAGTGACAGATCTATGTGTGTAGTGCTCACAGCATTTGAATATCACTTTTAAATAATTCAGAAGCAACTTTTGCCAAAAAGTAGCCCCACAGTGATCTGTGGATCATGTATAAGCAATCATAATAATTGAATTTTTTAACACACATTTTCAATGATCTGATCACCACAAATCCTGTTCACCTTCATGTCAAATCTCCAACTTTCTGTATGGCTACTAATTCCACTGGTAGAAAAAATGTTTTTTTGGTGAACCAATTCTTTAAATAACAGAGGCCTACTCACTAGAGCAAATGTGTATTAGTCCACCACTGAAAATGGTCCCCAACAACTGCAGTATTTATTTCTGTTTGACTAATGTTTGTTAAATAATACAGTACCCAACTGTTACAAATTACTTAAGCCTTTTTTAATAAATAAAGTTATATATTTGTGACCTTTTTTTTAAGACTTTACATTTCAGTAGGAACAAACAGCCTCATCCTGTGTGATGTTTTCTTGTAGACTCCATCCATCAGATAACCAACTGATGCAAGAGCGCACCCATAGGTAAACATATTCTTTGACAGCCTAATTAACAGTCTGTCTTTCTCTTCCTGTCTCTCTCCCAGGATGCCTTTGTGGAGCTGTATGACAGACAGAGGGACTCCATCTTCAGTTGCTCCTGGCCCTCCATTAAGACGGTTTTCGGTCTGGCTGCACTCGGGGCAGCTAGCCTCACCATCGGAGCATACCTAACACAGAAGTGAACAAGCCCTCTTTCTACCAGCGTGACTTTCTTTCTCATCCTCCTCCTCCTCTTCCTCGTGCCTCTCCTTTTTCCTTTTAAAGGCGCCCCTGACCCCTCAGAGACAACCTGCAGACTCTTCCGAATCTGGCTCTCTTCAAAGCCCTCTCTCAGAAAACTCCCTCTTCTTCACCCCTCCACGTCAAAACAGACACACATCAAAACAACTAAAGCAACCCCGATGCACAGCCCATACGGAGCAAAGGACGTCTTGAAAAGAGGCAGCTTAGATGTAATCACACTAAGCTGAGTGCAGCTGAGGAGAAAAGAGGATTTTATTTTGTTCTGCCTGCTTCTGTACTAGTTATAGCATGAATGTTGAGTGTTAGTGTAGACGTTGCATGTGTCAGAGCTCATGCGGGACCTCTATTTGGAGGCCTTGATGATAGGGGTGCAGGGACAATGATGCCCCACACTGGAGAGGCCGCAGCCCCGCCCCTGCTTGTTAGGGTGAACAACCCCGTTTGAACTGTGGACTCCAGTTACCCCCCTGAAGCCGTCCTTCAAAGGACTTCCTCCACAGAACAGCTGCTCAGAATGTATAATGGAAACAGCTTGCTACAACCAGCGAGTTGTGTGTCTACTGCTTTCACTCCTCAGACAGCTCCAGTGAACTCTGAACACAGTGCACCATTATACCCTCCCTGGCCTTTAGTATGTAGAGGAAGGGCCAGTGGAAGACTGAGTTGTGCCGATCTTTCTTTTGCAGAGATTTTTGAAAGCGATTTAATTTTTGCAGCACGCCAAACCCCAAATTGTGAAATTTTACCGCAGAAAAAGAGGAGAATGGAATTCTTTTTTTCAAGGAGTGAAAGACATGCCAGGAAGCCTGTTGTTGCAGAAAAAAGTCATACGTTGGTGAATATACTGAGAAGAATGTTGAGCACAGCACACAAGACCGAGGTAGAAGTAAAAGAAACATTGCATTTTGCGTCTTAAGAAGAGAGAAGGCCCCTGCAACATAAAGGGACCAGATTTTAAGTGTGCATTCCTCAAGCAAAGCGACATGAACAGACCGCTCCAAGGCTAAAATAACTCCCCTTTAAAAGCATCATCACAGATTAGCACCAAGCAACTCCAAGAGCTATCAGTTCTTTTCTATTTTCTACCTCTGTTGCAGCTTTCTTACTCTTAACTCAGTCCATTTGTGGTCAGACTGTTTGGGCTCACCCAGGTTTCTGAGCTGACCCTGTCAACACGTGTCCTCCAGCTGACGAGGCCCCACTGAGATTCTGTAACGCAAGAATCCACTCTTACAAAGACGCCTGTTGACGTGGACTGAGGAAAAACTTCGCCTCGCCACAGATGACTGAGTGGAACACCACGGCAGCAGGGTTTCAGTTTAGGGCTAAGGCCAGCGTGTCCCGTGAGCTGGAACCTGAGATGTCCCTTCTCTCCGGTCTGCAAATGCATTCAGTCATTGATTTGTTCCTTCCAGCCTGTTTTATTGATGTTTGTCTTGTGTTACAGTCTGATAAAAATATGGAAAAGCTCCACATGCTCCAAAATATTTTGCTGTACACAGTACTTAGCAAGTTGGTTATGAAAAAGTGATTTATTTTACTTTCCTGTCATCAACTTTGTTGTTGCATGGACGAAAGATACTGTCTCCACACATAAATATTCACCGTGTGTAACCATATTTATAACAGAATAGGGTAGAAGATAACAAATAACAGCAAAGGAGTTGCATTTTCTATTTATTGAGAGGTACCAGATCACAGATTTTTTAACAGTACTTTGATGAAAAAATGTTTTTTCACTTTTTTCTATCTATGGAATCACACTGTAACTACATTTTTTCCCTTAGCTGCTATTATAACAAGAAAAAATGTATAAAAAGTGAATTTCTGTGTCGTATTAATGTTGGCTTAAGGCTGCTATAATGTCATTTTAACTTTCACTTACAGCTTAAACTGCCACAGATTAACAGTATAGTTCTAGAGAGCTGGAAACCAAAGTTAACTTGTATTGATCTTTTAATTTGAAAAAAAAAGTAGCTTAAGGAGAATACATGTCGCCTCTGTACTATACTGTACTATATCAGCTTAACTTTTGTCAACTTTGTGCTCCGGTAAAGACTCAGTGCTTATCTGTAAAATGTTGACCTGCCAGACTTGTCTCAGTTATCACCATAAACCCCCAATTCCCATAACAACAGCTCACAGTGTGTGATACTCCTAGTGATGTGTCAGAGACAAACAGGAGGTGATTTATGAGCAGGAATAAGAATAGGTTAACAGCAATATGTGATTTTTATATTCTCTGTGCATATATGAATGTAGGCACTATGGTTGCGGTAGGCTACTGTTTTATGTCTATAATCACAAACCTGTAGCACTTAAAAAAAGTGAATTGTTTTGTTGTTTACTGCTATATCCATGATAAGCTAGCGGGATCATATTGTTCCTAATAAACCAGATTTCTCAAGCAGCTGCAGTCCAAGTTCATGTTGCGTCTGCTTTAAAAAAGAAAATTGATTCTCAGCTTCATCTCTGAGCTTGTCAGCGAGACAGAAAGGGAATAAGAGATGTTTAGGTGGAGAGCAGTGTATCAACAGTGCACTTCTGATTATCTGTTATCTATCTACAGCTATGAGTTGTATATATAAGCCTGGCTGTGTCAACGTGACAGTATCCTTGTGAAGGACTGTGCATGAGCAGCAGCCGCACCCCATCAGACATCAAAGCTGCCCCCAAACACTGCACTTGTCAGCCTCCCTCTTCTGCTCCATACGCTGCTAAACACGCGTGCAAAAGCCCAGATGCCCTGCAGCCAGTTACACGCCCCCCTGCCTCTATTCTGATCACACTTGTCTTCAAAGGCTATGGCACTCTTGCTGCTCGGTGGAATTTGTGAAAAGCATGATGCAGTAAAACTAATATTGAAAGAGATGAGCGAGTGTAAGAAAATGAGGGGAGAAGGGTGAAAGAAAGTGGTGGTGGTGGTGGTGTGTAGAATACATCCCTCAGGAGATCAACAGCAGAGGGAAGTTCATTTGGGCTGGAGCCCCATGCAATCCCCTCCTCTCTCTCCCACTCACCATGCATATAAAATGCATGACACGCTCTGAAGAGGAATTTTAAATCAAGCCCTAGATTTTCAAAAGAGAGTCCAGTGTGGGTGTGGATGGTGAATGTGTGTGTGTGTGTGTGTGTGTGTAATAAAAGAGAGAAAGATGGGCAGTGTGAAAGAGAGAGAGGGGTAGTGAAGCCCTCCTGCCTCTTCTGCTTTAGGGCTACAAGGTGTAGAGGAGGCTTTTCCAGTGCTTGATATCACAGGGGAGATTGGGAGATCAAAGCAGATTGTCTGGATTAAGTCTGGTCCAGTTTCGCCCCTCATTTGGAAGTCCATCAGATCCACTCACAGTACCTTTGCCTCATTCAGGAGGCAACCTCAGACGCATTAAAAACTTCCTGGTGTAATCTAGCAATTTCCTTGAAAGAGATTTTTTAAAAACGTGCCGCTCAGAACTCATTCATCTCTTATTTGACTGTAAATATTCAATGAGAGAAGAGGTCGTTACTTATTACACCAGGATGGGATCAACTGTAGAAACAGATTTTGGATGAAGCCTTGTACTGCCTAATTTGTGTACTACAGTGTCACCTTGTGGCTGCTCCACAGATACTCCAGCAAGGGGTTAAAATACCAGGAAAAACACACACACACACACACACACACACACACACACACCCCTCATCTACAGGAAGCGACAGCTGATTTCTCTGAGCAGATCTTCACATAGAGAGGATGAACCATCAGCTGCTGTGGTGTTCAGCTGAAATAAAAACCAGCCTTTTCTCAGCACTCTCTGGCACATGGCTGCCTATCCCTGCACTAAAATATCCTCGGGGCAGCATGCCATGAAGAAAAGCGGCTCCAGGCCTGAAAGCTCAAAAGCCTACAGCTTTGGTGAAGACTGTTCAGCCGTGTGTGGTTAGTGATAGTCTTAGAAATGTCTGATGAAAGAAATGTGCACGTCAAGCATCTTAACTCTCCCCCAATATGGTAATCAGCAAGAAAAGAAGAGATGGAAAGCATGTGGTGTAACTACCAACTACAAATCATGTCTGTGATCAAGTGATCAGTAGCAAACCCATACAGGCTAGTTGTTAAAAGCTGTAAAAAGTAAGATAAAACTCTTTAATGTCTAATAGAAAGTGATCGCCCTGAAGGTTAGCAAACATACCACAACGTTGTTTTCTAATGTGGAGTTACTTTTATATTTTGGGCTGATTGTATGAAATTAAATGCAAAATTAGAAAACTATTGCAACACTGTTATTTACAGTATTCCATCATAAAAATAGTTAGGCTATTTGTTAAAGAGGCTGGGCCTTTGAGAGGTTTACAAACAGAGAGCCAAAGATTAATGTAAGAATTCGGAGTATTCTTTTGTTGGAACACACATTTGTTTGGTCAAACGAGTGTGTGCGTACATCAGCAGCAGGGAACGTGTCCGTATAAATATCTACAATTCTGTGTAGGGCTGCAACGACTATATTCACTTTTCCCCCCAGCAGTCAAAACAATGTTTCAGTACCCAAGGTGACGCTTAAAATGTCTTGTTTATGTCGGATCTATAGTCTAAAACCTATTCAGTCTACAATTATGTAAGTCACAGAAAAGCAGAAAGGCCTTACAATTGAAAAAGACACAACCAATGAATCGCTGGCATTTTTGCCAGAAAAATGAACGGTTGCAGATACATGCAGTCAGCGTGTACTTCTGTTACCAGGGGATACCTGAAGATTGTGGAGATATATTTATAGATATCTCCACATATGTGAGAAAAATAAACGGCCCAGTAGGATTACAAATGTATGAGGCAGGTCTATTTAAGAATATTTATTTGGAACAATAACCAGTCAATTATTTAAATACCACACCTTGCAATGAAGTGTTTAATAATTAGTTAATCAAGCAGAAAAATAGATGATAAAGGGTTAATAAGTGGTAGTGTGAATGCCAGGTTGACCAAACCTACTTAAAAGAACAGGGATCAAGTCGTGTATGAACTAGGGCTGTCCACGACTAAGGATTTATTTATACAGTCAAATCAGAATCGTCAAGTCTTGCATATAGTCGACTGATAGTCAATTCCCGCGAGATGCAGACAACTCGGCACAACACCAGAGAAGCTGGAGCTCGGTCTCCCCAGCATGTTCCTCTGCTACCACTGCAGACATACACGCTAAGCTTACACATCCGCACTGACGAACCAGGGTTAGGCTTACAATTTTGGATTTATTTACGCACTTTAAAAACATTTATTGAAAGTTTTATTCTTTTTACATGTTTAATAACAGCATTAGGCGTTGAAATGTATATTGGAATAGGCTTCACTTATTGGGAGAAAACTGGTAGTTCAATGTAAAAATCGGACGTTGAGCACCCCCGTATCGCCAAAATGGCACGATCCTTGTTTCACTGCGAAGCTTCGACTGTGAGATTGACAGTCGATTCAGGCTCCGCCCATCGAAGCATCTAATCTTCGACTATTGGGGGTCAGACCTAGTATGAACTCACATCGTGGACGAAGCACAGTCAGTGTTTTCTCTGCAGAGAAAAACAAACTCCATGAAAGCCAATGTGTGGATCTAAGGGGTATGATGAAGGGGTATTTGAGACCATCTCATAGGACTGTGGGGGTATATCAGACAAAAAAGATTGGGAACTACTCTCCTATTGGAAAACATCCCTGGACTGATAAAAAAACAAACAAAAACACAACAACAAAAAAACCCCACACAGTATACACAGTGTAATAAAAACTCAGAACATAACTAGTACATTCAGTGTCCATTTATTTTTCCGCAGCCAGAAAAATAGAAAAAGTAAAACAAAGAACATTCATACTGCTGAAGTGTAGTTTCTCATGCTTGCACATTTACAGTACATGTTGATCTGTTACAAAGTCTCTTTGAACTGGACATATTGCCACAATATATTTACAAAAATAACATTAAAACTGCAGTCTCTTTAAACATGTTGACACATTCATAAAAATAAAGCTTTGTGAGACACGTTTCCCGAAAACGATCCTATTTACACAGTCAAAGATGGAGATGAGTTCTGTCGAGCTACAGCTGAGATAACCGTTGATTTGCAAGTTTGTGAGTATCAGATTGTCTGAAGTGTCAAAACTGAAAATAAATGCAAAGAAAAAAAGTTTCTAAACATCTAAAAGACGGTCTTGTAATACCATTACAAAAATGCATCCTTAAGCCGCAATGACTAAATCATAGTGCGAAGTACTCACTCATAGATCTTGGCTGATCCTTATTAATGTATATTTGTATTTGCCTCTGACCACTGCGTGTTTCTGTGGAAAGCATTTTCTTTTCAGAATTGGATCTATTCAAATGAAATTCTTGACACTTCTGACACAGAAAATGCAACAAAATAATAAAAAAAAGGAAATGAAATGATATGATTTAGAAGGTAGAATTTGCTACTTATAATACATTCATTAACATTTTTTTTATCCAAATAATTCCACTTATTTGACAATAAATGTCAAAAGACAAATACTTAACTGGTGTGGGCAAGGCAAACAAAAGGCACAAATAAAGATTGTGCATCAATCTCTCTGTATTGGCACTGGCAAATGTCAAAAAATGGCCACATTGCAGGTGAAAGTTTTGCTACCAAACATAAGTTGCATCTGTGAATGTTCACCTTTCTATACCAAAACACCGAGGTGATGACCTTCGTAATATACTACAAAATGTGAAAAAAATAAAATCAGATTACAGCAGCAACTACACACTCCAAAACACAGAAGCCCTAACTCATTAGAACCAGTCTTTCCCATCTTTCCCCGGCTGGTGACCATAATGCATCTCTGTGTCTGTGTGCATGACTGTGTGTAGAAATACAACACACTGTGTGTGTGCGCATCTGATCAGTGTTCAAGCAAACAAAAACTAAAATAATTCAGATAAATCAAACCTCAGTGCAGGAACTCCACTTCATTTAGCTGTCTAGCTCTTTGGTTTCTAAGCCTCTTTAGTGCATCAGTTGAAGGCGTTGCTGGAACCTTTAGGCTGGCTCTACTCAACCTCACGCTCCCTACACTAACATTATTACCTCAAGCCAACCCCGAACTTATTTCCTCCCACGTCTCCACCAGCTGATGCTTCCTCCCTCTCACTCAGTCAGGTTTTCCTCCTTACAGGCATCTGCGGAAGAGGAGAAGAAGTAGTAACAGTTAGGACACAACAGGGACACGATGCATAAACAAACAACCTGTAGCACAGACTGGATTCCTGTTATTTAAATCTTGTTTAAATGTTTCTATCCATTTTCATCATTGATGATTACATATAAAAACACAACCTCACCAATGGCTTGATTTTTGGAAAAACTTGCCACTCTGCTGTTATATCTCACTGGAAATAAAACCCACCATTTAGGCTTTCAAAACCATGATAACTCTCATGATAAATGTTCTACCAAATATTTTTCACAAATCAGTGTTTCTAGCATGATTTAATGACTAAAGTCCGAAAGCCTGATAGAAGCCTGATCGTTTGCTGTAGCGCGCGCGCACGCGCACACACACACACACACACACACACACACACACACACACTTCGAAATACATGAAAGAATAGTTTAATATACGAATCAGCACAGACCTAAAGCTAGGCTTGATTCATTTTGACACTGGGTTTGTTCCAAGTTCAGTTTGTCCTCAGTTCATGTTGTTAAGCTTTGGTTTGCTAAGCGTCGCTGCTGCCTGTAACATGTCCATATCCATCACATTACATCCATTAAAGTTGCTTTTCTCTCAATTCAGAGCAATTAGCGCAAACACAAATATGGAAGTGTGTAAATGCACCACCTGTTGACCTCCGTACGTGGTTGTTGTGGACCTTGTGGATCTTAAAAATGTTTATCCCTTTTGTGAAGGCAACAGAGGGGTTGTCTAGAATGATTTCACTAAATCCGTCTATGCATATGCAATAGGGCTGAACGATTTTGGGGAAAAAAAAATCTAATTGCGTTTTCCCCACCAGATGTTGCGATTAGTTCAATATTCACAACCAGTGTATTTTTGAGGGAAGCCACGTCAAGAAGCACAGAGCAGATGAACCGGGCAGGAAGACAGACTCAAAACAGCAGAGAGAATCTGGTTGCAGACTCCTGATTGTATATCAACAATAAACACTTAAAACAGACGATTTAGAGAAACAATTTAACTACATAGCCTACTTAGCCATGGTTTAACAAATAAAAAAAGTCAGCAAAATCAGATGAGCAAAACCTATTCTGAAATGCTCCATATGGATATGTAGCCTGCAGAAAGCGGAACAAAGCCGGCTCAGAGAGAGCTGTTATCTGTAGTTGAATCACATAAAATGAAAAATTAACATGTCAACAACGCAGGGCAGCTAAACGCTCCGCTGCTGAATCACTTCAGCGTGAGCCGACGCCGGACAAAACCGCGGCACAGCCAACGCTTGTGTCGGTTCGGTTGACACCATTATCCCACATTTTACTCCAGTTTCGTTTGTTGTTGTAAATTGTACATGCCCTGTGCCACTGTGATTGGTGAGTAGGATCATAACAGGAAGCAAGTCTGTCACACAACGGTATCTGCATGACTGTTTAAAACGGGTCAGATGCGCTGTATAATTAACCTACATTTTAATCATCGTCTTCACGATTAGCTAATCGCGTTCTTTCAAATCACAATTTCAATTTGAAAACGATTAATCGTTCAGCCCTAATATGTAACTATGAACTTATTAAATAAAGAGAAAACTTCTTGACGTCTCTGGCCCCGACTGAGAATAACAGCCTCTTCATCCTGACAACAATCCTCATAACACACAGCGGCATCCAGCAGGACAAACAGGACGTCGGGCACCATGCCTCCTTACAGCCAGCAACAGGCAACAACCAGCCGAGAGTAAAGTAGACGTGTTTTCCTACCCAGGACAGGGTTAGAGGGCAGGGTGGGGAGAGAGCTCAGGGTCCAGGACAGAAGGGGAGTTGGTGCTAGCAATGCTGAGCATCTATACCTGCAGGGCTGAGCACCAGGGCCTGGAGGATGTCTGACAGAGAGACGATGCCTTCGATGCTGGAGCGCTCGTCCACCACCACCAAACGATGCACCTAGCAGAAAAACACAAAAACAGATGAACTTCATATCAGTCCTGATCCCCCCCCCATGGGTCACTAAATGTATGCACACATCGTTGTCACAAATCTCACTTCAGCTTTGACTATTCTGTCCACAATTGTCTCCATTGTTTCCATTTTGTGGCACTTCATGACTCCTTCGAAGTACTGACAGCGATGTTTCAGCGCCTGTGTCACTGTGATGTCCAGGTTGTTGTACGTCTTCTCAGCAGCCAAGTTCTACACACAATCATGAAAATGCATTTTTTAGCATCTACTTTTGTTATTTTGTCTCTTCAAAAAAAAAACAAACAAAAAAAAAAAAAACTGAAAATGTAGAAATTTCAACTTACAATCACATCAAACTTTGAGTAAATGTCCACAACTTTGCCTGTAAAGAGTGCACAAAGAACTCAAGTAAGAAAGTAAGTTAGTTTGTTTAGTATTATTTACTTTGTCAACAATGATGTTTGTGATCTTACCAGACTCATCCACCACAGGCAGGGCAGACACTCGTCTCTCCACAAAGATGTTGAGTGCTTTGATGATGGGTGTGTCCGCATGGATGAAAGCAATGTCATGGTACGTGCCAATGCCCAGCTCCCCGAGAGTCTGCTTCATGAAAGCTGGCTTTGGCATTTCACACATCTAGAGAACACAAACGCACAGACAGGGAGGCAAGGACCTGTTCAGTGTGATCACTCTCCACCCAATTCATTAAAGTCACATCCCATTGTATTAAATTTCCATGTTTACCACAAGGGGGCAGCAGGCAAGTGAAAGTTGGACAAGTAGTCATAATCATCCATCATATAGATTAAAATGCTGTGCAAGCTTGACATTCATGCACAGACAGGCCGACAGTGACCGTGCTGGACTCACAAAAAGCTGGAGAAACTTGAGGATCCTCTTGTGCGTGAGAATATAAAGTGCGTTTCCCGTGACGGGGTCGATGACAGGCAGGCGGTGAATTTTGTTTTTGATGAGGGTGTACACTGCGTCAAACAGGCTGCAACACAATAAACACAATGACCAGTTACAAGTAGCACAATAAACATCTGCTCCCACGCACACAAGCATGTGCAAAAACAGAAAGATTCTTTATTTTGAGACAGACAATGTACCTTGCATCAGGTGATATGTTGACCAGAGGTTTGAATGTTGCTTGAAGGTAAACCTCTGAAGAAAATGAATGAAATATTAAATGTATTTTATATTCTGCTTATAAAATGGCACTGAAGTCTAACATGCAAGTCACAAAAACACGACGGCATCATCATGATTGCTAACCTCTCCACGTCTCAAGCTTATGTTCCTCTAATTCATAAATTTGCACCTGAAATACAAGAAATAGATGTTAGTTTAAAAAAACAAAACAGAATTCCTCAATGAAAGCTTATCTCATGCAAACTTTATCTATCAAGTGGACCTACCATCGGTGACTTATAGTATCTGTGTAGTATGATGATGAAATCTGTGATTGTCAGCATTCCTACAATGAAAATAGACGTTAAAGCACTACTTCAACACACAACATAGAGCGCCATGCCTGCAGGCATTGTGGAGTTGGTTAGAGGAGACAGTGCTTACATGGGCGTGGTCCAAACACCCCCACCCCCCGCTTCATCATCAGGCTGACTTGGCATTCATTATTCATCACAGCTGACTTGCAATAAACTACGCAGGAGAAAAAAAAAAAAAAACCCAGCACAAAAATAAAATTCACTTCTATCTTAGTAACAGAAGTCTGCTGCAATTTATTTATTTTTATTATCTCCAGCCTCTCTGAGCACTGGTCAATACAGAGGAGTCATTGCTGCGCTTAATGGTTTGTGACAGCTCCTGCGACTTCTCCTCAATATAGCATCATGCCCCACTAACCATGACCAGAGGCATTAATACACAGCGTTTCTTCCGTTCATTTAGCAATGGCGCACCAGCACAGCAGAGACAATTTCGATCTCTGTTAAGAGAAAATCTGAAATAAAATTAACATGCCAATTTTGCCTTTTTTCCCCTGTGGACTAAAAAATATGCAGACTGCATATTCTCATTAAAGAGTCAAATCTACAGAGCAAATAAGAAGACTAAAAGGTAACTAAACATATTTTTGTCTTGCAAATCTCACATGTATGGAATGACATGTGCCTTTTCCTAGAGATGGTGTTTGATTGAAAGCTTGGCAATTAAATCTGCAATGTGTGGAAGCCCTTTTTTCTATTATTTGGTCCAAATACTTGGCAAGCATTGATGATTTAATAATTGTAAAACAAGCCTTACTTTGACTGAAAAGCAACAAACCTAGAAAACTGCAAACTAACAGTCAACACAAAACTACCAATAAAGCCTCTAGTTCTTATTATACGAACTATAAACAATTATTTTAGTATGTGAAACACCAAAAAAAGCATTAAAACGGCAAAAGTCTGCTACGTTTAGGAGTTCTTACCCACAAAACTTTGCTTCTCTGTGTCCCATAGTGGAGCAGCTCGCACACCGTTGGCTACCAAGGCAAAGAAAGCTTTCTTAACCTGTCAAGCAACAGTTGTCATAAAATATCTAATTAGATTATACATTGAGATAAAACACAAAACTTCACAACAATGTGATTATCATATCTGGAGCTGAAATACATAATTAGCTGATCAGTGGAAAATTAAATCCACAACAATTCTGATAATCGATTTGGATGTTGAATCAAAACAAATATTCACATGTCCATGCTTCTAAAATGTGAAGGTTTGCTGCTTTTTAATGTTTTATGACTTTAAATTGACCATCTTTAGGTTTTGAACACACACACACAAAAAAAAGAGACTTCTAAAAAAAAAAAAAGATTTCTAATCAAAAATAATCTTTGGCTGCTCCCGTCATCTGATGACATTTTGTAGCAGAGACACGTGATGTATCTTGTGAAGTACAATCTAAACCCTCGGCTTTGAGTTGGTTTTAGCTGTCATCATTAGAGCTTCTGTGGATTTCGCGGTTGAAGATCTACACATCAAAGAGGGCAAACTCTCAGGATTACTGTTTAACAGCTTTTTGACAATTCTATCAACCAAGCCATCGAAACCGCCCTGAAGCGAATACTCACGCTTATTTTATTGTACATTAACTTTGACTGAATACCTCTTTCGGTTCTTAAAACAAGAAACCACATTATCATATAAAGCTCTGTCTGCAGGCAAAACAAACGTTAGGCACAGTACTAACTTGGAGTGCCGTGTCGAACACAACCAGCTTGGAACTTGTGGGGACGATGTCGTAGCACTTGTGGGATTTCATAAAGCGCATGTAAATATCACTCTCAGGTTCAGCAGCTGTAAAAAGAAAAAAGCAGGAAAGTACTTTTAGAGGAAGGAGAAATCTCACAGGGAATATAATGAGAGACTGGAAACAAAACACACTGGGAGACTAAACAACCATTATGTTTCTGAACCACTTACAGACACTTTACTGCGCCATCTTACTGATAATTAAGCTCTGCTTTAAGCACCAACAAGCACAGAAACAGTGGAAAAACACAGACAGCAAAAGTACTGTAGGAACTTATGTCCACCATGATTCAGTTAGATGATTACAGTAGGGTTCCCCCACACACAAAGTGGATTAATCTATTAGGCTTTTTTACTGACAAAATAAATTAGTATTTAATTATTTATCATTAAAGTTTAAAAAAAGTCTTGTTCCAGCTCCTGAAATGTAAATTTTTATTTACCTCGTTTTATATCATTGTAAATCGAAAAAAAATAATAATATTGCTGATCAGACAAATTACATAAATTGTCATTACTTTTTTCTGAGATTTCAAAGATTGAATGATTTTTCCACTTTTGTAGCAGCCTTACTCACATGTTGCAATACAATGAGTTCAAAAGCTTTAATTATCATGATCGGAAGTTGATAGGAGGCCCTTTAATACCTCCTTTAAATGCCAGTCGGTAGTAGCTAACGTCATCATTCATGATTTATCAAGATCACTGCATAAAATTCTCATTAAAAATATTCGACTGAGATATTTAGATAAACGGGTCTGCTATGACAAGGAACCGGTCAATTCAGATGCATGTAGAGGGGATCCTCGCATTTCTGACGCACTGCGAACACAGTCTTTAAAAACACGTTTAAATCGCATATTTGTAGCGTGGTCTGACTAACGTTATCCGTCTGGCTAGAACTGCAATACCTGAAAAATTCCTGGTGCTACGGAGTCACCTTTATGTTACATTACTAGTTGCGTTGAAGGCTGAAGGTAGTAAAAGAGCAGAGGGACACTCACCATCATCATCTAGTTCAAGTTTCTCCAGCATGCCTTCGAATAAACCGTAGACCTGTGAGGGAGAAAAAAGGCAGAAGTTTGCAGGGAAGCGCGCAGCAAATCCTCACAAATCCTCACGCAGCAGCGCACAACAAAACTTTGCTGTAAATTTGTGAGTGAGTAGCTGGGTGAAGCGACTTTTCCCCAGCGGCCCCAGCAGACTGTGGTCACACCAAGTGCAGTGCGCAAAACACCAAGAACCACCAAGAAAAACACGTAGTGCGCCACCTGCGTTTTACCAGTTACATAAAGCTGCTCCATGTCCGCTAAATAGCCCAAACACAGGTAACGTGACAAAACCCCTTGTGCTGTTACAGCTGCTACTTTCCTGGCAGACTCATGTTGGACTACACACACCCCCTTAAAAACTCGCAGTGGAACAGTCCTGATCCATTTGCTGCAGTAATGGGGAACCAATGCCGACGCGCTGCTCAAACAGCCACCACACGGTCGTGTGAGAATTAATCCCGCCACAATAAACCATCGGAATTCATTGTTATAGTTTTAATCTGCCAAACAACACTCACCGCAGGAGCAGGCTCGCACATGAGGCGTGGAGAGAAAAAGCAGGAAGCTCCACGCGCTGTGGACACACCCCTCCATGCAGAGCAACCTGGTTACTTCACCATATTAGGAAGTCCCTTACGTTGCTTAGCAGCAAGAAGCTGGGGATGCCTTATCACGTCCATAAGAGTTAATAGCTTCTGACAAAACAGCAACATGGTAGAGCTCTACAGCAACAACAATTGTTTTAGCCTTGGTAATTGAGGCAGCTTGAGAAAACACCACATTGTGCCATTTGCATCTCATAGACATACATAGGCACCTTCTCAACATGAAATATGCTGCATCATGCTGAGATGACGAGAGATTTGCATACAAAATTGCCTGCTTGTTGATACATGATCTCCCCTGGCCCTTAATTTGCGAGTATATCCAAAAAAGCCACTGCATCAGTATAACAAAGCCTGCATACCTGCTCTGGGATGCTACACCGTCCCCAGTGTCGTCCTGCAATGGTGACACAGCGCTTCTCTCGCCAACAACTACTCCTGCACTTTCATAAATCTTGCCCTGCAGCATCACACCGGGGCGCACAGCCTGCTTAGGTATTACAGCAAACTCCAGGGACGCAGCCATACACAAATCCATTAAATGAATTGCTTCTGAAATTGGATTTGGCAAAAAGTAAACTACAGCATCAGAAGATTATTTTGTGAGCCTCCATTATGCATGGTGTAGAGGAAAGAAGGAGTGGTCACAGAGAGGCTGACAGGCACTGACTCATTGCTCTTCAACCACAACCATGAGTCCTTGGGCATTAATATCAACAGTATACAATGTTGGTGATGAAATATTGATTTACCCTCTCTGGCTAGAATCCACAATCACTCACAGCAGACAGGTGGAGACAGACCTACAGATAATTATTCATGAAAAGGGCACAGAAGCAATTCCTCACTAGCTGTGGGAAATCTGCCTTCACCTCCTGACTCGAACTGGTGAATCCTGCATAAAACCCACAAAACTGTTCTGACAAAACCCTGAACTGCTTCTTAGTTGTTTTTGCAGCAGCAGTCAATTGCACACCTGCTTACTCCGTCATCTAATGCTGTTCAAGATGTTGCTTTAATACAGAGGCAATATTTACACCCTCTGTTTGCCACCGATGCTCAGAGCAAATAGCGCACACGCAGCCTGTTCAGAAAGTATCAGAGCTTGAATGAAAGCCATCTGCATCATCCATGCTTTTTGTTCACCACTGTCCCAGAAAACCCTTATGACACTGTTATAAGTAGCACATGACTCATGGACAGAAGGCATGTAAGGCGACTGTTATGTAGCCACAAAGGAAAAATTGTTATTAGTTTTAAAGTCTTGTGATCCGTGCAGAATTTATCAGTTTTTTTTTTTTCAGGAAATATGAATCGGCATCACTGATATTGAACGAGTGCAGAGAGACAGCATTTCATTTAGTCATATATTCAGAATCAGAAACAGCTTTAATGCCAAGTGGTTTTTAACACAAATGAGGAATTTGCTTTGGTGACTATGTGCGTAATTCAGTCTTATTTTTGACCAAAAGCAATAAATGTTTGACCTATTTCAAGAATTCACATGCATGTGTTATTCCTCAAGCCCTGGACAGTTCAGTCATTACTAGTGAACTCAAATCACTCTCTCCTAAAGCTTGAACCTTGGATAGGTGACCTTTAAACTAGTTTTGTACCTGTGATGTCAAATCTCTCCATAAACAACAAAGGGAGCAGTGACTTTGTGGAGCCATTAAATGCTACCGTCTCCACACAATTTTTATGATTATGTTTTAACAATGCTACCTGGTGAAAGAAAGAAGTCACGCCTAAATCTATTTGAGTCACATTCACTTGTTGGTCAGCGTTCACAAGCAGTGACTGAAGTGTTCTGAGGCAAACAAATAAAGTGACTTTTTAAAATGATGGCATTCAACTTTAATTGGTTTCTTAAAGTGAGAGCATTTTTGCAGTGTGACTCACTTGTTGTGAGGTAGATGGCACGGGGCTCAAGGAAGTGATCGGTGGTTTAGCAGAGGGAAGGGTGAGGCGCTGTCCTGTGTCTGGAGGTGTGAAGAGCGAGCGGGATCGGGAGCTCATCTCCAGGCGTTCAGGGCTGGGCCTGCTTGACTGGGCCTCCTGGGAGAACACAGGCTGGCTTGATGACTGGGTTGGGGTGGCGGGTGGTGTGGAGAGTCCTGAGGCTGCAGAGAGATAAAAATAAAAGGACCACAATTATAGATACCACAACTTATCTCTTGTTTCTCTCAATGTCAATCCATACGCCGTTCCCAGGGACACTGAAACACAGCGCGGATTGACATTGTTGATAGGCTTAGTTGGCAAGACTGAGGCCCTACAATCGTGACTGCCTCAGATACCATCAATGCTGTCACATGCTATTACAGAGAAGGAATGCATTTCTGATCCATCAGGTTGCTGCGGGTCCTGGCTACAGAGAAACAACACAGATACCAGGGATAAAGCCTCAGCCCAGTTGCTGACAGACGGGGGTGCAGCATTACAATCAATCACCATTACTAAAAGAGCTTGTATACATTATATCAACTTAAATAACAATTAGCAACTTACAGACATAAATAGTTTTTGCTATCCACTCCTTCTATAACTCATGTTTTAAAAAATACTGTTAAATCTATAAAATGTTATACAATTCACAACATTTTAAAAAAGGTTGTTTACATTTTTACAAGGCCCCACATGCCCATGGTCAACCACACAGGTGTTTTCACTTATTTTGCCTGATTAGACTTTGCCTGAAGACTGTGTGGGAACGTAATTATAGTTTGCCCAATTTCAACCTGAGCAGAAGTCTAATTAGCCAGAAGTGAAAACACCTGCGCAGGTTTCCAAAAACCTTTTTGTTAATCCATTCAATAGTGTGCCCTCCAAGCTTGCACTTGTTTTGTCTCTTGCTTTTTTGTTTGTTTTCAGCCTTGTGTGGGATCAGTGGCCAAAAGCGGAACAGTGAGCGCTCCTGTTGCACCTCTGTGGGTTGGACTTCATTACATTTTTAGAGTGACAAATTGGCTGCATGTCTTTACATTATAATGTAATGTGTATAATGATGAAGAGAAAAGAAAGGCTCAAATGCTGTAAAACAAATAATCAATAACAAAATGACAAAAAGACAACCGTTTTATTTAAATTCTAAAAATTTTTAAATCAATGGGTTCAACATTTTTAAATTACTGGAGTACAGCTATGATGTTGCATATTTACTTTTACTTTATTATCCCTTTTTAAATAGTTTATAAATTATCAATTAATCAAGTAATTGATTATATTTAACCACTTCCTCAATAACACTGCAGTGAACAGACAGCTGTTGACATCTACATTATTCGGTGTTCCCTTGATGGCACTCCAAAGTTCAACTCACCGAAATGAATGATGTAAAAAAAGGGATCCATAATGGATCAATATTGGAAAAAGAAACACAATGAATCATGCAGATTGTGTTTTCCCTGTTCCTGGCGCCCCTCCACAGTAACTAGGCCGATTACAACATAAGCAGCCGCATTAAACCCAACAGTCTGTCTGTGACATGAGCTCCTCCTGCGGAAGTGTCAGGTTGAAGGTGTCAGTCACATGACAGCCCTCACACGCTCTTTCACATCAGGCGTCACGATCTTACGCGGGGTGACACGCGACACTCACGCTGCCCTGGCTCCACCCCAATATTTCTGAGGCCAGACAAAGAGTGGCATGGGTGATGTGGACCAAATGGGTCACACGTCTTCCACCACGAGACTTTGTGTTGTCTTTTATCTTTCATTGCATATCCAGCACTAGTGAAAATATAAGCAGCAGTTTCAGTAAATCAGCCCACTTGACTCAGTCATATGAAATGAGCTGAGATCATTTATAAGTCATTCAAGCATATGACAAAGTACAAAGTATTTAGCATCTTTCTTAGGACTTTCTGCTATCTAAATATAATCTTCAAGTAATAATAATCACAAAAAATAAAAACATTCAAGTTAGGAGATATTTTCATAAATGAACCCTGTGTGTTGCGTGAACATTTTTCCTTGGTCAGTGCACTCCACACTATCTCTTGACATTTAGTTGGCATGCACCAGCCCTTTTTGGCGTACCCTGTTTCCGCTGTGTAGCCTTCTTATTTTAGTCACGCTGTTGTGGCACATTCCACAGGAGGAGATAACAGCGGGGCTGGGAGCCCTCTCTTCAGCCTGGTTTATAGGGGGTAAGCTAGACACCACACAGGAAACAGGAAATTGATGCCTTGCTGCAAGTAGTACAGTCAATTTAACTTTACATATATTTAAAAAAACATGCAGTATATAATATTTTAGAGCGAAGTTACCTAAGAACATACTACAGAGCGGTTTACGCAGGGAGACACAAGCAGCATTGATTTGTAAAGTAAATCTCTCCTTAACCTGATAATCAGTTTGCAGCCATTTGACCACTTTATTACCGTTTTATTTACAGATGAAACTATCAGTCAAATTAATCAATTAGTCGACTCATAAAATTCATCTGCAACTATTTTACAATTAATTCATTTTTAAAGTAATTTTCTAAGTAAAATGACAATATTTCCTGGTTCCACAATTGTGAGGATTTACTACTTTTTTGTCTTACATGATACTAAACTGTACAAAAACTGTCCCAACTGCTAAACAAGCAATATAAAAAAAAAAGAGGTCACCTTAGGATTTGGGACATTTTAATGGGCATTTTTCACTATTTTCTGATTATTGTAGGTCAAAAGATTAATCAATCAATCAAGAAATAATAATTTACATTTTACAAAGCTGAAACAATTATCCTAGTTTAATAATCAATTAGACAATCGACAGAAAAAGAAGATTAATAACTATTTTCATCATCAATTTATCATTTCAGTCATCTTTCAGATGTCTTTCATAGGTCGGCAATGTCAAACGTTACCAGCTTCTCAATTTGTAAAAAAAATTTTTTCCCAGTTTGTATCAAACTAAACTGAATATTTTTTCAGTTTTTAACTGTTAGTTGAACAAAGCAAGCTATTTGAAGATATCACCTTGGACTTTAGGAAGTTGTGTGAGATGTGCTCAGTGGTTCACAGGTGTTCGCAGAAGGTTGCAGATTAGCAGGGGCTAATCACACTTGGTTGTTCTATTGAAATTTTTCTGCAAGCTGTGTTAACATAACACCCACAAAAAAGCGAATCCTCTCAGTCTGGGTGGCCCCTGAGGAGTAGACAGCGTGTTTTCAGTTAAGTGGGGCTACTGTGCCTCTGGCAGCAACATAAGCTAACATAAGTAAGGCTTCTCCAGGCCCAGAGGACGTGCCTTCGTTTGCACTAGTTAGAACTGGTGTGTGGACTGTGAAGCAAAAGGTGATATGACAGTGAGTAACCCCCAGTTAGCAACAAAGGTTTCAAACTAATTAATTTATTTGGGTAAACTGTTAAGGGATATGACTGTTCAGCGCTGCAGTAACAGCATGTTCTCTAACTCACATAGGTAACTGCATCATGGCAAAACATTTAAATGAGCAGTCACAATTCAAACACACAGCAAATGGACTCCTCTATTTGGCAACTGCTGAAATTTCTCATGCAGATGTCAGCATCTTAGACGGTGCAGTGAAAATTGAAAGCGGCATAGTTTACTTTCCACATGTAGAGGTTCTGGATCATAAGACTTTAGAGTATAGGCAGAGATGTTACCATGACGTATACTGTCTTTTACGATGAACTCTACATCTTCTACATCCACATATGGAGGTACATAATTGTGACAGGACTCCTCTCATCTACTCCACCGAGGTCAGACTGCCTCTAAATCAGGATCCGTAGCATCTGTGATAAAGTGCCACACAGTGGGTCCCAGTGCTTCACTCATCAAGCATTATGAGCCAACACTTAACAGTAACTGCAGTAAGTCTGCATGGTGGTCAGTGCTTTTTTGTCACTGTTCAAGGACCTGCTTCTGGAGGAATATTATGTACAGAGATACTGTCCCCACACATAAGGGAAAAAAGCCCCCAAAATTCAACTTGTTTTGACTGTTCCTCCTTCAGCTGAAATGCTTCCTGTCAATTTAAATAGGCCTACAGATTTCAAAATGGAGCAGCTATTCTGAAGGGACTCCCTTAGGATGTGGGACAGAAGTAATGACATTGAACTGACACTGACTCAACTGACTCAAATAGAGTGGCTATAAATCACTTTACCATAAGGAAAAGTCTCACTTATGGTATTCCATTTAATTCAGACATAGCATTAACAAGACTACTGTCACATACCGTCCGTCGTAGATAACACCGCCTTGACATATGAATTACTGGAGACATATTAGTCTAGCACAATGCATAAAGCATCATGTAGAATGTGCAGATGCATCTCTATGAACTTAGATCAAGTTTCAGCTAGCCTCTTGCTGCAGGTCAACCCCACACAGATAGCTGTACCACTTTGGGCTGTGTCCTGACAATCTGTACAGATGTACTGCATGCTTTTGTGAAAGCAGGGACTAGTCATGTAACCAGCACCTAAACTATACAAACTATATATAAGACCACAACAAAAAATATTCAGCAACCATATGCACAGTAAATAATGAATACAGTATATAGGCAAGGAATAGATTTATACCAAATAAAAAAACAGATGCTCCCCTGAGTCTTGATGTTTACAATACATTTATCTGAAACCTTATTTCCTTAAAAAGGTGCACTAGCAGTGACTTCACTATGTATGCTGTTTGACTGTAAACATAAAAAAGATTCCAAGATTACTGTACTGTAACTGGAGGACGCTGCAGGAACATTTTAAGATAAAGTAGTAACAGAGCAGGTGACGAGCACAGCGCATTACCAGACAGACATGATGCCTCGGACTGATGCCTCCCTCCTAGCCCATCTTGCTCCTTCCTTTTCTTGCTCCTCCTCAGGCTGCCAAACCTCTTCATGGATTGCAGTGGGTTGTTGGTTCAAAACTAAATTTGACCATGACCATCTGCATCACGGTAGGGGCACAGAGATGTCTCAAAAAGGTCCCAAGTGAGGGTTACTCCACTTGCTAGATGAAGAAAGTTGTACAGAACTGAAGTTGAAAAGTACATCCACTTAAGGGAGTCCAAAATGGTTAGTCTTTGAAGCAGTCTTTAGGAGGGGAGAGGGTCCTTTTTATTAATGGAGGAAAATGGTCACCTACAATCTATGGATGAAGAAAATATAATAGTCTTCTGGCTTCTTCTGCAGGAGAAAACGTAATTTAAGCTATTCTATGATGTTGAGCACTTGACTTTCTCTAGAAGCCAGCAGTACAAGTTAAAAACAGAAAATAAAAACCACAGCAAGGCTAAGTTTGCATATCCAGGCAAAAAAAAAAAATCCTCCAAGGCCACAGAGCACAGAGTCAGCAGGACGCAGTGTACAGTATCTTTGTCAACTCATACATTTGAAGGATCTTTTCCTTCAAATGGAGAGTTTGAAAGCAGTAAACTCCACACAGCTTCAGTTATGAAGTGTCCCTCTTGCAAGTGATGCAAATAAAAACTTGGGCCGCACTCTTTCCCACCCTCTATGCGGTGTCAGTGCTGTAAATTGTCAGGTGCAGCTGTGGGTGGCGTCTCTTTAATATAGCACGCATGTCGGCAGCCTATAAAAGGAGGCCAGTCTATGAAGGCTATGCCAGTGATTGGCTCAGGCTGCGCACCTCCCTGCCCCCCCTTACACCCACTGCCCTCCCTCTTCCCACAGAGTAAAGTCAGCACAGGCACATCTGTCTCACTCTGTCTTCACACAATGTAACATTCAGGCTCGCACAATCTCAGTGTTTCCTGAAATGAAAACTCCTTCCTTTCTAATTTCTCTGAATTTGCAGCTCAAAATTAAAGGGATTACGCTGGGAATCCTGCAGCTCTGTCATTTGTACAGCCCGTTCTCTGTAACTTTTGGGGGGCCTGACCTTTAAGATTGCTGAGGCCAGCCCCTGTCAGATGAAAGCAGGGGGACATCTCATTTTGCTGTCAGCTGATCAGAAAGCCTCCATTCAATACCACTAGCCTCCCCTACCCTTAACAGATGGCCCACTTAATATTTGCTGCTCACATTAGCTACAGCATGTCCAGTACAGATCTCAATTAACATGTTATGCAAGTGCTCCACTCCACTCAGTGGGTCAATGTGAGTGAGGGGTTGACATAGCAATGGTAAAACCAGTCACCTCAAACATACTATGATACTTTTCATTATCCTTATAAAATAAATTTGCTTCAATTTGTATTGAAGGTTGCTAAGTATCAGATCCATGTGGATTTTAAATACTGTTTATCCAAACATCTACGTGTTCATGGTGTATTTTGTTAAGTGCTTACCTGGCTTAGCATCCTCACTCAAAATAAAATCATTCTGCCCTTGTAAGGCCTGTGTTTTGAGAATTTGGAAAGTCAAAACTGCCCGGTTCCTTTATTTACTGACAACATACAGCACACAGTAGCAACAGAGAGAGTGAGTGAGAGAGAGTTGGAAAAAATGAAGAAGAAAAAAAACACTGCATGGTTGTGTGAAGAGCTCCTGAGAGTCTGGTCACTTCCAGATAAGGGTATGAAAGCTCTACAGTTGCCTTCAACAGTGAAAGACTGACAATGTCCAGGCGATGGGAAAACACATATTTAGACCAGATGGGAATGAGAAGACATTCTGATCATATATGTAGCAAATATGGATATAAATGCGCCTGAGAAAACATAGTCACCTAATGTTTATTAGTCACATTTATGTTTACTAAAATGGTATATAAAAATACAGATAATAATGTACAGGTTATAAAATTGACAGCTTATTCAACACTAGTTGAAGAACTACATCAAGACAAGATTATGCCTTTAGCACACCCTTGTGGCAAAAGTAGCGTGTCTACAAAAACATCCCACTAATAAAAATAGAAAAGCTCAGCCTGTCCACTCAGTTGCTGCATGATATTAATTTGTTACTACTATCATTGGCCCCCGATCATTTAAAGCCCCATCATTATTCAGAAAACAAACAGAGGATGGAATGTCTCAAACCACATCAAACTCTGGAAATCCTGAGCAGCTGGCACGAGAGGGCTGTAGCTGTTGGTGTGTGTTTTGGTGTGTTTTAGCTTGGTTACCATCAATAATCTCCAAAGCAAACGGAGCATGCTCTCTCTTGAGGTCTGGCCCTGACAGAACTATTCCAACAGCCACTGCCAAACTGACCCTCTGTGAGGAAACAGAAGAATGGGTATGTGTACGAGCCAAAAACGTATGACTCATCTTTGTGCCGTTTGATGCTGCTTCCAGCAGGGCTGTTTCCGTGTAAAACAGGCTGGTTTTTGTTATGTAATAATCAGCCGCCCAAATACATGGAGACATGAGAGCTGAAAATCTGCCCGTGTCTGTTTTTCATAAAACTGCCTAGTCCATCTCAATTCCACTTCTTAGTGCATACCAGTATTAATGAGTTTTAACATTGAAGAATGGCTGGACTTCCACCGGTTGGATGGCAAACCTGTAACAAACAAACAACAAACCCCAGTCCACCCATTTATTTGAATGTGGGGGTAGTGTGTTAACGGTGCAGTAGTGTGAACTGCAGGGTATGCCGAAACTTTTGCAACTTGATGTCACGCTGCGGTGCCCAATCACATAAGCTGTGATCAGACTAAGATCAAACAAAGCCAACCATTTAATTTTCCTAGTTGTTGGCATTAAGAAGAGAATGAACATATATCTATCAGCACTTAAGTGATTGGCCATCTGTCTGACAATACAGGTGACCCTGTTGGTCTGCAGGGCATCCCAAAACAAAGCAGTGGATAGGCTTCTACTTCCTTATTGCTGCATGAGATGTTTTTACAGTATCTCATAAAAGTGAGTACACCCCTCACATTTTTGTAAATATTTGATTATATCTTTCCATGTGACAACACTGAAGAAATGACACTTTGCTACAATGTAAAGTAGTGAGTATACAGCTTATATAACAGTGTAAATTTGTTGTCCCACATCACACATTAATGTCAAAACCGTTGGTAACGAAAGTGAGTACACCCCTAACTGAAAATGTCCAAATTGGGCCCAATTAGCCATTTTCCCTCCCCGGAGTCATGTGACTCGTTATTGTTACAAGGTCACAGGTGTGAATGAGGAGCAAGTGTGTTAAATTTTGCTCTCACACTCCTTCATACTGGTCACTGGAAGTTCAACTGTATGTCAGGTCTGTCACAAGCAAGATATCTATTAACTCACAAACTTTATATAACACTTATGTAGCATTATAGAACTCAATTAGAAGCAGGTTCCTGTATGTGGTTTTACTTCATACAGCAGGAAACCCAACTTATCTTTTGAGATAACACTGTTTCATCTATTGTGTCTTACTTCCTTTATAATCGTCTTCCCTCTAGTTCTGGTCTTGCACAGTATATAAGAACTGATTTGCATTGCCAATACAAACCAGTTACAACAGCCATTTCAGCTTCCACCAACATTAAGCGTGTGAGTGTTTGTCATGAATGGGCAATGACAGGTTTCAGACTCACCTCTCCTGGTTCTGGAGAAAATTTTGATGCTTGCAGGTGTGGAGCTGGATGAGGAGCGGAAGATACCACTGAAGCTTAGGCGATGGGGGGACTTGGGAGAGGGGTTCTGATGGGGGGGGTAGGGGAAGATAGTTTTAGGTGAACCTGAGCTGGTCTTCGATTGCACTGGAGCTGAATGAGGACATGGGGGGAGAAGGGCGCTGGCTGGGCTCCTGGCAGACACTCCCTTGGTGGGGCTGGCTGATCGGATGTGGCGCTCTCCCTGAGAGACAATAAGGAGGCAGTTTTACTTTCCTGCATTTTTGGAAGTGAGGGTTTATGTTCACTGTGCAACAACAGTGAGTGAGAGTGAAAACTTAACTTAAGATCCAAAGCAAAGGGCCGTACTGAATGATGTATTATGAAATGACTGACTGCACTTTGGATTACTACTACTTTTTTTTTTACCTATGAACCACTGTTTAGTTTAGTTAGCCACACTGTTAAAACTTAATGGTATCTCATAAAGAGCAGTACGAGAATGTGAGAATCATGTGCCACATGCATAAATCTGTAACCGTTTACAATAACGTACACACAATTGTGGAACGAGCGAGGAACAAATCAGGAACGACCTGATTTTTAATAGTTAATAAGTTGCGTTCCCTAATATCTCAGAATCAAGGACTGTATTGATGATAATGGAGAGTTACGAGATTACAGAATTACATAATGACCACCCTTTTCATGAGTAGTTCCAGATTAACGCTGAATCAACCACTGAGCTGCACAAAACTAGTAACTCATTAATTACTCTTAACTTAGGCTACAGGCCACACTAATATGTTTTCTTTATAAAACGCAGACTTTTTGCTACGTTTGCACCTCCCATCCAGACTAAAACAGCGAATCCGAATACCTACAACGAAGAAGTTTAAAAAAACGCTGCTGACCCCATTTTCGTTTTAAAACTTCGAGGTAGCGTATTATTAGTGAGGACAGGTGAAAACAGAGGACTTTAAAAACAATGACGCAGACACTCACATTCCTGATTGGGTCTTTTAAGTCATGCAAAGCAAAAACAAAATGCTACGGACAGTGTTTATGTTTTGGTATTTCTATTAAAATATTTTGTGCTGTGCAAATAACACACATGTGCTTGTCGCCGTATTTACTTTGCGACGACTCCCACACTGTTTCAGTGCCACAGTTTGTAATCCCGTGTTATTTTCAGTAAAAGTTCCACCTCGTCGTCAGTCTGTTCCAAAAAATCTTTGGTGTGGATCTTCGTCTGTAATAGTACTTTCTTGTTTCGCTAAATGTGATGTTTTTGTAGACACGCTACTTTTGCCACAAGGGTGTGCTAAAGATAATCGCCTTCATGTTTACACCATCACGAACATGCCCAGTGTACGTGAATGATCACTAGATGTGCGTCGTTTTGATATAGACGGAGATCAACCATGATACGCAGCTAAAACGCTGGTGTGGAAAGAGATCGTATTCGTTATAAAACTCAATTCTTCCATACTCTACTGTTTACAAAAACGTAGTAGTGTTGATGTAGCCTTAATCATTAGTTACTCTTTTTGTGCACCCAAGTAAAGTGATACATCATACTGAGTTTGTTAAGTAATCCCTCTTATCTCATGATTACCAGACTGTTACTTATCTAGAAAAAAATAATTACCATTACTTAACATTTCTGTGCTAAGTACCGCTTTTATTAAAAGCCTAGTCTCAATTAAAAGCCTGGTCTGGTTTCTACAGAAGTTCTTTAGATGTATAAACCCTCTTGAAGCCCACTGGGTCACCTGCTTGAGCTATTCTAAGCTGCTTAGATTGTGAATACCAATATAAGTGTTTAAATCTTTCTATATAGACATGCTACACATCATTAGATAAGTTAGATTCTCCAAAATTCAATTGTTTTGTTCATTTTACGGAAGCAATAAGCACCAAAGTATTATTCATTCAGATTTACCGGCATGGTAAAGGAATTAAAAGCCTGTCCCATTTAGATGCCTCTCCCAAATATAGGCGGGGTGAGTTCACTGATTTAATAAAATGAAAGCCCGGGTTATTAACTGAAGTTTTACGTTAATAGACAGAATTTTGTGTACCGTATTGTGAAATGATACCAATATAGGAATATTCTGTCATGATCTAGTTTTTAAACAAGGAAATGCGATAAAAATCACTGAAAAACCAACATTGATTACTGGACATTCTCAACCAGAGAGCACTCTGATGCAACATTTTTCACTTGTTTTCTTCTGGACAATTTGCAATCTGGAGAATATCTATTCAAACTAATCCCAAGCAGAAATACCTCATTTTGTCAGCTGTACAAGACTCAATTAGAGCTAAACAGAAAAAAAAAGCAATTCATGCTGCAATCACAATCTTTATTTACTGTCTCAAGCGGCTTTATAAATCCTACTTCTCTCTAAGACATAATGTTGTGCTGCACAGTGTGTTTACCGGGCCATCATGTTCAGTGGCCTCACCCTCAATAAATCACAAACAATCAACACTTCTGTTAGTTAACAATAGTCACAATATTTTTCATTATGACTTTCTGTGTTTATAGGTATATCTCTGCAAGGTCAGTATCATGCAATAAGACTGAGAAATCCTTCTCTATTTGCTGTGCAGACACCAAAAAAAAAAAAACAACACGAGACGGCAGCCAATCTAGCTGGAGATACAGAGAACCTCCTCCCCACCACTGCCTGCTTGGGATGTGCCAACAACAAATCTTTTAACCATTTGTGGGCTCTGATATAGTGAAGCACTATCATATGCAATGATATCCGGCTGAGGTTGTATTAGTGTTTTGGTAACATTTTTGGTGGATAAAAGCCCGCCATGTATAATAACCAGTCTCAACCAAACAGATAAGCTGCATGACGATATGATGTGCAAAAAGAACCACTGCTGCTCTATAGGAAAGAAAATGCACTGGTAATAACACCAGAGGCTAAATCACTAAATTTTGTAACAAATCAAATTAAGAAAGGGAAGGGTTATTTTGTCTGGTCTCCTTAAAAAGGTTTCACGGTGGTATTTGCTTAAGGCTGGCCGTATTCATACACACATTTCTGTTTAACCAATCCTGTGACAAATCTGAGAGAGCAAGTGCACACACCCATCTTTTCTGTTTGCCAACATTTCTCACTCTGCCATTGTGCAAGCGCTTGTTAAGGCAAGTGAAGAGCGATGAGGGTTTTTTTCTGGCTATAAAATCAATTCTTTCGAAACACAAGAGAATTCAGGTTTTTATCAGCACTGCGCAATTATTACTGAGGTAAAACGGAAATGTGTTTTTTGGTGGATATGAGGTAATGATCGAGGATTAATCCTATTCAAATCCATTAGAGCAGACACTAGGAAGAGGCTGCTTTCTTTTTTAGAAAAAAAAAACTATTTCCTCTATGTGATCCTGCTATGCCTGGACACAGTGGGTGCGATGTTACTGTAAGCCAGCGAAGGTTGGCAGAATAGGAAGAATGGCCTTGTGTAATATTTTGCTCTCCCAAATCCACGTCTAAATGTGTTCAAAGCCAAACAAACCACAGCCAAACAGACAAGATAAATCATGTGCTGGAAAAAAACAAACTTGAGAAAACAAACAATTGGCAATTCAATGAAAAATAATGAGACAAAAATCATTTAAAAGAAAATTATTTCTGTACCGTCTGAGCACCACTTTTGGTGGAGCCACTCGTCTCCACTTGTGGGGAAGTAAACGCACCCAACTCCTGCGCAAAACAGAGATCTGAGTGTCAAGGATAAAGCCAACTTCCAGGAAATACAGCAGCAAAACAAAATAACATGTCATAACAGGTAAAATGAATGCATTCTTAGCCACTACATGCTACTGTAGACGGTCTCAACAATAAATGGACATGTTCACCGGCTCATTGCTTTGGGAGAAAGTGAAAATGTTCAACACCTCCTGGTTTAGGCTTTCAGCGTGCCACTGAAAAGAAGAAAAACATGTGCCACCGCGGAAACCTTTGCAAGTAAATGCAACACATAACACTCTCCTTCACATACCATACACACCCAGGGTTGGGTTTTACATTCCACTTGAGACAAATTGTGCAATGCTTGCTGCAGACATAATTAAGTGACCATGCAAACCTGTTCCGATGTCTTTTCTGCCACTACTGTGTTTCCATCAGGTTGAGTTTGGGGAAGTTTATATGGTGGGGGAAAGCGCCAACATCCAGCACTTGTATGTTGGCCAGAGTGTTGACAAAAACAGTGCTGTATTAACACGCTTACTTCCTATCAGGGAAGTGATTTTTACCATTTTTGTAACAGATTGTGTCCTTTTCATTTACGATTAAAAGGACGCAATAGGTGGATCTGATGGAAGAATCCAATAAATACATGCCTGTGAGCTACTGTCACAATAGCTGTTATCAGTGCTACAAGACAAAACAAATTATTGTCACTAAAGTGTGCTCACAGTATCCAGGAGATGGTTTGACCTTGAAAAACAGTCTTTACAGCAAAGGACAAAACAATCCCAGACATTAATTGTTGAGACTGGTGAATGGAGGCAACTGTGAATCATGGCTGGCTACTGAAATTAAGTAACATAAACAAAGCCTCATTGTTGTGACGATAATGGATCCTCACTTGCTGATTTGGAGCAGGTTGGTTCCTCTGCTTTGCTTAATATTGTGTTTGTTTTTCCCTCACAATTATTTGACACACAGGTTTTCTGTTTTATACCATCTAGTTTGTCATCCAAGTATGTTTGGGTTTTGGACTGTTGGTTGGACAAAATAAGATACCCAAGGTCCTAATCACTTTCGACTCAGTCAGATAGCCATACATAGTGACGTTGGTTGCCAAAGCAGGGGAGTTGGCTACAATGACATCACATTAAAGTGTTACTGTTATACATAGGTTACTGTTATACATAGGCCTACTGATGAAAATCTTTAAGGAAAGTAAATATGTCAAAAATATAACAATAATTAGCCATTTGTTTAATCGTTAGATGCACTTAACATGGAAATATGCAAAATCAATGAGATATATTTTGCGGCAGTAATCAAACTGACGAACTGAAAAGTACAGAGACAGCTGTCAATCATGCACGCTTGTCTGCACGCGACGACGCAAACAAAAACGGCTAACTTGATAACGCTTAAAGTTCCGGTTCTCCTGATTTCAAGTTCAACAAGTTTTTCTTAAACAGTCACAGTAAGAAGCCAAATTAGTTGATACTTCACCGACTCACTGGCATGTTAATCCTCAGACTTCTCCTCTTCTTTGGTATTTTCTTTGAGCTCTCCTTGCTGGACTCCATCACCGTGCTTCCCATTTTTGTCTTCAAAGGAGCGAAACCAGAAAAAAGTGTGCTCGTTAACTGCTGTAATGTGACTGCTGACCATCAACAGCCGCCTCCACCTTCACTTCAGCTGCCCAGTCTGCTTACTACGACAACACTGAGGCGCTGTCTCATCCACCAGGAAGTAACGTTGGGCTTGGCAGTGAAAAGAGGCAGAGCACTCAGCACGCATCTTCAAATGAGTTTCAACACGGACTGTTTACAGGTGTTATGTCACGGTCTGTACCCCGGAGAAATCTATTTCCGTGTTTATGGTTTTCCTACGACTCGGTCTCACGCCAGAGAAGGGGAAAAAACAGCATCGCTCCCTCGGTTTTTTTTTTCGGGGGGGGGGGGGCGTACTGATAAAAACAGCGCTTATATATATAAAAAATATGTTGGATCACACAGTCCTTTCTCTACAGTTTCGAGAAGGTGATTATAATCACAAGCTAATTTGTTGTTAGGAAGAGGGGCGTTAAATTGTTTACTTGTCGTTTCGCAAGCGCATTTTCTTGTACGGTGGCAAAACAAGAAAAAGGCAAAACGGAGGGCACCCAGCCAGGAAAACACGTTTATGAAGGGGAAGCTAATTTCGACACAACACCAGGCAGTGTCACGTGTATATAGATGCTTCGCCAACAGATGTCAGTACGACTCTGGTTAGATGGCCAAGAATGAAATATGATGTAGACCTGCTGTAAACAAATTGGCAGAATAACATAATACCACTACTACTACTAAGGATAATAGTTCACAGTTAAGAGGATCACACCAAATGCATGGTCACCTTTGGTATCTATATTTATTCTACCTCTACTTGATACCTCTATTTTTTTTATGAAAATACGTTAAAATATACAGTTCTGTATAGGTAGAATAGAGTTCAGTGATGATGACAGGATCTAGACTATTTTGCTATCACTAAAATCTAGTGGGAGCCAGTGCAAGCTAGGATGCTTAATTTGGGCACATGTGACCAATAGTCCATGTTCATGTTATTAGAATGAATAACTATTATAAGAAAGAATATATATCTTAGCTGTTATTCTTGGTTGTGGAAACCTATTGCACGGGCCACTGACAAATCAGTTGTATAAAACACAGCCAATGACTGATTGTGATCTTCCTCTGGCTTTGACTGCAGTCTAGCTTTTTTGCTTCAAGTCTATGTAGTGTTTCTAATAAATTTAAAGTTTGAACAGTGCACATAACATACTATATGTTGATTTCATCATACAGTATTTGCCCCAATACTTACCATCAATAACTAAAATATTATCTAATGTCAGGTTTGCTGTAATTTAATTAAAGAAACACACTTTAATATGCACCAAGTAACTTAAATAAGGAAAGTCAACCAGTTTTCTTTAAGAGACAGTTTCTACTGTAGTGCATGTATGATGGTTTATACATCTTACATCATACTCTAGCAGCATAACAGGAATTTACTGCAGAGGCAGCAGTGTTTTTAGTCCTAGTCAAACCTGCAGTGATGCTCCCGAGTCCCAGGAGTGATTCTGGGATGCTTGATCCAGGCAGCACACAGAGCAGTTTGAATTTAGTTAAGACTGTACCCAAAATGATCATGTGTCTTTATATTTAAGGGTAAGCACCCTCCTTGGGGTCTCAAGATTAATCTTAAGGGTCACAAGTTGATTGAAGAGAGATACAAAAAGAAAAAAGAAAAGAAAAAAATCTTTTTCCAAACGTCCATTTTTTTTCTCTCCATTTTTTAATGTTTGCTTCTTTCTTGTTAATGAAATACCTGATAACTTCACATCGTTAGTCTAAGGGAAAACTGTTCAACTGACCCACATTAAGGCCATAGTCTGTGAAAATTTGTCAGAGGTAGACATAGCTTCATTTAAAGGGGGATAGAGATGATTAATTGTATTAATTTATTGCTTTTTATTTTAAGGCAAAATGCTCAGAAATTATAATAATGAGCATTTTCACCATCTTCAGACATTTCATATACCAAGTGATTATAAATGAATGAAAATAAGGAAGTTGGTTGAGGCCCTAAAGGGGTCAAAAGACAAAAACTGATGCCACTGATGTATTTACTTGTATCCATAGAAATAAATAATCTGCCTCCAAAAGGACGCTCTTTTTAGATATACCTCCAATTTCTTATGTAAATAACTGTTACACTTTGCTAATCCCCTTAAGCCTCAATTGGCTTCTTCTTCAAAGTCAAAAATAGTGTGATATATATCTATATATATATATACACACACACACACACATTTAACCACCGATGCTAGGGAAATGAACAATTTCTTACATCTTAATTTCTTCATATACAAAAATTTCAAATGTGTAATTATTGATATCACATACACAATTCACTAACATGTAAAATAGTTTATTTTGTAAATGTTTCTAAATTCAATTCCACAACTCCAAACCTCATACTCTGTACACCTCAAAAGGCATTTTCAAAAAAACAAACAAAAAACAAACAAACAAAGAAAACAAAAAAGAAAGAAACAAAATCTGACTACACGACCAAGAAAATGTAGCACAAACACACTGGCAGGATGATGTAATATCATACAAGAGAAGAAAAATATCCAAGAAACAATTTTGTTACAACCATTCATTGAGAAAATATATACAATTGCGTCTTCGGAAAGTTAAAAAAATACATGCCATATACATTACAAGTTCTAAGACTGTTTTCAAAATTTTACAGTCGACTTGAAATTGTGCACGCAAAAACTCTTCCGTTTCTAAGCATGTGACTTGTGAAGTGTCAGTATAAGAAATATTTCTGATTAAGGAGAATGCCATTTCTGTCTAAAAAGGTTGAACAACCTACGGTTCCCCATACGTTTCTGTCACACACTGGTTCGTCTAACTCACAACATCATTAGACGTTTGCACCTCATTTTAAAAGCAATGTAAAAACAACAGAACAGGTAAATACATGTTGGTGTTCCTATTTGTGTTAAAAAGTTAAAAAGTTGTTTTTGGGTTTCAAAACCTAATTCACAGTTCTTTAAAATCAAACCTGATTAACAGCAAACAGATCACACTGATCTCTTACTATTTGAAGAGTCTGTTTTTTTTTCTTGATTCTGTAACTGATGAACTCGTAACGTTAGTCAACAAAAATATTTCTTTTTTGAGTGGTCAAAGTATGTGTAAGTCACAAAACACTACGCTACAATACCTTACTTTTAATACAACAAAAATACTTTGTGAATTATTGTGGTTATATTACAAATTCTGTACAGAATAATCATAATATATACTCTCAAACTGAAATAACGTCCATCTTAAATAAATTTCAATGACAAACAGAACAAAAACAATTTAAAAACACCCAAACATCAAGAAGGTTAAGGTAGTATTTGGTCGGTTATTCCTATAGTTTTCTTTATGTACATTTATACAAAAGTAACAGCATGTCTTCCTCAATCTTCAAAAACAATAGCAATCTAACCTTCTTTAACGCAGTCTCATCATTTTGAGAATAAAATTCATTCACTCAGTAATAAATACAAAACCTCTCGAAATCCACACAAATCACATGACAGAGACCTATGATAAAACTGACTCATGGAATCAAGTATTTTAAAAGTTTTCGTGTGTGTGTTTTTTTTTTGTTTATTTTCTTTTTTTAGTGCAAGTTAATATTCCCTTCGCGCTATTCATTGCTGTACATTCCTCATTCAGTGATGTCTACATTTAGTCTCATGGTATACATTAACAGTATGAAACAAAAGGGCCTGCCCTTAGTAAGCAATAAGGCCGCACCCTGCACAGTGCTTTCTCATTCGCTGGTGGATTCCGCACCCCATGTACACCAAACAAATGCACAGATACATACAGACAGACAGAGGCATCTCATACAACAGAGCCCCTCCCACATATGGCACAAGTCACATCCTGCTCCTGTGTTACATTTCCCTTCCTCCACCCATTTTCTTCAATCATCTTGATTAACCAAAACGTAAATGTATTCACTCTCTCCAAGGGTTTAGGGCCTTCTGCTCATTCATAAAATGACTTTAGTGTGAAGACTTTTTTTTTCTCCTCTCTGCGCAGAGATCACAGCATCCACACACCATAACACCAAAGGAATGCATTTAGGTTTGTCGTATTTTTGTTTTCCTCAGTTAATCCACTTCCTGCATTCAGGAGCTCCACAGTGGCAAGCGATCTTGTGGTGACCCTCCACAGTGTCAAACTGGTAGTCGAAACACAGCTGGAAAACAGGGCGGGAAACATCAGTGACATAGCATCATATTTGACACGTACATTCATGCGACCGTATACCGTTAGAAGTCTAATCAAAGAAAAGATATGCACCTCCTCTCCTTTGTCAATTCTGCGAATGCAGCTGATGATGATTTTGTAACCCCTTTCAAATGTGACCACCTCAGCAACACAGTTTGGGGCACAAGAGTGGTTGATATATCTGAAAAACAAAATAAAAATGAAAAGAGATTTACTTCATGTAACAACATTCTACCTGACTATAAAGTACCTGAATGTTCATTTTACATTTCAAATGATTGCAAATAGCAAAAATGTTATCTTTACTTAAGTTATGTTTTCTAATTAGAAAAAAATTTTAAACTTAAATATCCAGATTTTTTATTTTGTTTTAAACATTTTATAGGTTTAAATTTGAATAAACACATCTTCAAAATTACTGTCACATGTTTATACAAATTCAAGTATGGCAGAAGCCCTTCGCTTAAAATGAACTGCACAACGCTTTCACTTTGTCTTCAGGAACAGCGCTGGGCTGTATGAACGGGCGCCATCTTGGAAAACGGTACCTAGTTTTTAATACGCAAAAACAGCGCTGTGCCACATTCGGAGCTGCAGGACCATGAAAGACCAGCATACAGGATATTTAAACGGCACCAACAACTGTATTAAGAAGTTATTTTAGTATTACATTAATGCGCGCAGGCAAAGTCAAAGACACTAACACGGGCAGGCAACAGTGGCAAGCAATATGTGATGAGCACCCAGGAAGGAAGTGAAGCAACAGACAGTGTGTCTAAGCAGAGTCAGCAGCTTTCATTCAAATGAATGGGGTTGTCACATTTAAAAAAATAATCATCCATGTTTTGGGGCAATGCATACAATCAAACCATCTTTTATCTTATTTTAACAAAAAACTAATAAAGACTGATGCAAAAAAAAGCAACCAGCAGCCATAAAAATAGGCTAAACCACGCACACACATATGCAGGTGCTGTGCTGGGAGACTTTAACAATGGCAAGCCAGATGCAGAGACACAGTATGTTCTGCTTTTCCTGATTGGTAAATTGGCAGTTTGACAATATGGGATATTCAGATGCTGCTACAAACTGCAAGTTTTCTTCATGCTGAATTTGCCTTACCCAAAAATTGAGATACAGACACATTCAGTTTCACCATTACACATGCTCATTATAGACACAAACATTTCACACACATCTCAAAGTACCTTGCTAGCCCTCCAGTTCGAGTGGCATCAACAACGTGTTCGCTGTCGATGCGGAACATGAACACTTCTCGGTTCTGTGAGGGAAAAGGGAGAATTTACTTGCCATTTGTTTTGGCAAAAAAGCTTAGGCAAAAGAAATGATAGCCTAAAAAGTATTACAGATGTATACCTGCGATCTATAGATCTTCTCCTTCCTGATGGCAACCTCATTTCGGAGGATGGTTCCATTGTACTCAATCATCATAGTTTGTTTTTCAATGTCTTTAGCAGCAAACAGCCCCAGGCCCTGTGAATACATCACACAAGCACGTATTTATGCTGCCCACAGCATCCAAGAGCATCAGCCATACTCTTTCAAAACTGAGAAACAAATAAAATATCTGTTTCAATACTGACCTGGATTCGAGAGCGAGCCAGATAGACATTGGCTCTCCACTCACTCTTCATCCAGCGGTACTGAGAAGACCTAGGGTGCACTACTGGAGGCTTGCTATGGGGGGCGCCACCTTCTCCTTGGGCCACATTCTGGTTAGACCTGGCACTGCTGCTGGATACAGCCTGTGGTTGTGGCCTTTATGTTGAGGGAGGAAATAACAAAATATGATTTGCTTTGAGACAGCATGTGCCCAGAAAGAATTAATGTCAGTTTCACTCAACGCTACCTTATCACCAGTGAAGTGTAGGGAGAGCTGGTTCTTGGTTGGGCGCGGGCACTGCCAGCTGGATTGAACATGAGAGGCAACTCCACAAGAGGGTTGCGTCCGTAACGGAATGAGTACCTGTCACAAACTTCCACTCCGGGGAGCTGGAATAAATGAGTAAAAAAGGGTTATATCCTGCAGACTCTATAGAATGTGATCCACCACACTTCTTTACATTTCAGATTCCTTAACTAGTAAAAAACAGAAAAAAGCAGCTACAAACCGATTCAGTGATCTTGGTGACTGCAGGGACTGTGAGTCCAAACAAGTCCTCCCCTTTCAGGTAAACAGGGAAGAGCTTTAGAGTGCCTGATTCAGTTCTTTTCTCAGCAACAGGACCCAGAACCTTATCCCACACTCCTAATTACAGTGAGACAAGCACACGTGGTGGTTAAAAACTTCTCTGTAAAGAAACGCAAAATAATATTTCTGAAGAATCCATAAAAACAAACCTTTAGCTGAGGTGTCACTCAGGACCAGGTCTTGGTAGCCCTGTTCGATGACTCTGATGGAAAACTCTGGCAGTCCGTCTCGCTCCTCAACAGAACAGACGTAGCGGCAACGGCGGTTGCCATGGCGCATGCTCCAGTAAATGCGGCAGGCCTCGTAGCCAACTGGAAAGATGGCTGTTGGGGAATGGAAGGCTGCCATTTGTTGAGGAGTTAGTTGACCCATTGCATGCAACACCAGGCTGCCGACTCGAAAGGTATAGCCTAACTCTGGCTGCCGCACAGCTGTGGCAATCTGACGCACTTCGTCTCTCTGGACATAGACACGTCGGAAGACGGCAAAACAACGCAGCTCATGCTCCAGAGCTTGTCCACCTGTTCCCCGAGGCCTGTGGGCATGGCACAGCATGGTCTTGTCCTTGAAGAAGGTGCACTGAGCTTGCAGAGCACAGGTGAAATGGTAGACGTTGGTACAGCGAAGGCGGTGGCAGCCGCTGGTGGCGCCAGTCTGTTGACAGTAGGCGCAGCGTACGGTTTGGCCACGACGCAGGGCAAGCTCCACGTTGATGAGGGCGCCAGCCTGTGTCTCATACACCTCAGTTGACCACAGGGCACAGTTTAGGTGAACCCATACATCAAGATCTAGATTAAGAAGCCTAGCAGGGCCATCAGTGATCCCATCTCCGAACTGGTGGCAAAAACAGCACCGCCTGTGGTCGCGGAGTGAAGCAGGAGGGCGCAAGGATGCCCCGAGTTTCTTCAGCAGCTCATCAATCTTGTCCTCATCTGGGAGTTGGGAATTCCCTCTTGGCACCACCACCTGGACAGTCCACTTCCTCCAGCGGAGTCCTTTCGGTCTCTTTCCCTGGTGCCAGCCTTCATGGGACCTTGGCCGGGCCTTCAGCTTCACTGTCACTTTGATGGCATCAGACTTGGTCTCCGTCTTGGATGTCTCGCCTGCTGTGGGGAAGGGGATTGGAGGAGTCGAGGGGGGAGACTGCTTGGGCTGAAGCTGGGCCAGGCAATGAACATCCAGCGATGACATGTTGTTACTGTACTGGTGCTGAATCTTAGAAAGGCTCTCCGTTTGCTCGGAGGCAGGGAGAAGGGACACTGATTCCTGAAGAGACGAAACAAGAGCCATGATGTCCAGAAAAAAATTAAAAAAAACATAATGACTGCATGTTATTTAGACTCACAGTGGCATTTCTGCATGTGTTGCAGTGGTACAAACCTTAGTTTCTGTGGTTGATCTGGAATGCAGGGGCGGTGAGGAATGGTAGAGAAGGAAGCAGCTCTGACTACAGAAGACAAGGTCCTCTTCAGATTTCAAACGGCCTTCAGATTCCTAATGAGAGAAATCGGTAATTTTAACAGGCTGAATAAGTAATAATGTGTTAAATCAAAGCCTGGCCAATGTGAACAGCTTAGGCTTAACTGACATTTAAAGAAGTTATGAAATAAACATAAAAAACATACAATATTTAAATAACCAAAATACTCTCAAGGCTAAAGTCAGAGGGTATGCTGTTTAACCCACTAATTGATCCGAAATGGATTGAACTCTAACAGGCAGGATTTACATAATCAGAGGAGATATGTAGTATTACTGTCTGTCTGTCTCTGTGTGTGTGTGTGTGTGTGTGTGTGTGTGTGTGTGTGTGTGTGTGTGTGTGTGTGTGTGTGTGTGTGTATAGATGTGTAAGGCCCTTCAGGCTGAAAGTAGATAATATATCCTCTAAAGTAAGGTCTGTGCATCTAGTCATAGCGCATCTAGTCCATCCACCGGGAAATCAATAATAAAACAATCCATAGTTGTTTGGCAGAGAGGACCTTTTATGAACTGGAACTATCTGTACATTTAAAGCATGTCTTTATTAGTCACAAAATCACACTTTTAACATCCAAGTGTTCCAGCTGAAAGGTGGCTTGTCTACTAAATATACCGCCCTGCTGCCATATGGAGTGTTTAAGCCTAATTAATTTGGTACCTTCATGTGGGCAGGGAGATCGTTGATGGATTTCTGCACTCCATTTCCCAGAACCACCACCTTACAGTGGCGGCACCACTGAGGTTTACATCCAGGGCTGGCAGGGGTCTTCTGGTCAGATCCTCGAGCTAGAGCTGCGCCTCCAAGTAACAGAAAATATATTTCACACATTTGAATCCATTTCAAACTGTATTCTGATAGTAAACCAAAATTATACTTCACTTTAAGTTAACAAGTAAATGTTAACACTGTAAATAAAACGCCCTATTACAGAAGTACTGATCATGGACTATAGGTCAAGTGTAGGCCACTTTCCTATCCAAATGTTTCTGTGCCAACACCACTCATTAGGCCTGTCACTACACCTTTGACAGCAGTAAGCAGGAGTCTGAATGCTGCAGTGGTGTAAACAAAAATCGTTTATTCATTAGCTGGAACAATTGCTAAAAATCAATAAGGGTGCCTGACAGCACCTGGGCTATATGCTGCTTTCAGCCCCAGACTTATGATGATATAAAAGACAAAATGGCAGTTAGAAAATACTGTTTTAAGATAATTGCTCTTGCGGAGATTTAAGTATTAACAGTTATATATTGAGATTGCATTGCTGCTTTGTGCTTTTTTACAGGAAGTAATTGTGTTAGTAGCATAAATCAGACCTGACATTTCAATTACAGGCTGTATTATAGTGTCGGAGATGCTCTTGTTTAATTTAGTTTTATTCCCTCACCTGGGCTGTTGGGATGGAAACGGAAGTGATGTGCCTGCTGCTGTTGCATCATCCCCTGCGCCCCGCCGGGCCTTATCATCTGTCCCGGCCGTCCGTGAAGCCCTCCATTGTCTCCTTGTCCATGGAACAGCATGGGGGGTCGAGGCTCCATGCCGTGGGGGCCCACTCTAGGACCACTGAGCATAGATATGGGCACCCTGTCTGGGGTACTGCTGACCTCATAACTACTTGGGATCTTTACACACAGTAGGTCTGAAATGGCTGCCACTACACCTGTGATGTTCTGAGAAAAACACAACACGAATATGTTAGCTGATTAGTTCATTCATCAAAAATTTTAATCAATAGCTCCAGCAAGGCTGGATGTTTGGATTTGCATTTACATCCCCGGCCATTTATTATTTTACAATGCTTTTATCATTTGCCCATTTGTGACTCCGTGTTCTAGACTGACAGTACTAACAAAAGTAAGACTTAAGTCTAAAAATGTCTGTGAAACCACAGTCAATTTAAGTATTCCTACCTCTGCTGCAGCTGGTCTCAGTGTGATAGCTACAGACACCAGTCCTTGTTTGGAATCATTAGACATGGGGCCAAAGGGGGAGCCGAAGAACATGGCAGAAGGCTCTGTTTTGATATCCTGTAGTTTGATTTCTGAACCTAGAGTACACAAGAGCACAAAAAAAAGGTCACACTGGAAAGGCATGCTGGAGTTGTGTGTTCCAAATAAAACATCCAAATAAATGTTTTAATTGTGTTGACTATGTTGGAGTTTGTGTGTGTTTACCTTTCCCATCAGGCACAGGAAGCATGGGGAGGACAGGAGACAGGCAGGGGGACGGTGGCTCTTCCTTTACCAGAGACAGGTCTGGGTAGCGACTGATCTCCATGCCAACCACACTCTCGGGAGATGAGGATGGAACAAAACTATCAGGTGTGTCCCGGTCCTTGCAAGGCTCCTGTCCTCTGTTACTGTTATCAGAAACAAACAAAAAAAAATAAATAGTCACCTCTGTCAAGGCCATGCGGCCTCAAATCGATTATAATAACATGATGACATGACTGTTCAGCACAACTAAATGTTATGACAGCCGTTGAAGGTTCAGTAGCCCTCCACTAGAAAGTTAGAAAGAATTACTTTTATTTATCCATTACCTGATCTCCTCTTGGTTGTTGTGAGGAGGGGTGGGGAGGGAGGCCGGAACATCCACAGTTTTGGGTCCCTGTGCGATGGCCCGGGCTAACAGGTCTTCCTCAGTCCTAAATGGGACATGCAGTGGCTTTGGGACCAGGCCTTTGGACACTGTATGAAACAGGAGCACAATGTCAAAACGAATGTAACACTATACTTGCCTCTAATGATGGAAATACTGTATATCTGCTTTCTATAATTATTCTGAACCGGTTAGGATATTGTGAGATACTGAGGGGAAAATGTGACATTAAAAAGGTACATCCTCCCGACTGCTTACCCATAGCAGCAGCTTTGCTGGCCAGCTCTTCTGTCGTGGCAAATCCATTGATCATTTTCTGTCGGTTCACAGGTGGTGGGGTGGGAGGAAGAGACGCCGGTGGTGTGGGTGGATTGCTCAGGTTACTCTGCTGTAGGAACCAATGCAATGTCAGCACATCATGCTGCAGACACACTAAACATACACACATAATTCTGTTTACCCAGCTCTAGCTTAATAAAGGCTCTCACCTTGTAGGCCAGTTGGGAGTAATAGTCGGAGACGCCATCGAGTGAGGCGCTGCCAAATGTCCCAGACAGGAGGTTCTCTCCATTGAGCTGGCCGCTACCATAGGGAGCGAAATGGGCAAAGTTGACCCCAATCAGTGGCTCCATGAGGGGCAGCAGGGAGAGCTGCTGTGTCAGGAGAGAAAAACAGGAGGAGGGGAAGTGAAAGGAGTGAAATCAGATGTATGTATGCAAGTGTAATGGAGGTTTTAGCACAAACCACCTGCAGAGAATCACCAAACAAAATGATACAATGTATTATAGAGACAGATTTATTCACGTGCCAATATTACTGGCCAATATATCAGCTAATATCAGCAGATTAATGACAGTTAAAACAGAAACAGTCGGATCCTTCAATCATGTCATGAGTGTTGCATAGTTTGCCCACTAGAGGGCACTCTGCAACTCCCCAGTTAACAATGCCACAAATGCACCACAAAACAACAATCAGCTGACCGCAATCTACCTGAGCATGTAGGTGCAGAGTACATGTGTTCACCGGGAGTTAGTCATTTGTCAAGTGAAATACGTGACTTAAATAATAATAAAAATAGCCCTCATCACTTCTCCTCTCCTGAAAACATTCATGACCATGCTTGCTAACCTTCTCGTTTTTCATTGCCTCCTCCCTTGTTCATCACTGCTAAATATTCTCGAACATCGATTACACCAGCTAATACTGCCCATTGCTAAATTGGCTTCCCCACAAAGTCAGCTAATGCCAGTTTCATCAGTGGAAGAGCGCTAACGTTAACGAGTGGTTTAACTATTCTAAATACATCTGCGAGCCACTTGTCTGTAACTTTACAATCTGTGCATCAGAAATGATTAAACCAGAAGAGACATGTAAACAAACGTGAGTTTAACAAGTATCTAACACAGCTTCCTAGCCATACAAAGTGATCAAGCTTCTCTTTCAAATGTGCAAAGTGTGAAATCTCAAAGTTGCAGGTCCTCGTTGTAGACAGTCATGTAGTATTAAGCCCTGGAAATACTTGCTTTTAACTACGCGTTTGCATAAGCAAGATGGCTACCACGCGTATCCCATGTTCTTTTGGAGCGTAGGTTGTGTACATCCCCAAGAATTAACGCTACACATCCGTGAGATGCAATTCAGCTGTGGGGGCAGTATGTCGATCTGACTGACAGGTCAGCAGCAATCTACTGCTCCATACACCAGCCCAGGTGGTGGCGGAATGCAGTTGGTTTGCCAACTACCATTAAACGCAAAAGAAGGTTATCAGCAGACTTAAAAAAAAAAAAAAAAAAAAAAAAAAAGAGAGATTTATGTCGGGATGTTTACAATAAAACTCCTGGAGCTAGTCCGCAATTACCGAGATTGTTAAGATGTCTCATTAAAATCATAACCTGCTTGAGTGTCGCTATGTTTGCTTTGATTACGATGTTCAAATTCGGAGGTTGTCAAGGAAGATAATCTGGTGTTGGTGAGGGATGATCCAGTCCTGGTCTGCCCCCTAGTGGATACAGGTTTAATCCTCCAGGTACACATGGAGTGGTGATGGAGAAATGGATAAGACATATGCCTTTGGTGTGAGAGACCAGGGTTCAATTCCCCACTATGACCTATCCACCAATGTGTGGATAACCCCTAGTTGCTCCAGAGGCGTGCGACCTCGGACATGTATAGCAATTGTAAGACGCTTTGGATCAAAGAGTCAGCTAAATGAATAAATGTAAATGTAATGTACACGCAAAGTACACAGGCAAGTATGTGAACAAACGGCATTGTTAAAAAGCAAGTATATCCAGGGCTTTAGATACATTCAACAACAGCATTTCTTCTGGATCACTGTATCAAAGATGGTGGTTAACAAATGGTTTCTCGTAGCTTTTGACAGAATTAGAAGAGTGCTGTATTGGGATAAACTAGATGTGAATATGCTACATTGAAAAATATATATACACACACACACACACACACTTACCTATGTAGGAGAGTCCTGTTTATTAGATTGTAATATCATAATGACATGAGTAATAAAATATGGTATTATTATTGTTAGTAGTAATAGTAGTAGTATATTAGTATTTTTTATTTATAGTTTCTGTTAGGCAGGTTCACACAATACATACACTATTTTCTTTAATGTTTAGTAGTACTTTTTTAAATCTTTTTTGTAGTTCTGAACATTTGACTCGTATTTATGAAAACTTTTTTGTTGTACTTTTGTTCAGCATTCTGTTACGTTATCTTTATGAGGTCTCATAGCACACACTATATTATGATTGACCCAGCATAACCAGAATCATTAATCTTGGATACAATAACTTGAAACACAATTGTCGTCACTCTGAAGAATGTGTCGTCATTGCCTTGTTTGAATGACTAGCAGCAGGTTTATGTTTGCTGTCCCCTTTCTGTTAAGTTGTTTGATCCACCACAATTCTTAGATAAAATGAAAAAGAAAGAAACCATAGAGATTTCCCACCAGAGCACCTGAGACTTACGCAGCTCCTTTCATATTTTTATAAAATATGCTGTTACACTGAGGTGTTTTATTTTTTATATCAAATACATCTTTAATTAAAATAACTTAAACCTGTTAATTAGCAGTAGTTCTTTGTTTGGTATGCAAGGTTATGTCATCATTGCATTATTTCTTTTACTTCTTGTAAAATGCCCAGAATAGGTAACCTCAGCTTTAGCTAGTCTGGCCTCAATTGATATCTCTGAAAATGTGGATTCATGCTTGAATTGAACAATATAAGAATAATAAGAATCCTAAAAGTCTAATCTCTGGTCCAGTTATCTCTGCAGAACCAGAACCCAGGTAAACAGGAGCAGCATCAAACTGTTAACTGTCCAATATGGAGGCTTTTGTAGCTCAAAGCCACACAGTCCCAGACATTTTCCTCTAAAGCAAATTCATGCTATACTTGTAAGAAACTAGAATACTACAGTACATGCTCATTGAGTTTTGCTGTGATGATGAAATGGTATTGTACTACATGAGTGTGTCAGCTTCATAAAGTTTAAATCAATAAGTCTCAATCAATGAAAGTATACTTGTAATATAATCATGAATCCTCTTCCACTCTCGTGAATATTAACAGCTTCTAATTCCTGTGTGTGCAACTGTCATCCAACAAGTACTTTATTACAGTAAAATTCTTATGATATGCGAATTAAGTGTGCACTTGGTGAAGACAATTTTGTATTCTGGCAGTAATACTGTAAAATTCTGAACAAAGCATACGTAAGCAACACTTGCAGTTTTGCAGCTCAAACCAATTGTATAAGGAGCATGTTTTATGGTGGTAAAATCAATCTTACCTGTTTGATTTGATTCATTACACTGTCAGGGCCAGAGTGCAACAACTGCCTCTCATCCCCTTCCTTCTTCCTCTTCTTGTAGCGAGAGACAGGTTTGTCCCCTCCTTTCGGAGCCCTCTTGTTCCTCCCTTTCTTCTTCTCCTGTTCAGGAAGCAGAGGTCCAGGAAAGTCCGGGGTGCCATCTGAGTATGCCTGGAGTTGAGAAAAGATGATGTTATATAAAACGCCATGAATAAACTAATTAACTAAAGTTACTTGAGCAGCATTCTGGCTTCAAGTCAGATGTTTTCAAACACACAACTATGACTCATTTAAAAACTGACAGCTATGACTCATACCAATTTAACTATGACACGTCTCCCATCTGAATCACTTAGCCCATCTATGATTCACTATGTTGATCCCCCCCCTCGGCGCTCTAACTGTATGATTAACACAGAGACTGACCCCATTGCTGTCCATGGAGCTTTGCCTCAGCAGGGATTTGCAGTCTGCGGGATCCTCCTCCTCCGAGCGAAAGTTCTCCTCTGACCTCTGTTGGGACAATCCAGATGGAGGTGTACTCTTGTTCTTCAGTAAGTGTTTCAGTAGTTCATTGCCAGCCTCCCCCTTGTTTGGACTTTGCCCTGCAGGGAAGGGAGACACGCTCCCTTTATTACCCTCTTCCTTCACAGAGCTAATTTCTGAGCCGACGGACCCCTCTCGTGGCCCGTGACACTCGCTGGTATCAGTCTGCTCCAGCTTTATGTTGTTAAGGATTCGGTCATGTTCCTGAGCCTGGGTTCTTGCTATGTCTGATGAGAGACCAGGTTGTCCAGATTGGCCTCCAGAAAGCTGCCTCTCCAGCTCTGAGTGACTGGGGGTGGAAGATCCCAGTAAGGGGGACCTTGACAAGTCCTGGTCAGCGAAGAGATGGGTGTTTCTGGTTGGAGTTGAGGAGGTGTCTGAGACACATGGAGTGAGAGGGGCTGTAAGGTCTGAGTGTGGAGTTGAAGGCGTCTTGACTGAATCTGCATCATCATCTTTCTTCTTTTTGCGGTTCCTCTTCTTTTTGCCTTTCTCGTCTGGGATGATGTTGGAGTAGAGTTGGATGAGAGACTGACCTGAGCCCGGAAAGTTTGATGGTAGAGGTGTAGCTGAGTCACCTCCAAATGGTGGACCCTCACCTGGCATCTGAAGCATCATTCCTGGTCCACTGAACTGACGAGGTCTGGGTTGACCCTGGGCAAAGTTAGGTGCTTGAAGGGCAAGATTATCAGGCCCAAAACCAGGCCCCATATCACGGGGCATCATTCCATTGCCCATCATTGCCCTCCTTTCACCTTGCATAAATGTCCCAGGTGGTGAGCCCATACCAGGCTGCATGCCCTGCTGCTGGGGGAACACTGGTCCAAGTTGTTGCTGTTGCTGTAAAGGAGGCCTCTGGGGCTGCATGAAGTCCTGTGGCAGCTCCGAGTTAAAAAATGGCATCTGAGCGAGTGGTGCCATGTTTCCATCTGGCCCCATCATCCCTTGCTGCTCCATTTCCATACGGTGTTTTAGGGCTCTCTGTCGTTCAACTTCCTGCATTAGCTGCACCCGCTGTCTCTCCTGCTGCTCCCTAAGCCTCTCCCTCCTCTCCCGCTCCTGGAAGCCTTCACTAAATGGGTTGTTGTCATCAAACTTCACACCACCTGCCTGCATGGGTTTTACACCACCTGGTGGAGCTGGTGGTGCCTGGGGATCCACGGGCATTTGTGAGTGTTGAGGTATGTTACCCATTGGCATCTGATGAGGTTGGCCTGGATTTCCCACAGGTATCTGTGGGGTCATTAAGGGTGGCATTCCCGGTCCGCCCATTGGCATGGGAGCACCAGGGTGCCAGCCAGGTGGTGGGTTAGGCATACATGGAGGTACATTTGGCTGGCCAGGATGAAGTGGCATCTGCATCATGGGGTTCATAGGAGGCTGGACCATGGGCGGCCCACTGGTGACCATGGGCGGCCCACTGGTGACCATGGGCGGCCCACTGGGGACCATGGGCGGCCCACTGGGGACCATGCCAGCAGGGCCTGGCATTGGGTGCATCCCAGGCATTATGGGTGTCATATTATTTTGTTGCTGTTTCACTCGGTACTCCTCTATAAGTTCAGCGTGCTCTTTCTGTTGCTTGCGGATCTGAAACAAAATATTAGGGCACATGTGATTGAAGTTCTCTATGAAAATTAAAATACAAAGAAATTACATCTTGCACAGTGTTTTATCATATTTACAAGATAAACCTATGGAGGATACAGGTTTACCCCAAAGGAAGAAATGAATATTTTTACTTTTATATAGCAACTGAAGAAATTAAAGCAGGAGTTGGAGCCAAGAGCATTTTTCCCCACCACTGCTCTTTTAGGGAGTCAAAGCCGGTTGACAGGTGCAATGCAGACACATGCTTGTGTGCTTTGAATTCTTCAGTTTGTTTGGATATTATTTTTCAAGTCTGCTTGGAAAGAAAATACCTACATGTATACCTTCTAATGCACACTCTATACCCACATTATATATACACACACATTAGATCAATTAGACCAATGAATGAATATTTATTTAAATTTATATATTTACTAATTGTTTCTGCTGTAAAGGTAAGATACATTCAAAGACGGCACCCCTGTTCTCAATAAAATAAATTAATCTCTTAAAAGTGTAAAAAAGAATTGAAGGTGATGAAATGATGACTAGACAAAAATTTCTCTTAAGCCTTTTATGTGTTAATCTTATCCTTATTTTACAGTTACAGCAATGCCACTGTGTCCATGCAAATAAACTTCAGCTGTTATTAAAATAATATAAGTCCACCCCCCCCCCCATCTGTTATTCACCACACACTGTCCATAATATGGTCCTAAGTAGCTCCCATGTGTGGGCAGTTACTTCTGGTGTAGGCCCAGATTTGACTCATAGGTTGTTATTTGCCAATCCCAGATGTAAACATTAAAATCTGCTAAAAGGATAAATTAAAGGACAATGCTTTGAGCAGCCATTGTGCAGAGAAAGGCTGAGATTGATTAGTGGTGGAGCTCGACAGGTCGAACACTTACCTGCTCCAGTTGTTTCTGCACTACACCCTGCTGCTCTGTGACATGTTTGAGCTGCTCAGCGTCCTCCTCAGGGAACTCCCTCCCTGCCTTCTTAGCTGTTCTCTGTTTGGCAGACAGGGCTTTCTTAGACTTCCTGTGAGCTCCAATCTTCTCTTCCAGAAACTTCTGCTGCATTTGAAGTAGTTGCTGAGTCTCCTGGAGCCACTCCTCATACTGAGCCCTCTGAGCATTGTCTGAAAGAAGAAAAAGGCTCTTTTGTTAGCAACCTTGACAGCATAAAAAACAAACATCTTAACATTCTAGGCCTGACAAACCTTCAAACCCAAAAGTTGAAAATGCATATAAATGTTTTGAGAACTTACTGACAAATCCTGGTCCAAAGTTTGGAGGATTCGGTCTTGCTACTTGTGTCAATTTGCCATCCTGAAAGCAAGGCTGATATGTTATTATATATTTGCAATTTAGATATTCTTCATTATGTAGTTTTAAATAACTCCCTAGCAGATTAATGATTCAATTACCTGTCCAACAACTTGTGGAGGAAGTGGTGCACTTTCAGGACAAGGTGGTGCAGGACCGGGGGGAAGTCTGTAATACAGCAGTACCACGGCCATGCACCATTTTGTTAATTTAATGAATAACTGTAGCAGTTCTTCAGTTAGCTGCACAATATCCTAGTGGCTGGAATATTAGGCTGGTATTACCAATGCTTTAAAAACCGAAACTGAGAAATACACTCCCCCACTGCAAGTATTACATTTTCAACTCAAAAAAAGTATTCATTTGGTACAAAGTGAACATTTTACCTGTTCATGACCATTGGGGTCATCCCCATGTTGTTCTGGACCATGACCTTGTTGATGCCCTTTAGTGCAACCATTTTAGCTTTCATAATGGGGTCAGTGATGGAATCAAAATCTGCAATTGACAAGTAATGCACTCTAAGAAATAATCACTTTGCAAAAAAGACTGGTAATCTCTAACATGAATCTATACCAACAACTCGAAGTAGTGGCCTGAATAATTTACCAATGTTTGGGAAAAAGGAGTCGCTGGAGCGCTGTCGTATCATAGCTTGCATCTGCCTTTGCTGCTGTTGTTCCTGCCTCTCCTGGTCTAGGAGGTCCTGTAATAGGAGTGGCTGCTCTTCTAGCAGAAGGGGACGATGTTGCTGGCCGTGTTGACCCAGCGCTTGGTTCAACATGGTCTGCTGGGCCTGGCTTAGACCGCTCTGATCAACACCAGTGGCTAGCCCCACCTGGTGGTCTGTCCCAAAGCCAGTCATAGAAGCTTCTCCTGCAGTGGTGGCGTCAGCTATTGTTTGAGTCATGGTAAGTCCGGAGGTATGCTGAGTGTCAGTGACTTGGTTCTGCTGGGGCATGAGGTTACCTCCTTGATTGACAGATTCAACGATTGGATTTAATGACTGCTCCTCAGGCTGCTGCTTAATGAGTAAACTAGATAGGACTGGGGTAGAGTCAGAGATTACTTCCTGCTGGTTTGAGGTTAAGGTGTTTCCAGTGGCTTGCTGGTCTATGACCTCAGGGGTTTTTTGACAGTCCTTGAACTCTGTTTTAATTTCCTGCCCAGGTGTCAAAGAAGCAGAGTCCTGACTTGCAGGGGCTTCTAGCTTGATTTCAGCTAAAGACTTCTCACCTGAGGCCTCTGACTTTGCCAGTACAGATGTTGAACTGGATGAAGCCTCAGTTCCTGTGCTTGAGTTTTTGTTGATGTCTGTGGTGTCAACATTATCATCCATAGGATCACTGAGATCCAGTTCCTCATTAAACATATCTTTCTTGATGTCATCTAGGTCAGGGTCTGTATAGGCAATGATGTCAAATTTCCCAGATGTTAGGAAGTCATCAAGGTGTAGGTCGTTTGTCTCTAGGTCTAGGTCTTTACCATCTTCAGGATCCAAATTTAGGTTTTCCAAGTCAGCATCCACCAAGTCTTTCACCTCCACGTCCTCAAGATCTTTGACTGCTGATTCTTCTGCATCCAGTTTCTCCTCTACAGCTTCACTGCTCGTCACTGCGGCCATATCAGAATGCCCAGCAGGGGGTGCATTCAGGATCATAGATGCTACCATGTTCTGGGTCTCACTTGAAGCAGGCTGGCTCATGGATCTCATCAAAGGAGATTGTTTGAGTCCGTTGTTTCCTGACATTTGGGCTTGCTGATGAAGATTGTCCATGCTAGCAGATAGTTGTACATGGCCAGTCTGACTGACCATGGGGTCTACCATCCTGGGCCCCTGATTTAAATGAAACCTGGTATTGGGTGCTCCTGGAAACCCTGGTGGCCTTTGACCCTGCAAGTTGGGATCTATGTTGTTTCCTTGCATGGCACCTGGAGGATATGGCATACGTTGCCTATTTTCTGCTGCTCTGTGTCGCAGCTCAATGAAAGGCTGGCCCATTATGTTGTGCTGCTGCACTGGCATACCACGTGGTGGGAAGTGCTGGGGAAGCCCCATGGGGTTGCCTCCTATACTCTTTGCCATTTCTGCAGACATGGACCGTCTCATTTGAGGGGGGACATCCTGCATTGGGTGTTGACCCCGGGGAAAGAACTCTTGGGCCACATGAGGTCCTAGAACCCCAGGTGGAAATGCAAACCTAAAATAGGATCATATAAATTGAGAGGAAGGGCATTACTAAATATATACAGTGCTGTGTTCATCAATCACAGAACATGACAACACAAGCCATAATAAAAAGAATATAACACAAACCTTGGTCCCTGATGCCTCAAATTTGGATCTCCAGGATGTGGGCCCCTGGGGATTTGTCCCTCATTAGGGAAAGGGACACGCTGATCACCTGGAAAAGGTCCAGGAAACCTCATTGGTCCTCTCATGGGTCCTTGTCCAGGATAAGGTGGAGGAGGCCGGTTGAACATTTCCCCCTGCTGACCAGGCCCCTCCTGGGGCCAGGGTCGTGGCGTTCCTGGGGCTAGGTTGCCAGCAGGCTCCTGGGGTCCCCTCTCCTGTCGAGTAGCACTCCTCTGTTGCTGCTGCTTGAGGATTAGTTCTCTAATTCGTTGTCGCTACGAAACACAATAACAAGCATATATACATTTTTAGGCTTTTTTAAACACTAGGTCGATGGACCATGTATAGCTTACAATAATATGGCAATTTTTAGCTGTTCAGGGAGATGTTCAGTTAATTTTGGCCCACTTAAACTCCACTTAAACTCCACAGCTATTGTGTAGCAATGCAAGTCAAAAGGTCCCTGTTTTCCCCCCCATTGACAGCCACTGCATGCTTTCAATTCTGCAAAGACACAAAGTTTTCACTTCCTATGACTCACATGTTTTGACGTAGTAGTTAATAAAACATGCACGCAGATGGAGAACTAAGTCATTTTTGTAATTTGGCCATCATTTCCATTTGATATCGAAACATTCACTAACATCTACTCACTAACATTGCTGAGATCTGGAGATATGGTACCATCAAATAATAGAGTAAAACGGGGGCGTCATTTGTTTGTTTTATATGCTGTTAATAGTTTTATTTTGTTTTCTGTTTCTGCATGTCCATGTATCAGACTGGATAGATTTTCTTTTTTTATGTGTGTTATGTGTAGGTTCAAGTAAGAGCTGTGGTCAGATATTTAGACAAGCTGTAAGCAAATTCTACAGAATTAGGAATTACAAGGGCCATGCTCAGTTAAGGTTTTACCTCTAAATAAATGGTTTACCATAATATGATTGAAGCGGGGGTTTGTCATCTGACCGCTTGTGGTTCTTGTCATCTTAGACGAGTAATGTCTCTAACTGACTCTCAATAACTGACTTGGTTAGTAAACTATGTAATACATAATAATTTATGGCATTTCAAAATATCACTTAGGATGTTAAAAAAAAAAAAAACATTCTGTTACGAAATCTCTTAAAAAGAATAAAACCAGTGCAAATATTAAATTTGCTAAGTAATGTAGAAATAATTAGATTTAGAATAGAACAACAGTATTCATGTACCTGTTTGAGTCTTTCCTCGCTCTCAGCAAGAGCAACACCCTGAGCCTCAGTGGAACCACCAGGTATTTGTGGGTTGTTACACAGTTGACCTGGGTCTGTTCCATTGTTACCCACACCCGAATGATCTTTCATTTCCATTTTCTCTACTGACTGCGGACGAGGGGTCATGGGGGCTTGCTCAAATGGATCATGGCCAGGTGTCTGACTTGGTCTTCTGGAGGGTGACTGAGTAAATCCATCTTCTGAAACACTAGGGTGTTTTGGTGTTTGTGATCCTGGATGAGGGAAGGGCTCTTGAAGCCTGCTTTGAGGTGTGGAGAAAGGATCCTGGCTTCCCATTGGTCCTAGTCTTGGCCCTTGTCTGCTGAGCCCATCAGGACCAGGCCGTGGGGTCCCTGGAGGCTGGCCGTAGGGGTCATTAAGCATTGGTCTGGGGGCTCCAGGCTGTGAAAACATGTCGATACTCCCTGGCCTTGATGTTCCAGGTGTACTAGTAAATGGCTCTATTGGTCCCCTCTGGCTTCCCGGTGACTTGGAAAACCTGTCTCCCACAGAGGGCCGTGGAGTACCTGGTGGCTGAGCATAAGGGTCCACTGAGTGGGAAGGAGACATCCTTTGTCCAGGATGTGACTGGTGAGTGAACTGGTTCATCCCACTGGGACGGTGAGTCGAAGGAGCCTGTGAGTAAGGGTCTGAGGATGGGCTAGGGGTGTTTGAAGGCTGACCATAGTTGTCATGTGGACGTGGGGTGCCAGGAGGTCGGGCATAGGGCTCGAAATAAGGCCGAGGTTGCGCACCGGGTTCATTGATGGATCGTTGGTTACCTGTAGACTGAGAGAAAGGATCACCAGCTTGCTTGTTGGAACCAGAGGGCTGGGCAAAGGGGTCATATGTGAAGTGGTCAGGTCTTGGAGTGGAAGGTGCATGAGCATATGGATTTCTAGACATTTGAGTCATTGGTCCTGGCTGAGCGAATGAGTGCACCTGAGGGAGATGCTGGCTCATTCTAGGGGAACTGGTGAAGTTGTCATTCCCTGAGGGTCTTGGGGTATGAGGAGGCTGAGCATAGGGGTCATTCTGCTGATTCTGAGAGAACCTGTCAGTAGGATGTAGACCCGATCGGTTGAAAGGATCCTGAGTCTGAGGAGGGGGCATAGGTGTTTTGAACAGAGGGACCGATCCAGACTCATTACTTCCAGGGATTGGTGCCAATAAAGGCCTTGAGTACGGGTCAGACAAGATCATCCTGTTCTGGGTCATGCGCTGATAGGCCTCATTTCTTATCATGGGCCTTGAGTATGGGTCTCTGCCTGGAGAACCCATTGGTGGCCTTCCCTGGGCAGGCTGACTGGCCCTGGGGGGACCCATGGGCTTCAAGAAAGGGTCCATTTCCCCACTTGGCCTGGGGGTATCAGGAGGTTTGGCATAAGGGTCACTGCTCATGGATGTTGGAGAGCCAAAAGATTCATGAGCAGGAGAGGGCCTCCCTCTGTCCTGCTGTTCCATCAAGGAGGTGGGTGATTTTCCAGATTCAACAGGCATTCTGCGACATGTATTTGGCCCAAGAGTTGGCGGTCTTGGGGTCCCGACCATCTTGGCATATGGGTCCCAAGGAGAAGAGGGTCTGGAACCAGAGGAACCTGGTGAGAATACCTGTGGGGACTGAGGTTGGGAGGAAGGGCCAGATGGAGGGGGTGGAGGGGGTCGTAAGAACACATCCTCAGGAGGGCCTGAAGTGGGGGTCCCTGGTAGCTGTGGCCTGGCAAAGCCTTCTTTAGAGTTGAGCTGCTGTATGGGAGACATGCTGCCATTGCTGGGCTGGGAGGCTGGGCTTTGGTTACCACTGTTGTTGCCATCTCCCTCTGACAGGCTGTTGGTCTGCTGCTGTTGCTGCTGCTGTTGCTGCAGTTGCTCATTCTTAACTTGCTCCAATTTCTGAGTGGCTTCAATTTTGGCTTGCTGCTTGCTTTTCTGCCTCATTTGCTGTTGGAAGGGCACAGTGAAAAGTGGGATTAGACATCAAAAGGGATGCAGCAAATATCAGTCTCATGCCAAAAATGAACTGGACCTACTAACCACCAATGTCATCAGGGTTAATGTGGAGGATAGTGCAGATGTTTAGGGAGCTTTACTAAACCACCACTTCTTAGCTGTCTTAATATAATGTGGACCTGCCGCTGCATTCGCTGACTTCATTGCATACACTCTTACCTGTCTAAACTTCCACTCTTGTTCATGCTCTGACTCTTTTGGTTTCAAAGGGTCTTTAAACAGCAGTTCTGTGTCTAGTGGTATGTTGGGATCAAACACCTCAGGGGGCTGTTGCTGCGGATGGTGCCTCTTCACCGTCTCATTCGACATCTGGACTTTGTTGATGCGCAGGGCTGCTCGGTTATCTCTTGCCTTTTGCTAAACAGCAAATCAATCACAAGGGCAATACAGAAACTGTCAAATATTTCATAAACTCAAGATCGCAGAAAAAGATGCAAACCTGATTCTCTGCATTTAGTGTGATACTGGATACATTTCCCTCATACTACTGCAAAAGCGGATATGTAAACACATGAAATTTCTCTTTCACAGCATTTGTTTAGGTATCTCACTATGGGGCCATGGTACATGGGGCCGTCAGTATTGGCAGGTTCAAAAGATGACTTCAGCTTCTCTCACAAGTCCAACTACCCGACAGCCAACCTCATGCTCAAAACAGCGTGAAGAGCTATGACATTCAAATTTTACAACCTCCCACAAGCAACAACATCCACAAAGAAAAGAAAACTACTTTCTATGAGCAGCTCCATCATCTTTGTAATCCAGCAACAGGGTTTATTTGGGATGGTGGTTCCCTCCTCATTGGCAGAGAGTTGTTGACAGAGAAAAGTGTCTCCATCCATGAGGCTAGGGTGATATAATAAAGGCATGGAAAGTCCATAGTCCCATTAATGTTAAATATACATTTGTTTTAAATTTTTATTTGGGTAGGGCCTTACATAACTTTAAAATGTTCAAGCAATAGGGGCGCTCTGCTGGATTGCCATTTAGTAACTTACCCAATAAAAAACTAAAAATGTTTTTTGTATGCTGGGTCCTTTGGTTGTATACTCATCCTCTTCATACTACATATGCAGCACAGTCATCTTGTTACTATAAATCAGGTATCTCAGTATTTGACCGATCATGACTGGGATGTTTAAGTGGGATATCAAAAGAAAAAGCCATGAAAGAGAAGTGCTACAATGTAACCAGTGGCAAAAAGCCCTTAAAATCACTAATGCAGAGTACATTTTTTAATCAAGACTAGGTCTTTGAAACTAGCCTCTGCCAGATAAAATTACTTCTAGTGAACTTAATTACTGAGACCATAGTGAGTTCTAACACTGAGTGGGGCTTCCTATGCTAATTAGTTCATCTGTGAATGGCCGGATTTCAAATTGCATTGGCAAGAGGCAAGAGGCCAGATGCGGTAAAGGAGCCTGCCTTCCGCATACTAATATGGAAGTGCAACTAGTAGTGACAGTTTGACGTCTGGCATGGAAGAAAATTGTCAAATTCAACAGTATGAGTGATCTTACCACATATGGGGCCCTGTCTTGTGAACTAGCTTTCCTCCAAAGTTTTGCAATTTGCTTTACTCTTGTAGACCAGTCTGTTGAAAGAATAAGAAGAGTTGTCATGCCAACAGTCTCACAGCACAGTCAAGGTATTTTTGCACTGTGTGACTGAGACAGTGCAGTGGGTACACCTCAACAAAGACCCAGAAATAACAGCAATGATGACAATAAAAAAAGATGGACAAAGGGGAAATATATATATCTTTAGAGCCATATACAAACCTGGGTATTCTTCTTTAAGGTTAGGGAAATTGACATTGGTATATAGGACGGGTGCTACAGTGGCTAGCTCTCCAAGTGTCTCCTCTTTCTCCCACTTGAGTGTACTCCTTTGGGCATTTGACATGGCTTCAGTCTCCCCCTCAGGCAGAGATCCAGGGGGGGTAGGGCCGGGGCCATGGGCAGGGGAGGGCCATGAACCAACTACCTCTCGAGGCATCTGATTAAACTTTCTATCCCTGTAACAACAAAGGGAAGAGGCTCATCTTTAATCACAAAACTCTGGTTTTGCAGAGAAAAAAGAAAACTCAATCTTGGAATATTTCATATTTTAAAGGAAGGAAGCAGTACAATACCTTGGATTGTCAGTGAAAGGCATGCGGTTCAGGGGAGAGAAACTTTCTGGGATGCAGGGCCCTGCCCCTGGATTTGAAGGTAATCGTTGGTTTGGTCCCATCATACCATTCATCATTGGCATCCTTGGAAACATGGGATTCCCTACATACACGATTTAAGAGGTGAATTAGATGCAAAGATTTTCAAAAACAACACCGTCGAACGCCATCTCCGACAAGGTGCTTAATGATGTACCTGCATTGGGGTGAGGCATACTAGTGCCAGGTGTGGCAGCAAGGGGCCCTGGACCATGGGGGTGAGGCACCTGTGGTGGTGGAGGTGGTTGGCTAGTGCTGGGGCTAAGAACTGCTGTGAAGAGATCCTCCACATCTTTTCCCTCCAGCTCTGTAACAGAGTGTAGCAGTACAATGTTGTGTATGCCTGCATATATAATACCCATTTAAAGTAAGAGTAAAGATGGGTAAAATTAATAAACTACAATGTCAGAATTCATTACTCCCGATTGCAGCAGCTATGTGTTTTTAAAATTTTTTTTAAAAATCGCATTGGTAAATGGCCACTACAGGATGACCCATTACAAGAAAGAATTAGACAGAATTAACAAAGTAACATCTTCATATAGTAATACATTAATTGTATTTATAATGTGAGACAACTGGTTAATATTTTGTGTTTGCCTTGAAACCTGTCTCACTAACTTGTAAAACATTGTTTAGCCAAATTCTGAATCACAGTCCAATTGCTGTAACAACACTACATAGGGAGTTCACAGTCACATTAATTACTGTAGGACAATGGTGGATAAAGCTTACAGTTTTGCAAGAAAGAATGAAATTACAAACCTGGAATTTTGTAAAGTTTGCTGAGAATTGATTCTGAAACAACAAGAGAATTACAGAAAACAGATAATTATTTATCCTGTATTAAATTTTAAAATAACGGCTCAAAAGACCTCAAAGTGTCTGGATGTCTGGTCTCTCACACTGACCATCAGTGACCATCTTGTCTAGCTCTGGGCTAAGAATGCCGTCCAGGGGTTCCTCTGGGAGGGTTCTAGGAGTCCTCCGACCAGCCTGAGACTGGGGCGCCACTGGGGAACTGTCTGTCAGGGGCCCTATGTCCAGACCAGCTGTGGAAACACACAAAGACATACAAAAACAAATCATAAAACGTACGCACAAAGCAACCAACAAGATACCCAACCAAGAAAGTGATCATAAATATAGACTTGAAGTAAGAACATGTTAATGGCCTGTTTAATGCAATCAAAACGGAACAGTATAGGATTACAGCTCTGTGGGGTTACGGTGTTGTTTAAAAGGAGTGTTTTGCTAACTGAAGAGACAGACAGCTCATACCAATTCTCAGTAAAAGGTACACAAACACTTGAACGTTGGTGTTGGAAAGTATTGCTCTGGCCCACCAATTACATTGGTATTCTGCACTAAACACCTATTAATCTCTTTAAAAAAGGAAGCCATGCAACCTTCATCAGTTTTTAAATAGCTGATCCAATACATAAAAAGAACCCCATAAAAATAATCTGGGTTACTACACTGCTAGCATCTTAAATTAAAATTTCTCACACTTTACGTTACATTACACATCATAACTGCAACAACTGTTTTACTAAACTTGGCTACAGTTGTCAATATCTGCATTATTAATAAGTAATATATGGACACAGGGCATTTAAGTTGAACAAAGATTTTTACAAAAGAATGAAGGACATTTACTGCAGTGCTTTTTTGTCATCTAGCCACAGAACTGAGACGAGAAGACCTCCACAGTCTTCAGGAATTAGAAGGACATTTGCCAAGGCTGCTTGTTCTCTAAATTGCTTGGTTCCAAATTGCTCATTTCTTGAATGCCAGGATGTCTTTGTCAGTTTGTTTCTTCACCATCTTGATTCTCTGACGGCGGCTATGAATTTGTTCTCATATTTATATAAGAAATGTCACCACTGTGAAAGGGCTTCAGGAGGCTCACATACATAGACTGACACACCATATGCATTAGAGTGAATTCTGTGCACTGGGTTAGGTAAGCACTACGCAGTTAATGAGTGTTACAGCAATCTGAAATGGTTGAGAAGTAGTATGTATGAAGCAGCTTATATGCATGCACACTCAGAGACACACACCGTAAGAGAGGAAGACTGCACTAAAGCAAGGGATTAGTAGGCCATAGCACCCTTACCAAAAGGAGGAGGTGAGCTGTCAACCTGGAAGGAGCAAAAATCAAGACCTACAAGGACCCAAAACCAGATAAAATGAGTGAAAAAATAGTACAGACAGAACAAGCACAACACGCTTCAGACAATGCAAACAAAAGATAAAACCAAAGATGAACTAAAAATATTGTTAAAGAATGTGACATTTAAAAAAAAAAAAAAATCATTAAGTGGTGAAATCAAAATAAACTCGCTGTCTGAGGAAATTTCTGAACCGGGAGCAAAAGATTTTATAAACCCCACGGCTAGGTGACTATTAATAAATTCTTGCCACTGTGACTGCCTGTGAGATTTATATGACGCACCAGAGTCACTGCTTGGTTTTCCGAGCATTCCCAAGATGTCTGCATCAGTGTTCAGAACATCAGATAGATCAACTAATGGTTCCTCAGACGTCTCTGTAGATGGGGGGGGGGGGGAAAGGAACAAAAAAAAGAAAGAAAAACCAAACCGTCACAAATCATAATTGATGGTGATGCTGAACGGACATGAGAATGTGATTTGGAACCTTTGTTTGGGTGCCACATGTAAATTTGGTCTTGAGCAAACAAGAGAGGAAACTGTATGTAAACATAAGCTAAACTGTACTGGCCTCTGAAAGACTTCAAATGTGCTTAACCAAATGTATCTTCCAAGAGTTTAATTTAACTAATTAAAGTGACTTTCGAGATTTATTGGCATGGATATGAACCGTAATACTGGGATATCAAAACTAAAACATGTTGAAGACGGACAACTGTACTCAATCTTAGATTATGGATTTCATCATTCAATAAAGTTCTTTGAGGCTTTGATTGAGATAATTGTGGGTCATTTGGCCTCAAGCTTTACTGCATACTCAGACTCTTGCAAAATGTTCCTCATCTAAGCATACCCCTAGTCAGTTCTATGCTACAGTCTTTTCCCTTAAGAAATTCTGTACAGAATTTGAAAAGTTTATTTGGTTGAAAAATCACATCATTCTCAGAAGGTCACACTTGTCAAGGTTACAGTGTTGCACTCTTTCAAATAGCAGCATACCATTTTCTGAACTGCAAAATCAGTTTTCTAAAGAGTTGATACCTTGAAATATCACTCATCCTCGTTATCTTTTTATTCCCTCCCATTTTAAACCACAGTACTGGATAGAACTCGTTCTCTCTAAAACTCGACTTAGGTTTGGCTTACAACAATTTTAAGCAACAGCACTGTTTTACTACTTAATGTTCAAGAATATATAAAAAGATTGCCCAAAGAACTAAAGCTTAAGAGTTGACAGATCCATTTCACATGTGCTTCTCTCAACTGCATGAACATTTTGTACATCACTCTTTGCTAATAAAAGTTTGAAGTTGTGCTACGTTCCGACAAACATTCAGGTGTGTTGTATACAGTACACATTGGTTTCAGTAATAGATTTTGACTATGCATAGATGTTAGTGAACGGTTTGCTGACAAACACTTTAATGGTGGTGGCTTCTCTCCATTTGGCCGTGTTGGTGTGCTGCATGGTACGCAGCGCCAATAGTGAGGAAATTTGCTTAAATATGTGCAGGCAGCAGGTAGGATGTGGAAAATCTGTCAGTTAATATCAAAACCGTTACAAGCAGTGTGGCCAAAGCTGGGCTTCTTGTTGAGATGCACTAAGTATACTATAAACAGTGTCTCATGTTCTGCAACATAATAAACATGTTAAACCACTGTTTGCATTCACAGCAATTTCATTAATTTGACTGAATCTTTAGACAGCTTGAAAGACACCTTTTCCATTTGGAATCAGCCTTTCTAAGCCACTGTTACTATTCTGTTTGTGGCACGTGGCATTTTTTTGTCCTGGCTGCACAACCGGTCACTGAGGTCAGCACAAGGGGCATGTGCCATTTCATGTCAAACTGAGTGAAACGCAGAGAGAGCAGGAGTCAAAAGATTGAGGGGGCAGGTGAGACAAAGTGAGCTTGCAGAGAGAACAGAAGTTGAAACTTTATTTGGTATTTACAGAGTGAAATTCTGTGCAATTCTTTAGTGTAGCAGTAATGTGAATGGAGCTGCGGTTCTACAAATGACCCTTTGAACACTAATGGCTAGAGATTAACCTTCGACACTCTGACTTTGTTTTACATGAATGAGTGAAATGTGGTTTGAACATATGTTCAGTGGACCTGATATCATACCTATTGACTCCTGTATGAAAAGGGTTAACACTCTCATTGGGTGAGGACACTTGCAGAGACGAAGGAGAGAAATACGTGGAAGAAAAGACATTGTTATGCGCCAAAATAAGAATAAAAGATACCCCTGTTGAGTCAGGCTTTTACAATACCTGGAGTGATTCCTTTCCAGCACTGATCTAATTTATGCCATTCTTGTTTATTTGGTCATATCTAATATTCAATCCAACGCCTTGCTTTGAATCAATGAATCATTACATCCCTTGTCCTGGAGAAATTAATTAATGTGTATACGTACGTGCTGCTGCTGGTCTGACGGGAAGGGATGTTGTCGATGCGCTGAGCAGAGGGTCTGATGAAGGGTCAAGGAAGCTGGTGGTTGGATGTTTCCTCTCCACTTGGCTTTGCCCCTCTTCTAGTAAGCCAGACTCAACCCCCTGCTGCCTGCTCTGCTTGCTTTTGTCTAGCAGGTCCTTTCCGAAGAATGCCTCCTGAACATGACAACACAAATCACTGGTCAATTCTCTGGGTTGACACTTCAGTTCAGGGAACTGTCAGCTTACCTTTCTTGACATCATACTTGGGAAACACATCACCATGTCAAATAGAGATCATTCAGTACACACTGAAGGCCCACGAGAACTGGCCAACATGACATAGAGAAGCTCTGAAACAGCTGACCTCACTCTTGTCAGCACCTACCTCCCCAAACCACTTACACACACACACACACACACACACACACACACACACACACACACACGTCATCTACTATCCTCTGCGACATGCAACTGCAGCTCCCTGCTGCACCGAGACATTAAAAGCCTAACGTGTTGCCATTTAAAAAATTAATGAAATGTGCTTCACTCTGTTGGACCTTTAGGTTAGACTGAACATCCCCCTACTATGGTGGGATAAAGAGCAGCACTGACAGCTGCCAGTGGATTAATGGACATCACATATCTATGTTTTGGCCAACAAAAGGTGACACTGAAATACTGGCTTGACACACAGAGTCTTGAAGTTATCTCCAGTTAAGCTTTTGTATGTCAATTTACAACCCCGACAGGAGCCATTTAAAGAGCATAATCAGAGACGAGTATCCTCTATAGTGACTTGCTTTAGGCTGTTCCTCTTTCAAAAAAGCTTGCAGAAGGGGCACTGTGCACCAAAGTTCTCTAAGTGGTTTCCAGGCAATGTACTTTGGATTTCCAACCTTCCCATGGGTGAGATAAAATGCATTTTAAGAAGATATGGCATGACAAGACTAGACAATCTGTGCATATGAATGGGGGGGCTTGCATAACTATCAACAAAAATAGATTTGCATCTACTGGTGAAATAAGCTGTTTTAACTACTAAAACATTTTTTCTTGTAACAAATGTGCCTTTTAGAATATCTAATGTATAAAATAAGGCATCTGTGTTGGCAAAATGGACTGAATAAAACTCATTGGTGATTATTACAGTAAAACTTCAATTAAAAGCCTAGTCCCAATTAGACACCTGTCTGTCTTTTACTGGCCGGGTGTGGCTACACGTTTGGACAAATAAACACAGGTCTCAATTAGAAGCCCGGTCTGGAAGTCACTGGATGTATAAAACCTCGTAAAGCCCACTGCGTCACCCTCTTGAGCAAGTTCTAAGCTGCTCAGAATGTACATACCAATGTAACTTTTGTCAATATGGACATACTACACATCATTGGATCAGTTAGATTCTCCACAATTCAATCATTTATTTCATTTTACAGAAACAATGTGCACCAAAGTATTATTCATTTAGATTTACCGGCATGGTAAAGGAATTAAAGGCCTGTCGCAAATATAGACAGGGTGAGTTCAGTGATTTAAGCAAATAAAAGACTGGGCTATTGATTGAAGTTTTACGGTATTAAATTTATTATTTGTAGATATTTGTGTACAGGACAGATAGAATTCATAATCAAATCAGTGTTGTTTTTTTAACAGTGATCACAGAGCTTTAATACCCCCAGAGTGGTTATGTAGCAGTTTACTGGATATAGTGTAATAGTGGTTATACACTGACATAAAATTGTCATGTTATATGGCCACTCAGTTTATACACAGCATTAGGCCCCATCCACACTACTGCGTTTTCGAATTAAAAAGGAGACCTTTTGCTACATTTGCACCTCCTGTCCAGACTAAAACAGCGAAAACGAAGACCTAAAATGGAGAAGTTTGGAAACGCTGCCGACCCCGTTTTGAGTTTCAAAACTCCAGAGGGCGTTTTAGTGAAGACGGGCAAAAATGGAGGACTTTAGAAACGAAGACGCAGACGCTCGGCTCTCTGATCTGGTCTCAAAAGTCATGCAAAGCAGAAACACAATTCTACTTTTGAGTTGGTCTTTTTATTAAAATATTCTGTACCGTACAGATAACACTTATCTGCCTACACTTTTACGGTGCATGTTGCCGTTTCCTTTGCGACGACAGTCTGTTTTCCGCTGCCACACTCCCGTGTTGCATTCAGTAACAGTCCCAGCTTGTTATTGGTGTATGCAAAAAAATAATTCAATTGGTCTGATTATTCGTCTGCATTTCTTTATTCTTTCACCAAATCTTCTACAGAAGAGACCATCTGCTTCATGTTTAGACCGGCACGCTCATGCCAAGTGTACGTGAAGGGCCACTAGACGTGCATTTTCAGTTGTTTTAATGTAAACGGATCAACTCTAAGACGCAGCTAAAACGCTGGTGTGGGTGGAGATTGTTTTCGTTTTAATTCTCCGTTTGTAAACTAAAACGGATTAGTGTGGATGGTTGGTATCTTTCATGTCAAACAAAGAGTGTGCTATCAAAGATTACTGACCTGCAGGTAGGCGGGAAAAGCTTCCTCCAGTTTTGTTTTCTTCTTTCGGTAGCGTTTCTTTATTTTTTCTGGTACCTCTGGTCCAGGAGGTGTCTCATCCACGGGCGTATCAGGCAGAGCCTCTGTCCATCCTACAACAAGAAAAAATTACAATCACAAAAAGATTTAAGTTGACAGATCAGGGGACAATCTATTTTAATACAGATATATATATATATATTTAAATTGCTGTACAGACCCTCTTCTTTTCCAAAGGGATTCTCTGACACTGAGCCAGAGGAATCCTTTCTGCAGAGGGCTCGTTTGGCCTTGCCTGGACCTTGACCTGGACGGCTCCTCTGGCGGACCATGAACCCACCAATGCCTTGAAAGGAGAAGTTATTAACTAATTAGCAATATATCAACTCACAAAAAAAACGAAAACATTTTCATTACAATCATGGACGATATGATTTAAGATGTATTGAGTTTGATTGTATGGTTCTATTAATTGTCCAGAGCATTCAACATGAATGCTCAGAAACACTAGATAGAGCCCTCTGTACATCAGAGGCCCTGAGATGGCAGTGCTTTTGCTTCAGCGTCGGGCATGTACTGCACCATTTTACGCTTCAGAGGAGCTGTCTCCTTCAATCAGGTGCCCTACCCGGTCGGTACGGTTTCCTCTTCCTCTTCTTGCCGCCGTCGGCCCCCTTGGAGTCATCTTCTGCTGGCTCTCGCTCCAGGCTGGAGTCAGACTTCCCCTCACAATCTAGGAGCTCCGCCTCTGCAAGAGGGAGAGAGCATTGATGATGAGTGACAGCCCTGCGGCAGAGAACACACCGGCCAGGCTGTTCAACACAGCACCAGGGTCAATTCTATCTGAACTCCACTCAGTACCAGGACATTAGCCTGATTGAAATTAAGTTCACCAGTTCCATTACTTAAACCCTTCATTTCCAGTGAGCCTTTTTCTTTTTCATACACTATTTTATATAGTAATAAAATTTGGTTGCCCCTTATTTACCTATATCAAATTTCTTTCTTTACTAATTAGGGGCATCCAACACTGATCATGGCACTCCATTTTAATCGACTGGTATTGATTATATGAAGCATTTCTGATACTATTACTACTATTTGTATTATTTATTGAAACAAACTGTGGAGCTTGAAAACCATTATTTAAACACCAGATTGTATTCATAAAGCACAGCAAAATAAGTAGGCTGAGGGCCTCCAATAGAAGAGTGTGTGAGAAGACAAGTACCTCTGTTGTCCTCCATGTCTTCATCACGAGAGAGCTCTGAGTGGGGGTCTAAGGGAGCCTGAAGCACTGCTACACTGTTCTGGTTAATGATCTTCAGCTTCAGCTTCGGCTTGGGTTTCCTGCGCCGTGACGCTGTAGCAGACAAGCTCTGGAGCTGGCAAAGGCCAGACTCTGTCAGACAAACGCCATCCTGGGTATAGGTCTTTGACAGATCTGAAAAGCCAATCACAGCTAGAATGAGCATACTGTAAAAACTAAAGTCAAATCACCATTTTAAACAGATTTTTTATATGTTAACTGTGTACTCACCCATTTCTTTAGCCTTTGTGACAATCTGCGTCATAACTACAGGCTCAATGGCGTCTCTGGCCTTGGTCATAACTGCAGCAGCACAGTTCACACAAAAGCCATTAAAAACAAACAGCAGAAACAGGAGGATCAAATGTCATAGATAAAGTCTATTCAACACACACGCACGCACGCACTTAGAGGAATCACTGTGTTCCCACCTTTAGTGGTTTTGAAAGCTCGGCACATTGTGCAGTCGAAGCAACCGTCTGCAGCCTTTTCAACATCTTCCTCTGAATGGAGACCCTGACAAGAAGCATGGAACCATCTGTGGATAGAAGAGAAGGTTTGCATAAGAGCCAATTATGTTAAAAAAAAAAAAAGTAAAATAGAGGAGACCAATTCTCCTGAGCTGACACGGTTTGTAGAAACACTGCACACCTGTCACATTGGCGGCACTGCAGAATTGTGGTGCCTTCGCTGTAGTCCACCAGGCAGATGGGACATGTTGCAAGGCTGGCACAGGGGCCACACTGGGTGTAATTATTCTGCCACTCACACCTTAGGCCTGGGGTGGTGGCGCCACACTGGGTACAGGACACGCACCTGCGGGAGACAGGGAGGACAGAGGTCATTCTACCCCAGTTCACTTCATGGAGGATAACTGTGCAGCAAAAATCCTGACGACTCATTTCACTGTCCACATGCAGCAAATATGAAATTATTCGTTCATTTGTAGTTTTTAGAGGAATGTTAAATTCAATGTATCCCCTCTCAGTAAAAATATTTAAGGTCTTCACTTTAAATGCCTTTGTGTAGTTGCAAAAATGCGGGGGGTACAACTGTTTCATGCTTTTAGTAAACAAATTTCATTATTTTTTAAATCATTGCCTGTTTGAAACAAATTTAGATGAAATGATCATAAAATGATTCACCATTTGCACTTCCAGCTGTCTTTGGGCACGTTCTGCAGAGGAGGATCCAGGCAGTAGGTGTGATAGCTGATGTCACAGTCATCACACAGCAGCAAGCGGCCAGGATCAGTGGCCTGGCCACAAGCCTCGCACACTGTACACTCAAGACAACGCCAGCCTTTACTCAACACCACCTTGGTGATCTGTGAAAGTGACAATGACATTTATATGCAATTTTGCAGATGATAGGATTGTATTTTTGCTATGTACTCAAGCATACTGTATGTGTAGGTATACAAACTCAATAGTAAATTTACCTTTATGCCAACACAAAAGGGATGGTAGCACTGGCCACATTGAGCACAGGCCAAAAGACGGCCCTCTGCACCGAGGCCAAAACTCCCACACACTACACACATGTCCTAAAAGGAAAGATATTGAAATTATAAAATAGTTGGAACAACGCCTATATTTGTTTTTCCTGTTTTCCCAGTTAACTTACATGTTTATGATGAAAAACAAAACAAAGAAACTAGTCAGCTGGTGCAGTTTGTTAAGAAGAATAAATCTGACCACTGCTGAACTTTCAACTCAGTTTGCGTTTCACCACCCAATCATGTGGGTATCAATATGTTCTGCATATTCCTTCAATGCCACTGGTGCTGTAAGTAGAAGTCATTAAATATTTTGTTGCATGCTGTCCTAAATACTGACGGAAAGAAAATGCTTTCCATCCTAAACCTGCTCGGTCAATAAGAGCAGTGTAGTTGTCCTCCACCCTAAAATACAGCAGTGCATAAAAGCATATTGAAATGCAAGGTAGAAGGAATACACTTTAGAAAACATTGGCCTTTTAAGACCTTTTTAACCATGATGATAGAGTGAGCTCCTTTCAGCCCTTGCTTCACACTCACATTCACAGCTAAGAGCTAGACAGAACAGTCTTTTTGAGCAAAGACCAGTTCACGTGAGCCATTCAGGGGTTTGTGCTGTAATAAGCAGCACCGCAGCTGTATTTTTTAATTGCTTAGTCTCTTTATATGAATAGTTATTCTCTAATACAGGATTTCAACCTTCAAATAACTATCCCACACTGCTAACTTCATAGTTACTGCTATCTCTAAAACCTTGATGAATATTTGACAGCGGCCATCAGTCACTTGGTGTTTACGGAATCATTTCAGTACAGGAACATTAGTTTGAAGGCAGAAAGAATGAAATGATAAAATTTCAATATGATCCTGTGTTATATAATCAACTGCATTTCCTGCAGGCAGTTGGCTGTATGTCCACAGGAATTAATGATCTCCAGTGGGAGAGGTCTTTAAGCACAGATTTAATTTCAGGCCATCTAAGTGAATGGAGAAATTCACGGATGAGGACTCAAAATGAAATACATCAGCAACACTCTTTGAGAATTAAATAAACAAACACCTGTTTTAGCGTGAAACTATCATTGCTGGAAAATATGACCACTGTGTTATGCATGGCGTTCTCCTCCTCCTCCTTCACTGGGTATGGTGCTTCTATTGTGGTGACCTGCAGGCAAAGAAAAACACAAAAACAAATATAAACAGTGTGATGACGTAATCATAATTGATCATAAGAATTAATATAACCAAGGATGCACATACTATAGAGGAAAAGTTACTATCAGCTACTACTTTCTTTTATTCACAACTGCTGAGTCATTATTTGAAGGTATTGCGAACCGGCCTCATTAAATGTGCAGCCTTTACCTTAAAAAGTGGCTAGCAATAACAGGTTATTCTGTCATTAACACTAATGCTGTTTAAAATACATCGGCCATGTCTTGAGCTCGACAGAAAACAAAAACTACTTTTGCATATTGTGCAATATTTGCCAAAGATGTCGAGAAGTCATCCGACTGACAGTACATACCCCAGGGTTGATGCCGGGACTCACTCCATTTTTGCCTCTGGCCCTGCCACGTCCAGCTCTACCGGACAGACCAGCCCCTCTGGGCCGCCTCCTCCCAGGGAAGCCTGAGCCTCGACCCTATGGAGGCAAGACATTAATCAGAAAAGGTGCAGTCCGGCACTTAAGGGGTGGATATAGACACATTGTAGGGCAACACGGGGACATTGACGAGTACCCATCTTATAAGCTGATATGAGCAGACGCAAGCTCCACTTGTTTGTAAAAGCTTGTTTCTCTCTTGCACAGGGTCAATTGATCCAAGTCATAGTTTGGCTCAGTGGACAAACTGATCAGCAAACAAACTGTCCAGTGAAATCAGCCCCTGATTTGTTACCCCGCCCCCCTTGCTGCGATTCATTTGAGCTGGTGTGAATATAGTAATCGTACTCTGGACCAGACCAGATGCTTGGGAGGATGTGGTCTTGGACCAGTCCCAAACAAACTCTGGAACGGTTCGTTCGTGGTGGGAACGTGATCAGACCTTGATTTGAACTAACTACCTTTAAAATCTCACGCTTACCGAACACGTCTTATGTTTAACATGCTGACAGTCTCAAGCTCAATATTAGCTCAGCTGTTCTGCTCAGTCATCTGTAGACAGTGCCAGGGCTGCAACTAACAATTATTATTAATTAAACTTTCTCGATTAGTTGTTAGGTCCAGAAAATTGTCATCAGTCAATCATGCCTTCCCACGGGTGACCTTTTACCATTCCCACTTTCAGCTTTTAGGTCTGTGTATATTCTTGACTGCACAACAAGAAGAGCACTGTTCATCCAGTTCTAGAAACGTAATATTCTGCGGAGTTGTTTTCTACTAGCAAACTGCTAGTGCAAATACAGCCTGCATAACCGGTGATTCACTTAATATTTATTTAAGTATTTATGCTATCATCAATATGGCTTTGTAGAAATCTGTATTATTTGAGCATCACATAAATGCTCAACAAGGGAAAAAAACCCAATTCTTGACATTTTGATGGTTCATGCCAGACAGCGAGAATGTGAGAGTTAAGAAAAGGCCTCTGAGCTGTCGTTCTAGAAATGCATATTCCACCATTTCTGACTGGAGGCCTCTGCCTAATCATGACTGTCAAACTTAAGTCGAACCTTCCAGCACCTGCCCCAAAATCCCTTCCCATTTACCCCACATTTGACACTGATCCCAGACCAAGGCCCCTCCCATCCACTGTGCCTCCTGACACACTGTGCGATTGTGTTTAATCTGGACTGGACCCCTGCCGCAGCGTACAAATTAACCCTCACCCAGCTTTGCTAAGAGTAATGACTGTCACCATGGCTACCAACTACCTCAGACATTTCACTAAATCAAAATCAAAGAAGAAAAAAATACTTCAACAAGTTTGGATAAGACAGAAAAGGAGGGCGCACAGCAGAGCATGGCTGACAAAGAGGAAATGGGAGAAATACATTCATTTGTAAAAATATTTGTGTAGACTGTGGATGTCTTATTACACCGAACCCTTGATCTCTCAATTCAACCGCAAAGCCAGCAAAACCCACTGTCAAAATAGCCATTTGCTTATCCATTGTCCTATGAATCTCCTCTTCTCACTGTAAGGTGGTGGTAATTGTTAGTGCAAGCTACACAGTGACGTTCAGGAACACACGGGGAGTGTGCGTCACTAGGGTAAACAGAGGGCTAGCAGAGGGCAGCTGCTGCCCTGCTGTCTCTGGTGAGCCACAGTATTTACCACTCTGATGCTCCAGCCGGGGCTGCCAGAGGACTGCCTGGTCTTTGGGACGTCCCACCCCTCTGGCTGGTCTGGTGACCAGGACAAGGGGGAGCTCACACTGCTATGGGGGCTCCATGCACCCTAAGGTAAGGTGGGGGGCGGGTGAGAGAGTGAGAGAGAGGGAGGGGGGGGGGGGGTGACAAAATGCAGCAACTTAAAAACAAAGCCAGCGAAGAAACAAAACATACAAAGAAAGATGTTAGAGAGATGCAGTGAGCTCCTAAGGTAGCCATCTGGGAACTACTCAATACACATCCATCTATGCAGAGCCAATGCATTACAAAGCATCTTGTGTGCCAAAAGATGACCAGGATATGGTATTAGGTTACATTCTGTGTTAAAGCCAATCCGGTTTTTCATGCATATGAATTTAAAGGTTTCTAATAGACTCTTCATAAAAGCAAAACTGGAGAGCACAATAGCATTAGTTGCATTTCACAGAGCATACTTTGCCAGAGCAACATGGCACCATACAGCAGGAAAGTGGCCCTGGAAACTCTCGCCATGACAACCATGTATGTTTCGCATGTTGACAAAATGAGTAAACTGCGTCAGCATGGCAGCACATGAGCGCATTAGACAAACTTAAGCATGCTGGAAGAAGAGCAACATTCAAATTTTTGGCCCCAGGCCTTGTGTAACAGATTAGTTTGGGCTATAAGATGTTTATTTAAGAGATGGGATATATCTGAGAAAATGAAACATTTTGCAAACTAAATTAATCTACCCTCACCAGCATCATTCATAATATATTATAGCCATGGGTGTGATTCAATTTCCATTCTTATTCTTCTGAGTGTCTATATTCTTTGTCTCCATTACAATTCATTTGTTTTAGTGACACTAAAAGTTATTTTTATTTTTTTTTTAACACAGCCACTAGTGACCCACTGCAGTTGACGGGAGAAATATGGAGATAACTAAGACATGGTAATGGTCACTTACCACATGGTAGTGGTAATTTTTAAGTCAATGGAACCATAAGGTGGCTCATGTTTGTAATGTGGACATGAGATGAACAGAGTGATGAAAATGCCACTGAGGTGGAATATGGTGACACTCAGTGAAAGGTGCTTTAGCCATAGAAAAAAAATAATATATAATTCCTACTGTAAATAACTAATACTTCAACTGAGCTCTGCATGAACACTATGACTAACTATTCAGGTGGTGCACAAATGTGAAGAGGGCACAAGGAGTTGAGAGAAAGCATCATTCACCAGGCTGTCCTCCTGCTATGCTTGCATAGTGTACTGCAAGGTATAACTTGACTGAGGAAAAAACATATACTGAACCGTAGCCTTTAGGCTGCTTCAACCAATCCAGTGCCACCAAAAAAAATAAATAAACAAAACTAATCCACCTAGCAGACCCCCTAGGGCAGCCACAATAACTTGGTTGGGACAGTGAATAAGGCAGAACCGATGCTCTTCTGCAACATGATATCCATGTTCCTACCTGTTTCACTCGTGGCCTCCCAGGAGAGAACTTCCTCTTGGTGATGGCTGGCTTTCCCATTCCAATCTTAGGGGTGAGTGGTATAAGCGTGGTGGTGGGCATTACACTGCTGTGGTCACCCAGTGGAGGTAGGATCTGGGCCAGTTCTCTGGGAGACATCCCTCGGACCAGAGGGGAGGAGTGGGATGGAGAGGAAACCATTTCTGCCAACCTTTCCACACATGTCTTTAGTGGGTTCTCGTCTGAAGACAAGCTGGAAAGTGACGGATCAGGCTTGCTCTCCGGTGTAGTGTACATCTCCTCCGATGTAGTAGAGGCAGAGGGCTTAACAGTCTCTGCCAGGTTTCTGTGAAAAATAAGCTCACTCCTCTCCTTCTTGAGTTCTTTTGGAACAGTTTCCAGGAAAGAAGCCCTGACTACATCCATACTTGAAGGCTGGGGTAGTGAGACCTCCATTGGTTGGTCCGAGAAAGGTACTGATGCAGTACTTGGTTCTTTGGTGGTTGAGATGATGGCCTTAAAATCCTTTGTGCTGGGGTTGGCCATGCCCTGCTCAGGGCAGGCCTCTGTCTTTGCTGGTTTGATTTGTAATGTGGTATCCTGTGCCTGTAGTGCCTCCATAGAGAGCTGGACTGGAAAAGATTCAGACTCCTGGCTGGGAGCCGTTGAAGGACTCTCCGTAGATGTAAGCTGGGCTCGTGCTGCTGGTTTTGTTTCTGTAAGGAGAAAATACACAGTCTTTACATCATGTACATCATTAACAGATGAAAAAAAGATAGAAGTGGAAACCAATGTGTGTACAAACCTGGTTTGAATTCTGTTAGGACTTTGTTGACAAAAGGTTCAGTAACCTGCCTCTCGACAACGTCTGCTCCCACTGAGACTTCTAAAAGCGATAAGATCATTATCAGAATGATTATATACACAATAAAAAAAGTAATTTGTTCATTAATAGAGAGAACTGGAGAGACTGAACACATTAAAATAAAGTGGTATGGGTATAAAGAAAGAGGGCCACAGGGAAATTTTAGGCTTGGAAGCAGAGAAAAATAAATATTTCTGCTTGCATCCATTCAATCCACCCATCATTTTGAACCTGATGGTAAAACAAACACGACTATGATTTAAATTCCAAAGTCATGAAAACTCTTATACCCTTTAGTAAAACCACCAAGGGTTTTTCTATTAAATAAGATGAACATGGGCGATAATCCTTTACAACCTCTAATTTAACATATACGACCTTCTGTTGCAGATCACCAATTATCTCATGAGCCATTAAATACAGAAAAATGTATATAGGCTAGTTACATCCAGTGGGGTACACCCTGGACAGGTCACCAGTCCATCACATGGCACACAGACACGAACAACCACTCACACCTAAAGGCAATAGTTGTTAGGTGCAATTAAGAGTCACACATTACCTTGCCTGCATGTCTTTGGACTATATAGGCTAGTTCTATAAGTAAAAAAAACAGTTACAGACATTAAATGGTTATTTATTATATAAGGATATAAAATAGATTTCACTGCTCGGATTTTAATAAACTGTTGTATTAGTCTTGAAAAGGATGTGACAGGGGTGTTACTGAAAAGGCAACTCTTAATCAAAGGCTGCATTCTAACAATAATCTAGGGTCTCCTACCTCGTCTCTCCATTCGGTTATCTAGTGTCTCCTATCCTCTCTCTCCGTTTGGTTTTGTATTAAAAGACATCAATGCATTTGACTAGTCGGGTATGAATAAAACTAGTCATTCCTGGCTATCAGGCGTCCACACAACGAGCCAATATTCTGCCAGACAGCCTCTGACCGTACAGATAGCCCAGTCTTAACGAGACACCCACCATTTCAATACACAAGTTCCCATGTCACACTGATCCTGACACACACATGCACCTGCTAAGCATCTCTGCCAGGGAAGGGAGTAACCATGACAACCCACATCCCAGGGCCTGTGTGCTCTGGGCTCATGACTGTGCAGCTTGCAGGTGCTCATCCGGTGCCGATGCCAGAAAGTCAATTAGGAGATGGGCCTCCGACCATCTCCAGCCTTCAACTATTGACCAAGCTGAACACACATTCTCATTCATATTATCTCCCTGCTTCCTACACCTCCTACTGTGAATGAGGTGATGAGATAAATACACGGCTTTGATTAATGCAGCAGAGGCCTACAGTCGGGCCTAACATGCAGTCACAGAACAGATCGAACAGCATCTGTCAGTTGAGTCACGGGAAGCCTGCTGTTAAACCCTGAGTGGTGGAGAATCCTGGCAGGTGATTAACAGCTCTGGTTAATGACTTTAATTACATTACATGTCGCGGGCCGCGGGCGGCATAGTCATGATCTCCCATAACAAAGCAAAAAAAAAAAAAAAAAAAAAAAAGGAGAGAATCTGAATAAGAGAATCTTGAATTAAACAAAATAAACAAATAAATAAACAAACACATTAAAGCTCGACGCAATCTTAATTTTGGGTGCTTAAATCGAACCTCCAAAAGCTCCTCTTATATCAATCCACAGATATGTGACACTCGTCTTTAAAACCACAATGGAGGAAGCATCGCTTTGCCATAAGAAAAAAAGCTAGTAAAATAAGAGCACATGCGTATGGTGTGTAGAGCAAGAAAGCTGTGTGTGCAGTCATGAATGAGCCAGCATAGCTCCGAGGCAGGTTTGCAGACAGGGGATCTAATATCATCACCATGATGCTACTCCTATCCATTCTCTCCTGCCAGTGGAGTCTGCTGTCTAGACAGAGTGGGCAGTGTAGCTACCGCTGGCATCCCTAGCTCACTGCTAATTTCCTTGATACTACCCTCCACTGCTCAAAGAACTCACAGGAACCATAGTGGAGATGCAGCCCTGAGCTTCATACAGATACCAACATCATGTAACTCAGTGTTGCTACAACTTGTACCACAGTGAATGAAGCACCAGAAACAAGAGGCAGGTATGGTAGGTGAAGGTGCATCTACTTAATGGCATGTTGCTAGAAAAGCTCATACGCCAGAAAAGATTATGTCCACGTCGAGCCTCTGGGGTTAGAGTTCAAGTCACATCCAAAGTATTTATATTGGTTCTGACAATATGGCTATTCCAAGAAATGTCACTGCAGTTGAGTTGTATCCTATTTAGTTACTCTATAAGCAACCAAAATTAAACAACAAAGTTATTCTGTCGTGCCCAAATTCTTTGAAGTCCCTGAATCCAATGGCCATAACTAATATTCTGAATCCCATTGAAGGTAGGGCTGAACAATTTTAGGCAAAAAATCTAATTGCAGATTTTCTGTCAGATTATGCGATTATGATTTGAGTATTTTTTTTTTTTTTTTAAAGTTTAGCTTAAGTTATATTCACTTATATTCAGGAAGTCAGACACAGTACGGCATAGAGAATCTGGTCGAATTTCAAAAATAAACACCCTACAGTAAACACAGTTAAAACAGAAACAATTTAACTACGTAGCCTACCTAATCGTGGTAGTAGCAGCACAAAAATCAGACAGATGAACAAATAAGCAAATCTGAACACGTCAGCAAAATCAGGCAGGCAAAATGCTCTTATTCTGAAATGCTACATGTGGGATGTGTAGCCTGCACAGAGCAGAATGAAAGGGCTCACAGAGAGCTGTTGTCTGTAGTTGAAGCACACAAAATGACAAATTAACAACATGTCAACAACGTAGCTCTAAACGCTCAGCTGCTGAAACACTTCAGTGTGAGTTGACGGACAAGACCGCAGCACAGCCGCTGCCTGTGTTGGTTCCGCTGGCGCCACAATCCCAGCGTTTTTCTCCAGTTTCGTTTGTTGTTGTAAAATTTACACGCCCTGTGCCCGCTCTGATTGGTGAGTAGGACCGTAACAGGAGGCGCATGGCACTTATGATTGGTGAGCAAGCCTGTCACACAAGGATGACAACGGAATGAATCTTTAACTGCATGACTGTTTAAAACGGGTCAGATGCACTGTTTAATTAACCTACATTTTAATTGCCATCTTCACGATTAGCTAATCGCGTTCTTTCAAATCGCAATTTTCAATTTGAAAAAGATTAATTGTTCAGCCCTAATTGAAGGCCCTATATACGATAGACACCTTGTTGTGCATTGATTTTGTATCTCACACCTGTTGCTGGCAAACAAGTACACAGCGATATGACAGACATGAGACACGTTCGCAGTGCCTTAGCAACGTCTCCCTCCGTTAAGCAGCATGAACAGTCCAGCCTAGACTGAGGTTAATTAAACACGCACTGCAAGTCAAATGTAAAGTTGATTTGCAGCAGTATGAGCAACCAACTCCAGTGCCCATCTCTGTCTCAAGTCGCACTGTGTAGTTTCACTTAGCTATGCAGTGAAGTGACCTTTTAAAAAAAATAAGTGCTCTCAAGTATCAATTTTTCATTCACATAGACTAGCAGAGCATCCAACGTCCCCAGGAGACAGGAGGGAGAAAAAAAGTACTTTTAATTCTCAAAACAAAGACAGTGGAGTCGCTTTAATCTCTCGCTAGTAGGACACCATCTGGTTATTGGGGAGTCCTCAGAAAATCCTCCAAATAAAAGAGGGAGTGCTTCTCTCTGGTCTTAGTCCAAACAACTCCCAATCCTTTCATCTGCAACAACTGCGACTTTCAAAACTTCAGTGCTGACACCAGAGCCCAATTTCGTGTTGCGTGCCCAAAACTTTTAACTGCTTCTGCATGGCTAGAGGCTGAATGAATGAACCCTCAACTACAAAGATTCTCTTTCATTTTCAATTGTATAACCTGGTGCTTGTGTATGATTCTGTATAATCAAAAGAGTTACGTTGCTTGGCTCTTCCTTGCAATAACAAGATGTGATTAATATGCTGATAAAACAGATTAGATGGTCAGGAGGGACACTTGGGCATAGAGGAAAATAAAGATAATACAAGGAAAGAGATCAGAGCAGTTATCTTCCTATGTATAAGCTAACCTTTTTGGAACAAAGACCCACCAGGCTTCTGGGCCGACATGACCAGCTTCTCCTCCTGGACGGTAGCCTGAACAAGCTCTGGATCTGAGTGCAATGGAACAGCGAGTAATTCCGGTTTGGGGTCATTGTGCATTTCAGGAGGCAGCTGAGTGCCAGGTTCTAGGTCTGTGTGCTTTTTAGCCAGCTGTAGGCCAGTCTCAGAGTCTGTGTGCATGGAGGCTGGCTGAGGGCTGAGCTCTGGGCCGGTGTCCATATCCTCTGCCTGTAGTGCCTGCTCTGCAGCAGGAGACCTGCAGTTGGAACAAACATAGTCCTCTCTGGGGTGGATTTCTGCTTGGCCTGAGTTCTGACGCTCACACTCCAGGTGTAGCCATCTGAAAGGAGTGCACAGGAATTTTAAGGGATTGTTCAACAGGGATGTCTGTGAAACCCAAAAATGTGATATGTTTGTCACTGTGGGTTTCCTAGTGTTTTCTTAGTGTTACCAGGGAACATAAATTCACCACAGAATTAAAGCAAGAACAAAAAAACAACATTGTTCCTTTTGTGTTCCTTACCTCTTACAAGTGTGGCAGAAGAGTAAGTCTTTGTGATGCTCAGGGTCCAGGATGCAGGCACACATAAGACAGCACAGAGCAGGGTCCTGGTTTTGGACACAGTTCTCACACAGCAGGCTGGTGTGGTGCCATTGCTTGCTGGTTCGTGTTCCGCATTGGATGCATACTCTGCAGTTCTGAGGAGCAAAGAAAGCCTTCATACTAACATAACACTGAAATCAGTTCAGAGCCAATGCATGGAAAAGGAAACAACCAAGAAACCTGTCCAGACCCACAGCGAATTTACATGTATTTAAGACCAAGACTCTATTGCATATCATCATATAGACTAACCAGTTTTTAAATACTAAGGTTTACACATAAAAAGTACAAACATTTAAAGTTTCATAACGTCTTATTTCAACACAGCACATAATTTTACAGCAGATGCATTTCCTGACATAACCCTCTCCATTTATCCTGCCAATTAGGACAAGACACTGCACATGCATGCGCAGTGTCTAGCCAAGGACATTTCGACACATGAACAAGAGAAGGTGGGGATCAAACGGCCAACACTGACATCAGTAGATGCCCCGCTCAACCACCTGAGCCATAGCTGCCATATTTGAAAAGTGTTTGGCATCAAATGAATTAGGGTCTGGCTACATAGCTGCATCTTGCTGCCAAGTAGGGTAACAAATGGCTGACACTTGATATCATGTCCAATTGCTTTTCAAAAATCACTCGAACAGTTACGTTGAGCAGTGTGGCACAAGCAAATAAATAGCAATTAAACTTCAACACTGACAGTGTGCACCAGCAAACGGAGCTGTTTTGGGTTTAAAAAGTGGTCATTTGGCTTCTATTCAGCAGAATCCCTGTTAAGTGCTACTGTTAATTCAAAATGGCGCTTGGACTCCAGTATTTTGCTCATGCTGGATATGAAGAGAGGCTGCCCAATCTTGACAAAACCTTCGTGCTTCTTGTTATTTTATGTATGAGCACTGCCTGTCCTTCAGCTGGGAACACAGAGTGATACTTTCATTTCTTTACCTTTGTGTGAAAGTGTTCAAGCTATCATTCCTAACAGATGCGTCATTGTCGGGTGACTCAGCAAGAAAAGGCAGAAAGTTCACCTCAACATAGATACAACTATAAATGGACAATTGTACAGCTCTGTATCAATTAAAGATAATGATTTCCATAATGGACGCTATCACCCGACACAAAAATCCATTTGAAAATGTCCATTTAATAGACTCATTTAGTAGACTAGCTAGCCACTCAGCTTGAGGAAGTTTTTATCTCAGGCACTGGCCTCCATTCTGGTGAATCAAATTCTGGTGCTCATACATGATAGACAACGTCAAGAGGAACATCACAGAGCATTGAAACTGAAACAATGACTTTTTCCCCTATTGATCTCTACTTTAGCAAGACAATTGCACTCAGAACAAAACTACCATGTGAGCGGGGATAGGGGTTGGTGGCAGGCGCCCTGGAGAAACAACTAGCAAGAAAGTGTGTGGGTTGTGCTCCTACTGTGCTGAGTCACATTGAGAAGCCAAGTGTGAAGACCTTTCATCACCTGCTGGCTCTACTGCTGCGGCCTTAACCAGCCGCTTGAGTGACAAGCACACCATTTACAATGCTGGAGGATGGAGGGGTGGGTGTGATTAACATGCACACGCTTGTAAACAGACACACACACTACATTGTCTGAGGCTGAAATGACGCCTTTAAAGCCGATGTGAGTCATTTCGTAACCACACAATACAAACCACTAAAAGTAATATTCTCATGGGTGGTAGACATTTTACTGCAAATGCAAAGATTCATATCATGAATATTTTTCCATTGAATATCCCTGTCTGCACACATGGGGAGTTTTGTCTTGCAATTTGCTGCAAAATTACTGATCGAAACAATGTGGGCATCATGTGCAATGGGTTGGCACTTCAATAGAAAAATGATTAAAAAAATATTTTTTCATACCAGCCAGAATAACCTTTATTTTGTATCATCTTACATATGCTATCCAGCATCATATGAGGACTTTCCTACCTTACATCTCCATCCATTGGTGGGAAGAGAGTCCATAGCAGGTTGTAGACAGAAGGTATGATACCCTTTGTCACACATGTCACACACCAGCATTTTAGTGTCCTCTCCTGGGTTCCTACAAAGAGAGAGAGAGAAGGTTTAATGAAATGATGCAGCATATAGGACACAGTGCACATGAACTGCCAAAAGCCACGCGGGATGTTATATAGTCACATGGATGATCATAGTAGTCTTGTTTATCTTTTTGGAAGAGTCATCTTTAGGAGGTTTTGTGAACAAACTATTTTTTTTACATAATGCATTAGTTCTCAGTTGAGCACCTGTTGAAAACTTTCCAAGCCAGGCAAAAGCACATCAGGTGTATTCTTTGTGACTTTTTAAACTTTTAATTGAATCTGTTGAATCTGTTTCTGTTACACTGGATCTTGGTTGTGTAGCAAATATCAATCCCATTTGTTTTCATTTGAATGAGGGGAGAGAACTAGCCCTTTCCTGCCCTAACCAATATGTGCTCTCTGTTCTTATTTTTCAGAAAATGGGAGGAAGAATTATTTGTTTTTGTTTTAGTGTATGTCTTGCCAACAGTTAAATATTGTATTTCTAAAGAACCCCCCAGAAATAGTAATTTACAAGAACAGCCTTACATTTGCCAGACCAGCTAGAAAACTGGCTGAGCACACTAACGGTCCCTTATTGACTGACTACCCATTCTTGATAAATGCATACACAAGATTAGGCCTGCTGCGATGTGTAGGCAAGGCGATGCATTAAATTGTCCTGATATGCTGCGTCCAATGCCAGAACAATTACCTGTAGACTGAACTGGTGTATTCCTCTCTCTTTAGGCCAGCAGTGAAATATTTTAATAGTTGCTAAAGGTGGTAAATGTAGCTTGTTAACATACTTATGTAAGGATAATTGATTGTTGCGCATCAGAATGGTATATACACAATATTGTATTTGGTATTGTATTGTTTACAAGGCAAACAAAGAATGCTTGCTCCTGGAGAAATGTTAAATATTAACCCAGCTGGTATATACAGTGGCTCGGGGCATGTAGCTGTGCGTCACGGTGTGTGGGGGTGCTACATCTCTAATTGTAGGGTTAGAAATAAGTAAGGCTGAAAAATTGGTTTACTGTAAACACAAACGGCCTTTTACTGACCAACACAGGATGTATTTTAATTATTTTTACTTCCATACATACATACTTACAGGTAAGGTTTAAGATTGGGATAACATCCACAATAAAGGCTATGCTATAATAAAAGCTTGTAAAGTTGTCAATACTAAACAATATGAAGGAATCAAACAATTTTGAGCCAGTCTCAACTCTCATCCCATCCATTACAGTATGTGACTATATCATGAAACCATACTCATCTTGAAAAATACCATGCTATGCAGTAACAACATGTAACAGGGGTTTCTATGTAAATACGGAACAGAAAGCTTAATGGAAAGTGTTCACCTAAGGCAAGCAGGCCTGGTTTCTAGCAGAGCTCCTGTGCTGTTTAAATAAGGTCAGAAGTTACAAGATTGAGCTTCAGGGTAAAACATCCAGTTAGCATCTCACAAACCACAGAGGTAAACAAACCAGCAGTATGCACCATGCCTGCTAGCTATAGAGAATAATAGTAAGAAAAAAAAAAAGTTAAAGAAAAGCTGAACAGAATGAAAACATTCAATCTAAGATACTTTATTTACGTGAGTGTGAAGGTGACTCACTTGCATGTCTGGCAGACTTTACACTCAGGGCACTGCCAACCTGCCCTCCTTAGAGGGGTCACGGCCATGTCCAGACATACCCCATGGTAATGCTGACCACAACTGGTGCAGAAGAGCTGGTCCAGTAAGTCCCCTGGGCTATCACATAGTGCGCAATTTACATCATCTACAACTGTGGGAAAGGAAAATTAAACAAACTAAACAATGAGAAACAATCGCATTTCAGACGGTAGATAGTTGATACAATGTCAAATTCTTAATTTTCATTTATGTAAATTATTTAACTAAGCTTTTATATACAAAGTATCCGATTTTACTCAACTTACATTTGTGAATGGCCAATTCAGTGTGTTCTGGGCAGAGGAGTGAGAGACTCCTGATATCCTGAAAGGTCCCAGCTGCCCCCGCACAGGGGTAATGGTAGAATTGAGCACATCCTTCAGCACAGCACTTAATGGATGCTCCAAGGCGCTTACAGTATGCACAGTGCTACAGAAAGAGACACAGAGAGATCATTAAATATGTCTAAAATGTCATTGTCTGCAAATAAATTCCATGAACAGCCAAGGCAACAACAAACTCAAAAACACATCCATTATGTTTTATGACTGATTTAGCTTATGCTAAGAAAGTGCTTTATAGATGAATGTATACATCTTTCTCAGCTGAGATCAAGACCCCTGTTTAAACCCCTGATGATCACAACCATGACAGAAACTCATCCATTCCCTATTTTTCCCCTCAGTTCTACGAGTGTGCATTGATAGCTACTCTGCAGATCAAGTGGAATACTTGCCGATGGGCTGCAAACGCACCGCTAACACTAAGAGCTAAGCTGCCACGAGAGCTCAGCCCTGTTGAGTGGCGTGACCTTTTCCATTTCACAGCTGAGAGATCCATGCTGCCGGGCCAACCTTTACCAGCCAGTCTGATCCATCAGCTTGACTGTGCCTCACTAAAGCAGTCCCTCCCTGCTGCCCCAACACATTAAGATGGTGTTAACACCTATTAGTGCACGGATGTTCTCCCCTGACTCACCTTTGTGCTCCCTGAGTCAATGGCTCTGTCCACATTAAGCAGAGATTGTCCCTCGCCCTCACAAACACCTTCGGACCACAAGGCACAACTCTGATGTGCCCAGCATTGCCCTGAAAATTCAAGACAATTGATGTGAAGACAACACAAGGTTAGAATCAAATAAATATCTTGTGTTGTACGTGTAGAGCATTCACAAATGGTGAGATTATGAATAAATGTGATTCGCCATTAAAAGCTTGGTAAAAAGGAGTAAGAATGTTTAGTCTACTGATCTTACCTGACTCGAAGAGAGACTGGACATTAAGATCTTGTGGAAGGCCGACATGAGAAAGCTCATCCCAAAATCGACTGGCTGGGTCTGGTTCTTCCTCGCAGCTTTCAGACCCACTGGAACAAAAAGAAGAAGTTTGCAGAGAAAGCGGGTCAGCACAGCTTTTTTTTGTTTTGTTTTTGTTTTTTTTTTTAAAGGAGGACAGCTAAAAGATATTCTACGCAGGAGAAAGGAGGACAGTCGGAATCAATTTAGGAATGAATCGAGAGTAGAGACATAAAGGTAGAGAACGATGTGCAGTTTTTACAAAAGCAGAGAGATGAAGACAGAATGAGCCGGGGGGAAAATGCTAGACAGCAAATAAAAAGCTGTGGGGGAGGAGGGAGAGGAGGAGGAAGAAGAGGGCCATCTTGTTTGGTGAGTGCACAAGAGGCTGGCTGTTCTGTCTCATAAAATCTGTTGAAAAGGATGCGTTTCCCCGAGTCCCTGGCTTGAACTAGTGAGCTGCATAGCATGCGGAAAATGTGGAGAGGGAGCATTAGCATTTAAAAAGGACTTAAGTTCCAGTAAACAAACTAACGGCCAAAATCAAGAGACTGGTTTCTGGAAGCATGATGGCACATTCATGACAAACAGCCTTGGCAGCTTATTGTTTATAGGCAAAGTTTCATCACTAGTTATCAAATGATCTTCTCCCGCCTCCTCACATTTCCACAGTTTTCCCCTTTGTCCACCACCTCTGCCTCTGACAAATCAATACATAATTTTCCCTCCTGCGCCTCTGTGTGGCATAACCGAGGACTGGCCCCCCTTGACCAATCACACAGCAACAACACAACAGCTACTGGTTGGCTTGGCATGCTGCCAGAGCCATACTGCTCTCATTGCCTATTACGTCACTGTGAACCCGGAGAGACGCCCAACTGGTTTCCAAAGGGCCAAAACAAATTAGGCAGCTGTCCAAAAGAGTCCGAGGAGGGTCCTTTGTTGGCACAGTGTGCAAATATGTAAGTGCTCATAGACACACACACACACACACGAAAGGCTCACGTGCACCCTTCACCTGATGTAGTATCCCTGGGCCTGAGGACCCTGCTGGCCAAGTGATAATTTAGCCTTCAAATGTAGAATGACAATGCTACTGCTAATGGCAAGAGGCTCTTTAGCTTGTGAGGTCTCCTGGATTGTACAGGGACAAACAAAAGGATCACTGAAGTGAGGCCATGAGCAAATTTTGATTTCTTGCAGCTCATTAACTTACAACGGGGACTCATCTTAGATTACTTTACTGTCCTGACCAACACTGACAAACCATTTGTAATAACACTGTCAGCCAGGCCTACTTACTTCGTCTTTTCCCTCTGTCCTGAGGTGGTCTCTTCTGCCATTTTTGGCTGAGTGGTTTTTTCACCATCACTGCTATCGCTCGTCGAGCCTCCTCCACCCGTGTGGCTGAAGAGTGCTTCAAGCTGAGGCGTGGTGCTGAAAACGTGCATTTCCCCCTGACCCAGCAGGCTATGGCCACCACAGTAACAGAAGGCACAGAGACGCTCACTGAAACAAAGAAAATGCGTGGAAGGGGGTGTTTAATTATATATACCTACTGTGACTTAATACAGTGCCACGCATGTCACCATGAATTAAGGCATCCTTCTTCTGGCAATGGGACTGTTTGCGCAGCAACATACATCTAAACACATAGTTGCTTGGGAGGCAGGCGTACACCCACCCATCCTCTTATTTGTATATGATTTTTTCACAAGTGGTTTGTTTGTAGCAGCAGACCAGACCCCTTCTCACAAGCACCTGTAACCTTGTGTGCAATAGTGGGTAGATATTTTCAGATGTTACAATTTGCAACTTTAGTCAAAATTTGATTTTTGAAAATTGCTTTCAACAACATTTTAAGCACATTTAGTTAATTCTGAATCAATATTTCTGCCAGAAGCATCACCTAACAAGATTGGACAACTGGACATGGAAGTGTTGCGGCTTCCACGTGAGAAAGGCGTTTTGGAGACAGAGAGGTAAAACAACAAAAAGAGAGAATAGTGGCCAAGAACACTAAAGTTGAGAAATAAAAAATGGGGCGGTAAATATTCATCACATTTCTAAGGGATGAGATGGCCTTGTTAATAAGATCCCAGGAGATGCTTCTGGTCTGCCCTCCATCACCAACATCAATAGCTGAGAGAGGCCAGGAGATTGATTACAACCTTTAACAGAGTGGCACCTGGGAGGAGAGTTCTGCCTCTACCGCCTTATAACTCCATCTCAATTCATCCACGCATGTGTACACAGCAAGGCAAACAGCATGTCACACAGCAGAAACACAAATGCCCAATTGCATTCTAATCCTTATACATGTACACATTCATATAAACCGTTGTGGCTTAGAGAAGTTTTGTGTTTCTAACCTTCTTTTGACTTCTCTACTCGCTGGGACAGATGGTCCTGCTGAATTCTCGGCTGGAGGGCTCTGGGCCAGAGGGGAAGAGGGCTTGTCCTCCTCTGGCACCTCAGGGGTCAACACTTCCACAGTTTCCACTGGCTGGATTGGCGTTTCTGATGGCAACAGAAAAATAAATCGATTAGTTAGTTAGTAAGAAACCACTAAGCATTAAATCCCTTCAGAGCATTTGTGAGCATTGCAGCCCGTTCAACAATCTCTCAAAGTAATTGCCAATTAAGACTGTAAAATCAGCATGCACCTTCTGAGAGACACACACTGTTGTAGGGCAGGTTGGTTACATTCTAGTCAGTTTCCTCCAGGTTGGAAACACAGCCTTTATTAGTGAGATGGATGGTAAAATATGGGGACCATATGCCCAAGCAGTGATTACAGTAAACAGACTGGGAACATCAAGCTCTTGTACAGAATCGCAATAACAATGGAGGCTGGGGAAAAAATATGAATCACAGCAGCCAAAATGTCTCAAGAAGTGGGGTTTAATATTAATAGGTAATACGACTAAAATAGGTAACACAACTAAACTCATTTGTGTTACGATCATAAATACTTTTTATTTAAATTACCTCAAAAAAGGCTCAATTCACTGTAATCACAAAAAACAACTCCCAAATGTACCTCTCACTGGGCCATGCAAAATCTTTATTAAACATAATTAAAGATGTAATTAGGCTAATACTGCAATGATTCAGTGTCATCCAATGGAATTACACAAGGACAAATTCAAGCTCATTACCTCCTAATAACTGAATGCACCTGTGAAGACTTCTTACAGTCTCGGGATATGTGTGACGTGTCGGAAAGTGTGTATCACCTTCGTTTTTTCAACATTAACAATTCCCTTGTTATTCTGGGAGTGACATGTTAAATCACAATGGTACAGTTTTAATGGTAAATACGTGAAAGTATATATGTTTGTGATAGTTTTAAATATATTTTAAATATTTTCTAAAGTGGCTCGCATATAGCATTTAAGCTACATTGTACTTTCAAAACAAAAATAAAAAGGTGAAAAAAAAAATATTGTTGGAATGTTGTAATGCTCCTAATAATTGCTTATTATTTATGTAACACAAACCACAGCTAATGTAAGCAAAGCTAGCCACTGGCAAAATTTCATTGTCGAGTATCCCCAGCACAGCAACAGGGCAGCACTGAGATGTATGAGAATGGGAGGCATGATCACGTGATGTGATGTACACACATAAAAAAGCACATAAAATGGGTCTGGAGAGACTGATGGGATTTTAAAAAGCTTTTAGAGGGCATTAGCCTTGGGCTCTTTCCCAGTGCACCTCAATGCCAATCTCAGAGCAGGAGGAGAGATGGAAGTAAGGGGAGAAAAAAAAAATACACACCCACTGCAGCTTCACAGCTCAAGCTAAACCCTTTCAATTATAGCACTGAAGTAGAAGCATGGGGTGCCAAGAAAAAGCTCTCATCCATCCTTCTCCAGGAGAGGGAGACTCCTCTGCTTTTACTGAAATACCGTTTTGAAGCACTCTCTGCATGAGCCTTCATGAATGAGCAAGTTCTAGCCTCATATCGCTCCCAACAGAACTGACATGTACATAATGGATCAAAAAAAAGGGCATTGCAAAGTCTCACCTGTGTCCTGAGGGCCAATGGACTCTGTTATCTCAGTCCCATCCATGCTGTCCTCCTCATCCACAACAACCCTCCCTCTGGTTCGACCCCTAGGGTGAGGAAGAGACGCGCACAAATAAATAGAGGCAGTGAGAAAGAACGAGACAAGAAAAAGCGCATGGGTTTGCCGGGGGGGGGGGGGGGGGGGGGGGTCATGAATTAGTTAAATATAGTCACAGCTGTCGCTGGGCAAGGCGGAGGTGTGGTAGTGGGTGTGCCCAATACAGACTGGTAGTATGTAGACTAAAGATGGAGGCAGGCCAATCTGGATAACTCTGCTCTTAAGATTCAGGGGAACAGATTGGGAATTCTAAAAAAGATGCACTACGGCATTAATGTAACATCATCCACATATAATTGACTATGCTCATGTAGGTACAGGGTTATAACGAATAAAATTGTACTATTGCTCAAATACCATGACTGAAATGTGTGTTCATCTCCAGAGCAACATGGAACAGATACTGTTATTTACAGTCCCTTGAGGGATGACGACTCATTAGAGCCAAAGTGAACGTGCTCTCGTTGAATTTCAAATCTGAATAGAGACATTACTTATTATATGATAATAGCTCTGTAATTTAAGATGGCAAAAACAAATATCTAATCTTGAGTGTGCATGAGTCACATTTCGAATCTTGACATATCCTCAGGGTGGCACAATCGTCAGGGACTGTGATGTAGATCACGTCCCGATAACATGGGCATTGTTCATTAAAGCTTTGGACAAAACCAAAAAGGTGCAGAGAATACACAACACAGGTAATTAATTTTATATCCTCATGTTTCTGAATACATTTTAGTCTTATTTGTTATTATTCCAATATCTTATTTAAATATATAATTATCCAACTGTTTGGTTATCACTGTGCTTTAAAGGACCCATGGCTAGGTCTAATAACAATCCTACTGTTTTAATGATTATTCCAAATGGAATAGAATTACTCTGCATTACACATATGCTCCATATGTTTACAGCAAGTTACTATAGCCAAGTTGTGTGTAGAATAAGTCACTTTGGACCTCTAAAAATAGGGTTTTGTCTGCACTTAAGGCTTAACTCAAAAAAGTCACGGCTGGGTATGTACATTAGTATTAAGGTTGGATTAAGATCCAAGGCAAAAATATTTGATTGGGATATGCTTCTCTACCTCCTGTTGAGTGACCCAAATATATCTCATTACTGCTCCTTTTCAAGTTTCTCTCTATAGTGCCCAGTTAAATGTAATATTAGCCTTTTCTCCACTTCTCCCTGTCATCACAATTTTAAAACAAGAATTTTTTATGCAATTATAAAGAAACTGCAACCCTTCCCATATCTGACTGAATGTGCTCCGTCAGCAAATCAGACAGCAATGTCTATGTTTCCAACCGTGTGTGTCAACTCATACAGATGCGCGCACACACAACACCACATACCCCTGTTTTACATACAGTATGGGGAGATTTGTCAGTGTCAGCAGCCTCCAATGGGAGCTCTGTTAAACTAATCTTGGAAGCGCCATGTGGAGGGGATAATTGTCATGGATACAAATTAAATAGCAACATCATTTGTTAGCATGCTAAGTGGGAAGAGCAAACACAGGCCAAATGAGAGCAGTGTGTCTCAGGGGTACTCAGGAGGATGCAGGGGGTTAGAAGTGAGGGAGGAGATGCAGAAATGGGGGGTGGGGTAATTTTCAGTGCCACTGGAGAGAAAAATCACAAATGGCTGGATGCCAAATCAACCCCTCCCTCTAAATGACTTCCATGTCAAGATAAGGAACAACCCTAAAACTCAAGAATGACAGAAGAGGCCTCTAGCAAATGTTGGATAAAACTAATTACCTGTAAGCTTGAGTTAAAAATAAATATCTACCACCAAATTCTAACAGAGAGCTCTTTTGATGTTATTGTACGAGGTGCAAAAAGTAATTGCTGAGCTAAACTTGCTGTAGTTTTGGATCACACTGGCATTTGTGCATAACAGAATCTGAAATTATACAACTCTTATGAGGCACAAAATTTCTTTTAAATAATTATAATAGATGACTTAATGTGATATTAGAAAAACAAAACAAGGATAAACAACTGCAACAACTTCGCTGTGTGTCACATTTACACAGATAAAAGACAAACAAACAAACAAAAAAAAGAGGGGGGGGGGAAGCGATCAATACACAGTTACATTAGAATTCATCCCCGGTGCAATTTATCAATTTGCTCATCATATTTTCCTAAATCAACTCTCATTATATTTCTCATTAAACTTCTGAAGGTTTTTGCTCAGTGTACATGAGAAGGAGCTTGTACAGATAGAAGCAAAAAGTAAAATCATACTGCAATTATCCACATTTTGGAGGGCTGTGAAGCTGCAGACAGCTACACACCAGGACAAGTTAAATGTGTCCTGGTACAAACCATTTACATATTTTGGCCATGCATCTGTCTCCCAGGCTTTCCTTTACATGTTCACAGAAAACACTTCTACTGTCTCAAGCTAATGACACTTAAGTGGGTTTATTCCAGAAATTGTGACATTTATGGCCACAATCTGGTGTATACAAGCAAAGTAGTTGGTGAAGACTTCTTTACATAGACTGCTACACAACATTCAGCTGTAACTGATTTTATTTATTTATATATAAAAAACATCACATTTCAGCATTGACACAGCCAGTTATATCACTGACAAATGCTCAATACTAACATTCAACCCCATACCCTGCTCAACTTACCCCCCCCCCCCAGTCCCACCACAGGGAGACAGAGAGAGAAAAAAAAAAATAGAAAAAAGGTGAAAATAATGCTGTGGTAAGTAGTCCCAGCTAGCAGGGCGCTGCCTGGAAAACCTGACAAGGATCATGCAGTTCTGAAGTGGACTGACCAGCAGATGGAGCGTGGGCAAATCTAGTATATTCCAACAACCAGGTCTACAAGAGCAATTTCTGATACATCCTCCTTTGTCACAAGCAAACTGTCTTTTAACACTTAAATTGGTCATTTTTAATATTTATACACACTGCTTATTTCTATTAAAAGGGGAAGCCAGTTGGTCTGAAAACAAGATTGTTCTATGAAGATATTTCACAGCTCTGGGAAGTTGTGCACTCTCAAGTGTATGTGATGGATAGTGTTTCACTTATCATCCTACTACAGTTAGCACAGTTTGGTTTCTAAACTGCCATAGTGGTAGTTTTAAGCCTGAAGGACCAGCCACCCATTAGCCTATTGTTTTATGACCAATTGCGAGACTAGAAGTCCATCCACAAAGCTCTGATCATTGTTGAGAGTTGGTGGAGAGGTACGTTCTATGGGATATGAACTCACTGTTTAAGTTTCTGGGGGCAAAGGCGATCTAATTCAAGGTAATTTAAGATGTGATAGATAATTGATTAGAGATGCATCAATCGATCCACCAGCAACTGGAACCAGACGGTTTTCAGCACAACTGGCCGTGACTGGTGACCGGGTACCGATCACTACCACATATCTGATTGAGGGCTGAAACTATTCATTGAGAAAATCGAATAACTATTACTAAAAAGTTCTTAAACTTCATTAAATCCATATACAGCGCACTGTTTCGCACGGATGGTTATTACTGTCGCGCTTATGTTGTGGACAAGTGAAGATGACGTGACTTGATGAGGATTACAAAATGGAGGAAGAAAGACAAAATAGCGAGCAACTTGCAAGAGACAAGCCAGAGAAAAAGACAGAAAGCATTGTACTGATCATTTTATGGGATAACTTCAAGCAAAAATAAAACAACTCTGCACAGTGGATCGTTTGTAAAACAGAACTAGCTTACCACAACAGCAAAATGGCAATGCGTCACAGCATCTAAGCAGAAAACATCCACTCTACGTCCATGGAGCAGACCCGAAACAAGGTAACATTAACGTTAGCATTTATTATAAATCATGATTGCTAGTTGAGATGAAGGCTAGCAAAGAAAGGGCACAATTCCTATTTATGAATGTATAGCCATGTGATTGTTGCTATTGTTCTCCAATGACTGGTTAGTCCGTGAGTTAGGGTTATAACGTTACAGTGATATGAGTTACACAACTGATCTCGGGTACCAGGGGCACCACGGTAAAGTATTTGTCCAATTACATGATGGATAATCGGTACAATACTTTATTACTAAAATAATCAGTAGCTGCAGCCCTAATCTGATCCTGTGCCAGTCAAATTTACAGGCGTGCTGCGCCACATGATGATTCACATGCCTACAGCGGCACAGACAGTAGCTGACTATAGATAGTCACAGCCACACAAACATACACACGCTCGAACAAGTCATCAGTGTGGGAGTTTAGTGACTGAAGAAGACACAATACTCGCAATATCTGTAAAGCTGGGCATACACTAGGGCTGAATGATTAATTGTATTTGCGATATTATTGCGATATGATATGCGTGAGAAAACCAGCCTGCAGAGGAAGCATCAACTTCGCTTACGCTGTACCTTGACTTGTTGTTTTGTACAACGGCCTTAAACTTGACAGAAGCTGACACTACAGAAACTTTAGTGTCACACAAGGAATGAAAGTAGCACCTGCCATCCGCAGGTACCGAAGTCCTAAAGAGGCCCAGTCTGTCCCGAGTTAGAGCCTGGTTACAGCCAGTGTTGCTGCTTACCAGCTTCGGAGGCTGAGGGGTTGGGAACTCCGGTGTTGTTGGAGAATTACTAAGCTTATCTATTAAGCACGAGAGGCATCACTTGGTTTTATTTTTGTTGGCCAACTTTTGAATTGTACCTCAACTTGAGATTTCTTTTCCACCATTGCTCATATATCACCTAATTTCATCATAACACAGGCCTGGCCTACAAGAAAGAACAGTGTATGTTTAATCTATCTAATATTGTGTTGGTCATACTATACACTGATTTATTAACTGTCTGTTTTGAATAATACAGAAGGTGAAGAGCTTAAAAATGAATCGCATATTAAATCGCAAGCAATATTGGTAAAAAAAACAATTAGCAATTAGATTTACCAAAATTGTTCAGCCCTAACATACACTGTACAATTTTTTGAAATCTTAACTAACTGCAACTCACACTGTATGAGTAAATTGTCTGGGATGTAAAGCCATTGATTTATGTATTAAGGCTACACGTCCAATGGTCAAGCCATGACCTAAGTGCTCACACTGTATGCATATAAAAACTACAGACAGTCCTGGCTATTGACAATTGTCAATATAGCTTTTTTTGCAATAATGCTTTTTTGTGGTTTGTTTTTTCAAATGGTGCATGTATAAATGTAAATGTATAAATATAAAGTGTGGCGCGAGCAGCCCTTGGGGTGCGTGAGCTGCCTCTAGGGGGTGCCCAATAGGAAAAATGTAATGGTGGTGTAGTAGTGTAATAACTACAACAATTATTTTTTGTGGAAGTTTTGTAAATTTAATTTACAATTAAAAATGTTATTAATACTTAGCTCACAGGAAATGGCTACTCACACCTATTTTCCTCCCCCTCTCTCTCAGGCTTAGCCACCGGAGCCATGTTATCTGTTTATGAGGCTATACACAGGGTGCGATTTGTTACTTTTTAAAGTAATAAATATATAAAGTTACATCGCGATGCAGAGTTGCAGTGAAAAGACAGAAGATAGATGCATGCTGTGTGTAAGTGCAGTGAGTGGGTAAGGGGAGAGCGACTGATTTAAAAGCAGTCACTTTCAAGAGTTTCACTGAGTGAAACCCCATAGCTGTGACTTCGGGCATGTTCCGTAAGCTCTGTGATTGGTCGGCTAGGTAGCCTCGCAACACCTCCGAGCCAACAGGAAGTTCCCGTGCTTTGAAGTAACTTTTACTAGCGGCCAAAACGGCGGCTGTAACACGGAGGATCAATATATTTGACCATCACAACCCGAGCGAAATGACTCATTTCATTATCAGAATGTTACCCATTCGGTCGATAAAATTTGAAAAGGCTATACCAGCCGCACGTTTACAATTTTACCCCCATTCACGTTAGCCTGCTCGGCCGGAAAAAGTCAACACAGTGGACGCTGTAGCACTACTGCCAGCTAACGTTTGGGGGTGTAATTGCACAATGACAGACACACGGACGCACAAGTATAAATGCCTGGCTACGTGCGTAGCCTACGGCGTAGCTATGCACGTGCGGAGTATAAATCAATCTTAACAGGGACACTGCGCTGCTTGTCATCATAGAAACAAATCAGATTTTGATGTCTGTTGCAGCTTCAGTAATATCGGCTGCCTTCTCAACACTTTGCTTCGCTGCTCACCGGAAGCAAAGTGTTGAAGAGAGAAGTTTGGGAACCGCTGGTGTATATGGACTAGGTGGCTATAAAGACATTGACAGTATGGTTTGTCCATTTTGCGAAGAGAATTAGAGGTAAGCTACCTACGTTTTATTGTAAAGTAGGGCTGAACGATTAATTGCATTTGCAATACTATTGCGATGTAATAAAATGAGATTTTCTAATGTCACATGACACCCAAGAGGAAAGCAGTCTGATGAAGTTGATGCTTCGTCTGCTCGTTACGCTGTACCTTGCCTTCTTGTTTGGCCTTGAGCTTGACAGACGCTGACACTACAGAAACTTTAGTGTCACACACAGGGAATGAAAGTAGCACCCGCCACCCGCGGGTAACGTGGTGGTGGTGGGTGAAATCGTCAGGCCATCCGCCAGAACTCCGGTGTTGTCAGAGAATTACTAAGCTTGTCTATTAAATATGAGAGGTATGTTTTATTTTCGTTGGCCAACTTTTGAATTGAACCTCAAACAGAGTATTTTTTTTTGCTTACTGGGATACAGAAAGATGGACTGGATGGAGGAGATTAGAACTGAGATAAGGACTAATTGGTGGGTTTTGTCATGAGTACTTACTGTATAACACACTGGTGAACTTATTTTTTCTTATGGTCTGTAGGTAGGCCGACCTGATGATATTATATCATTATTTAATGCGATGACTTGAGTCAAATTATCTTTCTCATATTATAATTTGATATATCTTCACCACCATTGCTCGTAATAATAATTCTACCTAAATCATCGTAACACAGGTCTGACCCACAAGAAAGAACAGTGCATGTTATATCTAATATTGTATTGGTCATACTATACACTGATTTACTGCTTGTCCATTTTGAATACAGAAGGTAAAGAGCTTAAAAATTAATTGCATATTAAATTGCAATATTGATAAAAAAATATATATATAAAAAAATCGCAATTACATTATTTTCCAAAATCGTACCTACTGTAAAGACTGTTATGTTGATAGCTAGCATTGTGTTGCCATAGCACTTTCAGACAGCGTTTACCACTTCTCACAGGCGATGTGAGAAGAAAAAAAAACATCCACACTGATCCTGGCCAATGGACTCATGGCTCTGCTTCAACTGTGCAAAAGCACAGCAAATGATGCCCGATGAAGCTGAAATTCAGCCCAACTAATAGCGTGTTGTGAGGCTCAAAAACCAAGTCAGAAACGGGTTCAAATCGTACCATGTATGCCCATCTTGCTCAGATTGTATCTGGATATGATTTTAATCTGATTACATTTACACCTCGTATTAATATGCATCTCCAGTGTCCACACTGAGATCCCATCTCTGTCAAGGTCAAACAACCTAATGTCACATCCTCCTCTTGTTTGGGCAGGTCTGAAAAATGACTAAATTATAGTCTGTCTAAACTTTCTGAACCATTTCTTTGCCACCACGATTTGTTTTTCTCCAATGATTACACGCCCATGTTTTCCTCTCTCTTCAGCAGTGCGCTGAAGTAACAGCTAGGCTGGAAAGTGAAATTTGTTTCCTTGAGTTATCTTTCTTCATAATGTGTACTATTATTTTAGTAGTTTATATTGATTTTAACTCAACAGCCCGCGAGTTCACAAACTGATACATTCAGTTCACCATTCACCAAAAGCATGAGCAAGTTCAATGATTGGCGACCTTTAAGGGCGTTTATGCACAACACTGTAGGGACACACTGCCTGTGTATGCCATGACCGGTACATATTTCCGCCTATTTAGTTGTATGCGGACATGCAGTTGTGTTTAATGTGGTCACAATGCGTCCCTGACCCTCTCCGGAGGTGGTTTAGCTGACTGGATCACAATCCCTCTTCAGTGCATCTCCAGTGCATTAACACCTGTTCTTTTATGTGGTCAAGTATGATCCGATTGCAATCCGATCACCCAGAACGCATTTTAACGCCCGGTGTAAACAGCCTCAGAAAGAGAGACATTATCTGGTATTGTGTTAGAAGGCACAGACACAGTGAATATTTTAAATGCACGGACCAGGTAAAGCAACAGTGAACACACCCGTTGGTGAAATTTTTTTAATCTATAAAACAATAATTTTTAATAATTTCCTAGTCACTGTGTGTTATGATGCAAATAATAACATACCCTATTTGCCTGATCAGAAAAATACTGGACCCCCAAATTCAAGAATTTGCAGACTCATACAGGCACTGTGTGCGAGCCAATCTAGGTTTATTTCGCTTTATGATGATAGGGTCTCTGTCTGGTTGTAAGCAAGTTTGTTTTGTTAGCTCAAGCTTGTTCTTTGCTATGAAAGTCACAAGGAAGCCAGGCACCTTGTGCAGTGCCTCATAAGACATTTCTGTGCTGGTGTTACCTGAAATCAAGCTTCACTTGAACTGTTAATAATCTCTATGACAAAAACTTCTAATTATAATTAAATGGTTATAACAACCAGGACATGTTAAAGATTTTGCTTTTATCAGCTAAATGGGTGGTGGTTCAGGAGGTAGAGTGGGTTGACCCATGGCTCCACTCTGCATGTCGAAGTGTCCTTGGACAAGACACTTAACTTTTGCTCCTGATTTGAATTGCTCCCGATGGCTGTGCCATCAGTCGTGTGAATGATTAGTTTCTTTCTGATAAGCAGTTGCATGGTATCCTCTGCCATCAGTGGGTGAATGTGACTTCTAGTGTGAAGCGTTCTGAGTGGTCGGAAGACTAGAAAGGTGATGTACTAGTCCCATATACCATTTATTCAGCGTTTTTTCAAAGAACAGTGAGCCATAGGCCACATGTGAGAGAGGACAGCAAACACTGGCAGCTGCTGTGCCATTCATCATAAACTTTGGCTTTAAAACTTCATTCAACAAGGCCAAAACAAAGAAGTGCTGAACGCAAAATAGGTTAGTAACCTGTGGTGAGTAAACATGTTTAGCTCAGACTTGGCCATCTAACTTTAGCTTGCTTTAGCCACGACCTACAGGGGGTTAACTCCAACTGTCCTTATGAAAAGATGAATGAACATTCGTTTACTTGCCAAACTTGTGGTGGTTGATTAACGTAATCATTTATGTCCCGCTGGCTGCAAACAGGTTACAGTTTTATTGTTGATCATGCAACGTTACAGTTGTAACGTTACACTGATTTGAGAGTCTGGGGGATGTGTTGACTTATTGACTGATTAATTGCATTGCACATGGTTGTGTTCTGTAAGTGAAAAACAGGTTACAGTTACAGAATTCCTTATAGCAATGCAATGTCATTTGAGGATGCTATCTTGGGCTTTGTAAAACACTGATCAACATGAATATAATCGACAGATTAATCAACAATGAAAAAAATCTGCCCCACTGTCATTGCAACACCTCGATATTTCAATTTGATCCGAAAAGGTCCCACATTCCCACATCCCCCCCCCCCACCCCACTTAAACCTGCATTCTCTTAAACGTCCAGCAAAGTCTGGTTCCATTAGAAATAATGGTAAAATAGAAATGACTTTATAGTCTCCGATGCTAGTTTCAAGTCTTCTTCAACACAGAGGGAAACAGACGATAATGCAGGGTATGCTTTTGGACGAGGCTACCTTGTGATTGACAGGTCGCTACCATGGTGGGGCCAGTTAAATTAAAGAAGCAAGAAAAGTAAAAACCTACTTCTTTCTGTTCTTAGACACGGATGAGGGTGGTGCCTGGGGTAGGACGGCAGCAGCATCCTTGCGCGGCCTGCCACGTGGTCGCTTGTCTGCGTGGGCAGGACTTCCTGTGGACGTGGCCCCTACACTGCTGGAGGGTGGTGAGGGTACCTGGTCAGAGGGTTCCACAGTCTTATCCTCTGATGACATTCTGAAGAAAAAAAACAAACAAAAAAAAGGGTAAGAAAGATGAGATCATATTAGGTGTTACACAATAAGCTGAATAAATTAATTCAACACTACAAGGGGAAAAAAAGACTAAAAATAAAAACAAAAACAGGTGCCGATTTTCACTTCTACTGTTTTCATATTGTTTACAGGCTTTGAAAGAGTGGATAATAAAAAGGAGACATCATGTCGTGGGAAAATTCCTTAATGATGGAAGAACATGAGTTGCAGCTTTGTTCACTGAGATGTCCAGATGTCCTTATATCTTAAAACAATTTTGATTTGTCTCTTTCTGAGAATGAGACAAAGTGGATTGCCTACACAAAGACTTGAGGTTTTCCCCATTTCACTTACATGCATAAAATTGCTAAAAGGATGTAGCCTTCAATAACTTATGTGATAACTTTTTCTTTGCGATCTATTCTGATGAATATTCACAAAACAACATCGTTTTTAGTTTTGCTTGATCCTGTGTCACCAAATTAAAACCCGCTGGGGATCCTATAGGCAGTGAAACTAGTTCTGAGAAAATTCAAAGCATTCATGCAGAAACACGCTCAGCAACTAAAGTTTAAAAAAAAAAAAAATTAAAAAATCTTTCTGGCCTCTTCCAAATCTAAAGACAGTGGAGCAACCGCAATTTCCACTCCTTAGTCAAAGCATTCTGAAATCAATCCACATCCAGCCATTCCAGGTTTTCTATTTGCTGTAAATCACCCACTGAAAGAAAGCCCACTACAAACCGCTCATTGGTAAATATGTTGAATGCTGCACTTTGGTTGCATTTTACAATGTGAAGTGAAATTTAGAGGTGGCATGAGTGTACTGGAGAAACAAAGGCAACCGTTTGCACAAACCAGGATTGGGTGAAATGACAATATATATCATGAGACGATTTTTTATCTGGCAAAGATGGTTTTATTTCATTTTTACTATTTTGCTGGGTGAAATAGGCCATTACCAGAAATGTTGCAAAATCAGTGAATGGGACTGCTTTTTTTGGTAATATTGGATTTTGCGTCAATGTGATTACATATCTTAACTTTCAGGTGTTTGATTAGTCAAAAACAAACATTCCCATTTGCTTATTTTTTATCCAGAAACCATTTCTCAATAGATTTTTCCCTAGAAAACAGTTTGCTCCCGAGATGTACCCTGGAGTGAGAGAAAACACTCTGTGCCTCTCACATACCCTGGTCCAATCAGATGTCCAGAACCTGGTCTTTCTTCCATGTAAGTATCTTGGGGAAAAGGGAAATTAAACTAAAGGTTTATGTTTTTCTGCCCACATTGTTTTATCAGTTACCATACACTGAAACCAATGTGATGCTCTATGCCTTACACAAGTTATTCAGTGACAAAGTGTTGACAAAATGAGTGAGTTCAGCGACTGATTCTATAGTTAGTTTGTGAGGATACTTTTTCCACAATCGATTTCAACCTGTGTAACTTTGGCAAAAGGTCACCCTGCTTTTTAACTCCTAAAGTAACATTATCTAGTAATTCTATCTTAAAAATAACGGCTAATGCAGATGCCCTAGCAAGCAATAACTTCTTTGCTTGCTATGTTTTGTGTTGTTTCACTTGATGTTTGCCTGTGTTAGCAAAGTTGTTGAAATCAGTCAGAGGTTTCATAGACTGTACTGTAAGCCGTTACTGAAAGTGCCCTTGTGTCAGTTGTTGTCTAGCTTTGTTGGCTAGCTTGCCACCCAAGTTTCAAGCAACATTATGTAACTTCTCTACCGCTCAGGGAGAGCACAGTCAGTGCCGTGCCAGAGCCGGGGCGAACGGGCAACATAACTGGGCTCAGCAGCCTTTATAGACATTACATTAGCTACTTGTAATCACAGTTTAAACGATATGATGTGAATGTACGACCATACCCAATGTTGACGTTTGGTTATTTCCCATGCATTTCTTTCTTTAAAAAGGAACACATCTCTTTATAAAGGTGTTCAGCCACCATCCAATGCCATAACAGCTTCAATGCAACCTGGCATAGATCTCATAATACATCTCTAGAACTCTCAGGGCCCGTGTCCACCAAAGAGTTTTTTTCCAGCTGAAAACGCTCTTCTCAAAACACCCAGCAGGGAGCACTAGCGGGTGTTTTTGAGGTGCAGCGTTTTTTCCGACTGCTTTGGTTGCTATGATACACCAAAGCGGGAAGCTTCCAGTCTACAATATGAAGCCGATGCGGAAGTCCCTTAAACCTGCATTCTATTGAAAATCCAGCAGGGGGCGACTCTTATGGTTGCAAAAAGAAGTCCAGCTCCATTAGAAATAATGGGAAAATGACCCTACTTCTCAGCTGAATAATTACCCCAGTAAACACTTTCCTGATGAGTTTATGGTCTCAGTCGCTAGTTTCAAGTCTTCTTCAATACAAAATGATGTTGATTTAGTAAATTATGGTCCCATTTATTTTAAAATAGACCACAAAGCAGAGTATGTTTCAGGGTGGGACTATCTATGATTGACAAATCGTTACCATGGCGACCCTAACCCTGTATGAAGGGAAGGCTGAAGCCGGTTGAGAGAGAGCACAGTTCATGTGATTTTGTGGGGAGAGGAAACATCTCGGCGAGTACAACCGTTTAGTCCAAGAGCTGAGGTTCCACGAAGCCCGGTTCCAGGATAGTAACCGTTGCTACGGTGTAGTATTTGTCCCGCCCCTCCTCTAATGTGATTGGACAGCTGTGTAAAAAGTGACATTGACGAGTGCAGAGTTCTTCCCAAAGTTGAAAATTTTTCAACTCTCGGCGACCAAAAAAAAAAAAGGGGGGGGGGGGGGGGGGGGGTCATTGCTCAGCACCCTGTCGACGTAATCGACAACGTTGACTATAAAAATTTGTCGACATGAAATTTCATTGTCGGCGTGTCGTTAAATAGATGCCGCTTAATGGAGAGATGGCAATCTTCATATTAGGAACATTTCTGGTTGTTCATTTCTAACTGCAGTCCACTACATCAAGTGTTGGGGGTAGTACCGCTTCCACTGTCTCCCATGACTGCTTGACTGTGAGACTATTCACGAAGAAGAAGCATTCATGCGAGAAGTGTAAAGTAACGGAGAAAGAGGCCAACACCAGAACGGCTTTTGTTTTTACAAGTTTTGTACAGTATTTAATCACTTAATACACTTTTGAGGCGACAAATCAACTGTGTAGAACTTGAATATTGGCAGTTTTACCAAAGTTGATGGCGAATTGAAAATGTGCTCAAAAGTTTTTGGGGTTGAGAAGCTATATAAGTGCCCGCGAGGTTAGCGGTGCCAGCCGGCCGGTGCCAGTCCCGCCCACAGAGCGCCCTGGTCCCAGTTACTCAGACCACTGCAACAGCAACAACAGAGGAAATGCAGTGTTTCCTGTTCGTTCATTTATTTGTGGCGGCCCACCACAATATCAACGCTGACTGCCACATACTGATTTTAGTTGTTTGTTTTTACTATTTAAAATCTTAGTTGATTGCAGATCAGCACTGTAGCACATTCGCGCAGCACATCCTCTCGCTCGTCTCTTTCTCGCTCTCTCTCTCATAAACACTGCAGCCCAAATTTGTCCAACACAACGCTGGCAATGTCGGAGACCCATGTTAAAAAGTTATTAGTAATGAGTAATGGTTTAAACTACACCAAGGAACATCAGGCTCGTGATGTAGTCTACAGAACATTCTCCACTCAGTTATCGCCTAAAACCTATAAGCACTTTGGAAAAATAAACTACAGAAGTAGTATGAAAGGGGACTGTTGCTTTATTGTTCTAAATAGACATTACATTTAGTGTACAGTCGTAGTTATAGTACTTGCTCTTATTTTATATAGTTTCAAAGCAAAAATCTTCGTTAAACAGTTAAAAGTTTGTATAAATCTATGAATTATAGTATATAGTCTTCTTCCCTGGTTTCCCCCCTGGCATCCATACTGGTGTTCATTCTGAATAGTACACCTTATTCACTTAATGGGAACGTGAGCTAGTTAGGCTGTGTGTTGGAGATCAGTGATTCACTTGAAAGATATTTAATTATTTAAATGGTTTAATTAGGGTTAGGGGGTGACAAAAATAATCGTGACTAGTTGCATTTCTCCAAAAGTTGATTCTGTTTCAGCTTTTCACCGATTGCTGCGTTTTCTTCCAGCATCCCCTGCGGTTTCCACTGCAGCAGTCTAAATGCACTACCTACATTCAAATGAATGCGAGGAGTGGCATTTTCGCTGCAACGCATGATTTGGTGTGAATACAGCCTTAGACGTTTACTGTGCTGCAGGAAAGTGATGCAGCAAGTGTTTTGCCTAGAGCTCAAATGCTGCAGGAAAAAAAGTTGTATGAATAAAGATTCACAGATTTGTGTTTTTTGGTCAGAGTACTGAAATGCTTATTTCACAGCAGTACCATGCATCTAATGTAGAGAGCGATGGGTGACTGCTGCTTCTGTTGTGCTGCTTTCATTACGTGGCCAAAATAGACAATGACAGAGTTAACAAGTGGTTGGTGAAGTTATCCAAGCATCAAGCAAGCTAATGACCAGATATTTTTCTTAGCAGTTGGTGAGAAAACTATAGCTATAGAAGAGAACAAGACGCTGAATTTACATTCCTCACATGGTCAGTAACATCCAATGGGATGCTCATGTTGGTTTGTATGTACTGGACATTTAACAGTTTGCTAACACAACAGTTAAAGGGTAACAATTTTTCAACCAGGACCCTATTTTCCCATGTTGTGTGTCTAAGTGACAAATTGGGACATTTTTTGAAAATGGTCTTTGGTAGACCAGAGCTGTAAAATTATATGTTTTTGTCAATGGAGTCTGGTGGCTTTGAACAGACATAAAGTGGCTGATTCTGCTTAAACAAAAACGGATCCTACTCTTTAAAAATATATATATAAAATAAATAAATAGCATCGGCATCTCTTTAGGGATCCTTTCCATAAAGTTGTCAGATCTGAGTGTCAGTGGCAAAAACAAGCTCTTTAGTGGATGTACTTTGATGGTGCGCAACTGCCCACAAGGATTACGTTGGCTGCCCTGTATCACTCCTGCAGACTGCTGTGCGCTCGCTCAATACTGGACCAATTTTAAAAATGTGGTATTATACTCCTTTTCAGGTTCATAATTTTATTTAGGGGTTGTACCATAACAGGTTTACATTTTTTCATTTTCAAAAAACACCATATTTTTGTCATACTGCACATAGCTGCAGCTCCTCTTTTCACCCTGTGTGTTGAAGTGTTAGCTATGGAGTGATTCATCTTGCCTCTACATGATCTTTGTTGGGAGCAGCACATGTGCAGTTCTTAGTTAAGGACTACTAACCAATCAAAAGCAGAGTAGGGCGGGCTCTGAGAAGCTGGTAAACACAGCTTCGGTTCAGCTGTTTATGTTCCCCAGCTTAGCAACATGGACTGGAAAAAGAGTTTGAGTCTTGAGTTATTCATTTTCATCCATAAACTTATAACTGAGCTCCGTCTCTACATCACAGTAACATCTTTATGTCCATTGACTGCCTGGAGGGTAGCTAGTGTTTGGAAGGTGGAGGAGAGGCAGCAGGCGGACGTCTTGTCACAGTGCGCTGCTGCTTTTTCCAACGGTGTTTTTGAGGGTGTGTCAGATTAGCCGCACATTATGAGGCGTGTTTTCTTGTGATTCACAAGAAAGCGGAAGAAAAGGCTGGACTACAAACAAGCGGTTTTCAAGCAGCTTAGAGCAGTATTTTCTGTGGAAGATGGGAACTCTTTGGGGTGGACTTTAGGCTTTTTCCCTTTGCAAACCTATTACATGCACAAAAAAGACATAACTCAATAAAGGAGAGGGAAAAAGCCAAAAAGCAATACTACCTCTTTAAACTGCACTTCAATTGTTTAATAAGACCATAATACTGTATATCACAACTGTGTTTCAGTGAGTTTATTTTGGAGTCTCAAAATTAGCTGAATGTGGTTTTAAAATTAAAATAGCTGATTAAGATTATGAAGCTTACATGTACAGTAAACTTTCAATAGTGAAAAACTTAATTTCTGGACCCTGATGTCTAATGCGCGATTGTTAGGGGTTTAACAGTACTTGTATTCGTACAGGACTGTTTCGGTACAGGACTTTCAAAACGGTGCACGTGCACCAAATGCAATCTTTAACCTCATATATTAGGCTTGTTTTGTGTGTGGAAAACTCCGAAATAAATTCCGTGTTTCCACACGGACACATTAAGTGTCGGACCAAATATCCACCTTGCGGCGCTACAGCGCTACATAAGGAGCCGCTTTAGCCCAGCCTCTCACCAACTAGTGACTTAAGCATCACGGCCAGTGCAGAGAAGCCAGAGCTTGAAGACCCTCCCTTATTGTTAAGGTCTTCTGTTCGGGAACACTTCGGTTTCCAGTGAAATACAACAACAGACAAGTTGATAAGATGAAAGCAGTGGGCCGACATTTTTCAGTAGTGATCAAATATGTTTCTGGCAACACGTCAAACTTGCTAATGGTATCACACGAAGGAGAACGTTACTGCAACAAAAGTTCATAAACCAGCAGCAATTTAATGTTTGCATTTTTTCACCCCCCTAACTGTACCAAAAATAAACCGAACCATGACTTCAAGACCGAGGTACATACCGAAACAATTTTTGTGTACCGTTACACCCCTAATGATTGTACATTAACATGAAAGGTTTTATGGTTAATGGAGTCCTGTTATCATGCAGTAATGCCTTATGATACATGTGCAAATATCATTAAACCCTAGTTATCAGCTAGGTTAGCTGGGTTGCAATAACTATGCTCCCATAAATGTAAAATGATTAGAATAGATGAGAATAAAGCTGAAATCGAACACATTTTTCAGTTGTTTACTGAAACTTAGGTTTACATCAAGGGCAATCCAAGTACTTGATCAACCTCACTACTACTCCTTACAGCAGATGTACCATGTTTTCACTCACCTGTAATATTTTTATGGTTCCTCTTTAAAAAACAGTTGATGCAAAAATCAGTACAACCCACTTGCTAGCTTGTGTTTCTGTACCAAAATGCAATTACCTCAGACTACATTATGACTAATCTTAAGGATGAGTCATGAGAAAGTCAACATTGTTATTTTTCATTTTCGATAAAGCAGTAAAAACGGTTTATGAAACCTGGTGGGCCATAAATTAAAGAGGCATTTTGTATCAGCAAACCAAAAGAGGTCTGTGCTGTTAGATATTGTGGAACTAACACCATATTTTGCTGCAGGTCTGTGGCAATTCTCTCTTTCACTTATGTCTATATCGGCCTCCACCAGCCTCCAGGCTCTGTGGACAGATGGTGGTCCAATAACACCAAACTTCACGAGAAAAATTAGTCATTAAAATGGTTAGACTGTCAGTACTATTATTCCGAGATGATGAATCTTAGCTGAAGTCCTAACAGAGAATAAACAGGGGGTTAAACTGTTCCCAAAAAGTGGTGATGTAACAAAAATTAGTTGGATATGGACAACCAGGAAAGCCTCAACAGAAAGTGGTGAGAATAACGTTGATTATTAGGGCATCTGAGGTTATGATCCGTGACTACCGGGCAGTCACGACCACCACGGGCACAATTGGAGACATGCTAACGTTAGCTTTTGTTAACTCAAGCTGGGGCACAAAGCAGTTGCATAAAGCTAACGATAGCTAGCCTGTTGTGTTCAACTATGTCGCCTTTTCTTTGGCGACAATAACAGACAAAAGTAACATTGACATAGTCTAGTTTAAATGTGACAGAAAATGCAGACAGAAGTGACTCCACCGTTCATATTTAGCTGGAATTATGAGACTGGATTCGGCGTTGAGAGTCATTAGCCAGTGAGACAACTTTGAAAGAGGTTCACGTAGCAAACAGGTTACCTACGGCTGCAGTTAGTTGGCCAACTCATCGCACTAGCTTGTAACTAGCGCATACGCCAACACAACGAGCATTAATGCTCCATCCTTTTGTTGTCCCACAGCCAATATTAAATATTATTGTCTAGGGACGACGGTAAACTTAAATTCGCTGTCCGTTAGACTGGATGCAGGGCAACGATGAGCATTTGTGTACCCAACACACACAAAGGCTCGGTCTATTCAATGAAACGGAACTGTTCCGGGGAACTACAATGCAACACAAAAAGTGAAAATGATACGTTATACAATGACGTAAGCCCTGGTTTCTGCTTTTCGTTGCAAACTAACGTTAGTTGTGTGTGAATGTCGATCGTATATATTGATTAGGCCGTGACCATATAACGTTACCCATGTATTTATGATTATAAAACACCCATGAACCGTTCTACTAAATGTTCCGTTGAATAGTCTGAGTCATGAAAGCCAAGGCGGCGACAAACCCCCAACATCAGACTGGAGGTGGATAACGTCGGCTCAGCTTTCCTTCACAAGGTGATTATAAAACAATTCTAGCTCGCATGAAAAACAATTTAACATCTCACGGTGGCTTACCTTCCAGCCCTATGGATAGCGAATTATCCTCTTCATGTCCAAAATACTGGGGGGATGAAACGTCGCACTTTTATCACCCAGCTAGCTAGCAAGCTAATTGAGCTAGCTAGCCTCTTTCCAATGAAGCAACACTGCAGTTCTCAAAAATGCATAACGCATATCATTATATTCCAACGTTGCAATGTTATTCCCAACTTTGCCCATTTGATGGAAAGACAGATGTAAATCCAACAGAAACCCGCTTTAGTGGCACACGCATTTAGTGGTGGGGGGGGGATCACTTTCCTTTCTCCAATGACAGCTGTCGTCGCACGAGTTCGGGTTATATAGCTAGTTGGTGTTAGCCACCCAAGTCTACGGCCAACAATTTTACCATTAACGTATAAACAAATCAAAGCCAAAGTCCATGCGGCTACAAAAGTAAACAATCCGTAAATGAAACTTTAAATGTGAATCCTCAGCGAACGTACAGCGACGCGCAAAGCAAATGTTGGGTGCCGACAGCTTGGTTGGCAACTGGTTCTATTTTCTTCAGCATCGACAAGCTGCGGGACCGAGCGGCCAGTTAGGAGACTCTCGCAGCCAGCCAGCCTGCCACGCAGTAACAACCGCCTCCCAGGACATGTAAAAACAAACGTTAGCTTGCCAAAAACAACATCCCACCTGCCACAGTGGCCGAATTGCGAGATTACTATGAAATATGACTAAATTAAGTTGAAGATGACGCCTCGGTGTACTCTATAACGGTGGCCATATCTAATGATAAGTGGCACCGAAGCACAGCCCCTCCAGGCTCCTCAAAAAATAGATCCACCTCCCCCTACCACAACTACGGCACATAAATCCTTCAAAAACGGCATGGCCCGTCGATAAAGACATGTTTCGTGAGTGTGGCAAATGTTTAATAACAACGACAAGAGGACGCGATAAAAAGACAACGCAAACCATTTAACAATTTCTTCAAAATACTCTATGACCCTGCGGAAGGATATGGGCATTTAGTAAATAAAATAATGGCTAGGGAGATCTCAAAAAGATGGAGCCTGGATTAGAGCCGGGTTGGAGGGGGGCTTTCGAGCTTTGGTGATACAGCTCATGCGAATCTTCGCCAGCAGCAGCAGCTGTAGTGACTCCAACAGTCATCAGCCTTCTCCAGAGCAGGGTGAAACACAAAGATGGATTAACTTTAATACGCCAGTGTGGTGTTTCAGGGCTCGCCCAGATGGCATCCATTCAGATAGACCACGACCAAATGGATCTCCACTGGCCACTCCATGACAACGTCCCCCTTTCCTGCTTTCTTTTTTTCTGTCTCTCACGCACACGTACGTACACTGATGCAGGCATTGCGTTTGGTGTTTGGTGGTAGAGGTAGCCTGTAAATTGGCAGACATACTGTACATGCAAGGGTTAAATTTTGGAAAAGCCCTTAGGGGTCGGCTTCCAGCAGCTTCACATAATATGTAAAAGAGCCAGTGGGTCTTACGTATGGACGTGCATTTAGTTTTTAGTTGTTGTTTTTTTTTGCCGCTTGTAGTTTCAACTTACTGAGTTTCTTCGAGTGAAGCCCCTAGAAAATTTACTGAAAATCAACACAGCCCTTTTCCTTTTAATGGTAAACCTTGGCACCTCTTTCCTAGACTATGAGCCCCCCCTGCAGGCTAATACAACACAAGACACACCAAAATGTCGATAATTTATTATTATTTTTTCGTTAATATGAATAATTTGGAGACAATTCAAACACACGAAATAGCAGTATACCGATGAGTGACAAATTAAAGGGAAACACTGAATACATTTGTGCAGAAACATAACAAATGCAAATGCTTCAGATGCTTCCACAAATGTCAAGATATGTCCCTGTTTTGATAAGAATGCAAATTCTTAACCCAAATGGGAGATTTTGAAGCTATGTGTTTGACAGTGATCACCACCGGCATCAAATCATCAAGGCTGTGAATCTTTTTGGAATAATGGTAAGCTATTCACTCCTTCCATACAGTTACAGAAACAATCTATGCGCCACTGAAGTCTGGCAACTCGTGGTGGACAAAAAACACTTTATGTTGTTTTTTTCCTTTATTTTGTCACTCACATGTGGTTTTACTTGCAGTGGTGAGCTCTGTACAATGGAGATGGATTGCATAAAAGTGACAGAAATCTCTGGTAAATAGTCAAATGGCACTATAAGATGCTTTGTGCAGTTTCAAGATAGGACAACACCTTACAAACCCTTACAGACACTTCATGTTGGGTTTTTCTCTAATTTGGCATCTGTCCGTATATATGACATGACAGCATGTCATATCATGTTATGACAGCTACATGAACACAAACATACTAACCTAGAATGATATAATGACAATAAAATAAGCAAAGACCATTGAAAATAAATGGCAAGTAAACTGAAGCCGACCAAAACAGCTAAAATATAGGAAAGAACAAAACGGGAAAACAAGGATGGAGGAGGTATACAACAAAGTCTTTTAATAGGGGTATAAAAGTCATCTATGGGCCGTACTCACAGCATAATCATTTGTACACACAAAGTATTATATTCCAAGGGTTAAAAAAAATTACTTATCAAATATAATTTCTAGACACTGACATAAGCACTGAGAAAGAAAACAAGTACCTCAAGTACAGAGTAGTTATCTGTAAGCCAGTGTTATGACATTGTTGGGTAATTTCAGTAGCAAATATCCATGGAAAATGCGGTCAAATGAATAAATAAGAGCACCAATGTGCATTACCATACATTGTGGCATCAAAGATCACGTTTTTGGTCAGCAGTTCTGCCTGATGCCAGCGAAGTGTGAGACGTCACACGCACAGGTGTCACTTTCTAAATGATGACCTTTGAGCTGGTGTACAGTTACACCACTAACCACACCATTGACCTAATTACCTTGAAACACATGAAGCTGTTGTTTAGTGTTGCACTGGTGATACCCGTGTGGGCCTAATTTGTACATGTGCAAAGCTGATACAGAGCTGCTGAGCTAGACTCAACACTGTAATAATTACTATTAAAGGGGACATAATATTAAGTTGAAGGGACTGGATACTTATGCAATAAATTATTTTGTTTTATACGGGAACTGAATTTAGATCTATTTATATAGATTTGCTTATGTTTCACATATTTGTTTCACTTTATCTTAAAAATCCTTGTAGGCCTTTTAAAGAACAGACATTTTTACTTGACGTAGGAAAAGCACGTGTTAATAATAACATTTAAGATGGCTCAGTTCAGGTGTTGTACTCGGGTGTAATATGCTATGACAGTGTGACAGTGGGCCAGCATGCACAATACCAATACAAGACCCTGAAACTGAAGCAGCTAAATGGGATTCAGTCATTCATTTTATTATATACGCCTGCACTTTTCTACTGTCACATGTCAAAATGTCTTCAATGGTAAAGGCCTGTTTTAAACAACCGATCTTTGATCTATTTCATATTTTCATATTTTTACGGCTATAAAACATGAAAAACTCCAACAAAAAAGGCAACAAGAGTGTTGTAAAAGTTTACAAGAAGTTTTCATTTTTTAGTTGCTGGTTGCTGTAGATGATGAAAACAGTCCTTTATATATTAAGGGATCTCTTTTACCACCACATGATATTTATAAACTACAATGTATCGGCTTAACAGTATCTCACTTAATTCATAAAATTAACACACTGAAATGAAGACTAAACAAGAAGTTTCTTCTGAAATATCAGAAATGTTGTTGTTTTGGTAGTGAAGAACAATGTTGGTGTAGTACAGACAGAGGGCAGCATGGCTCTATTTTATACAACACTGTGAATAGTAATCAGAACAAATTGTGCATTTCAATTCAACATGCAAAATGCATTTTGGCTGTTTCATTGCCTGTCCAGCATCCCTCTGTTGTATTTCTTTTGCCATTGTTCGTGTAGTTTTTCAAGTTATAAACATGAACCCAGTTTGTGTCCCCTTTTTTTCACACTTGACAGACATCCTGTCCATGAGTAAAATATTCTTTATTGTAGGAGATTTCACAATTAGAGAAGAGATGAGTAGGTCTGTCAATAAATCTCAGGGCTGTGGAGCTGGTGGAGCAACAATAAACCCTGTGGAAGGTTTAAAATTTAAAGTTTTGTGTTTTTTGATTGATGTTCAGGCATCTAGTGGAAGGGAAACCCAACTGAACACGTGACCTACGTACACATTTCTGTATGAGACTTTCATGCTCATCTAAGTTGATGTAAATGTATTACGTGGGTTTTTATAATTATTAGCAGACAAATGTGTTTTAATACAATAAGTACTTTCAGCTAAATAAAATATAATTACACGCTGAGTGGATAAATGCTCAAGGAGCTCTTTTCTGGTTGTTGAGCTTAATTGATGCCCTTTGGCTATCTGCATTAAGGACTCATTTTCAAGAGAATATGGAGGCACTGTGACTGGGCGATAAAATAGGCTTTTTTTCTGAGGCTAATGACCTACACTTTGCTAGCCATGCGAGCCATCATGTGGGTGTTAAGTTTTTAAATGCAGCAGATCTGCTCTGCTATTCCTACAAAATAATTGCTTTCTGTTTGTGTTGGTGGTTGTTTTCCTTATGGTAATTTGAATTCATGCCTGTTACGACCAGCTTGCAGGCTGCATCAAAGAAGGGATGATACACACCAAACTTAACAATAACAGACATTCCAGGTATGGAACAGTAATGGTTGCGATGAGGAAGTCAGGGTCAACGGTGTATGGAAGTGCATGAGTGCAAACATGGGGTGTGTGTTGGCAGTGTAATAAAAAATAAGGTAATACATGAAAAGAAGGAACAAAACTTGGTGAAGGGTGAAAAGGCCGACAATGGCTTCTGGGCAAACTTAGGAACACTGGCCACGTGTTCCCAGGCAGCTTAATGGCACCTCAGCTCCAACCTGCTAAAGACTCAAAAAACATGCAGCACACATGACCAAGGCACAGGGCTCTGGCAGGTCACTATGCAATCGATTCAATTTACTGACATTGCTATTTGGTGCATTCATCAAGCAAGGGAAACCATAATGCAAACATTTATAAAAGATGTAACAAAAGCACCATGGCTGAAGATGATGTAAACTACATTGTCATACTCAAAGTTGTCTAAAGAAACATCAGATCATTAATTTGCTCCTGCAATTATATTAAGATCGGTTTGACAACCACCTTACTTTTAAGTTTCCCCGTATATTTCTTATATGAGGTCTTTAGAGACAAAGCAGTGATGCCTCTCAGGGTATACTGAAAAAGGCAGCTGCATAGAGAGTTGCAGAATAAGAGGACAGGCAGCTGCCAGGTGAGCAGATGGATCATATTAATATAATAGAGGAGACAAGAAACATGAAACCAGATGCTGGCAGGGCTCTTTGTCTGCACAAGAACAGACACTGTAGAATTCAGCTCATATTAATTCACTGCACAGCCGGATAATTATTTTCAATAGTAACGTGCGGAACACATTTCAAAACTTTAGTATGTTGTAAAGAATTTGGATCAGTGTGAGTGTTGAAAACCACAGAGAGTTCACAAGCTTCAAAAGGCTCCAGGATAGGGAATATGTTATAATCTTTAATTTCAAAGAGATAAAATGTTTAAATATTTCAGGGACAAATTTGCATTATGATTTCTTCTGACAGCTGGGAGTTTGAACTCGTTGTGGAATGACTGTTACTTACCTATAAATAGAGAGGGTTTTTCATCACAGTCCAATTAAAGAACAAAATTCAGACTTTTAAGTAGGATACATCTACTAA